TATATCCTGACATATTTTTTTTAGGAATTCTCGATTCAGTTTAAGATTTTTATGGTAATTTAGGTCTGTATCATTGATGCCATTTAGACAAATCACGACGGCTTAAGGACAACGTTTAAAAAATACAATTGATCTAAATTACAAGTGTTTTTTATTAGACGCATCGCTATAAGTGTTTTATTAGACTATTTTGAATATTATTTTGATGATACTATACTGCTGTACCCAACCCCGTAGTAACTAATGTAACCCCTCCAAGTCACCTAATTTGTCACTGCACGTACAGAGAACGTTACCGGACGGGACTCGGGTCGCATGACTATTCACACTCTGTTTTGTTTATAAATGAATTGCTCGGTGCTTGGCCATCATCTATCTTACGATAAGCACGAGTGTTGTTTCGAAAGATAAAAGGTATAACTCAATACAAGCTCAAAATTCGAAGTAAAGAAAAGTCACTATTACCATCACTCAAAAGCGCGTAACGACAATGGGCTTTTTGTATTCTTATCCTTTAGACTAAAGTATTTTTTACGGTACCTTAGTTTTATATTAATCAGAGAAATATGCATTACTCTCAGATTGATTGAGATATTAAAAAGAAAAATTGCGGCATTAAGAGTGAATTATCCGATTGTGCTTTCAAATAATTTTGTTTTTGAAGCAAAGTCAGCGGTTTTACGAATAATATTATTTTACATTCACGCAGTATTTTCCACGTCAACTTCAGTCCCAACTATGGCTATTTTATTATACTACTACGTAAGTGATAAAAAAATATGCTGTGGATATATTCGTCATATTTGTTTGCTACCGTTTTAAATTATTTTTAATTTCCCCATTTTTTCAATACTTGATTGTTTATACAATCCTTGCTTAAGCTTTGTTTAAGAATTAGTTTTTCTTCAATTAATACTACAAAAGTAGACTTTAACGCTAAAATTTTCTTGTGTTCCATTGATATCAAGATCTCAACATAATTGAATGAATGTAATGAATATATCTATTTTATTTTTCATTCCTATTTCATTTGGTTTCAATAGGAAAAAGATATAAGCTAAAAGTATAATATATTTGCTTTACAATCACATTTATTATGTAAAGTTATGTAACTTTTGTTGTTTCACACAATTGTCCATTCCAAGTTTCCAAGCATTGTCTGTGTAAGATCCATAAGAGGCGAACTTTACGTCTGTTTTGTAGACAAAGTAATTAAATGTGTTTTTGACATTATTTAAATAGCAACGCCTTGGACAAAACAAAGGAACAAATAATAACATAACTAAAACCCACGTAGTTTCTGAGTGGAATCAATTCTGGTTCGACGATAAATCATTTCCGTAGCGGCCCTACGCTCTCCGAGATATGGAGCGCATCTGCCACGAGGTTGACCAATCCGCTGCGTCTTCCCGCGCACATCTGTCGCACGCAATCGGTAACAACAAACCTCACCGAAAAAAACGGACATCCTAAGAAGAGCGCCCACGCCAATCTTTTCTCAGTTATTTATCGCTAAAATTATTACTTTCAATGTAAAGTGTATCGCTATGCGATCATAATAACGGACGAACTGTGGCGAACTTTGATTTGGTATTGAAGCAATGTAGTGTGCTCGATGTATCCAATAGTATAAGGAATTTTATGAAAAGACGCTCTATATCGTTAATGAAACTGGCTTCACTTTCTAACATGTTGTTTTTGTGACTGCTCGTTTCCCTCTCTATGTTACTCTTACTTTTAGACTCTTAATTTTTTTTCCGAATCTTGTTTAATAATTCTATAGTGATATTGAATGCTCTATATCAGACAATTTTATGTATTTTTAAAATTGTTTCGAACAAAACCACCTGTTTCGAATTGGCTGATTTTACGTTCGAATTTGACAAAATAAAAAGAATTGTTTGACCTTCACAGATTGAGACTGTCCGCTTCAAACTCGTGAACATCTGGTAACCCTGAACGTAAACTCCAGCGTGGTTTTTTGTTTCCTTTGTCACCATTTTTTGTAGTCGCCCTCGAGACCTGTTAAATTCACAGACCAATGTAAAAGCCACTTTTGTACCTGAGCTTATTGCTCTCTTTCATAATAATGAATGACTTGGGTCTCCTGTGTGTTCAATTACGCTCCTTTTTGTTTAAATACCCAAGGACTGCTCCGTTGACGATACGCAGTGTACGTTAATGTTCGAATGTGGTTATAAATACCTAACCACTAAGTACTCACAGCCCTAAGCGGATAAAAGAATTAAGATGACTCACCTAATTCGGATGATCTCAGTTTGCCTCAAAGACTCCACGCGACGAATAATAATATTTCATCAGAAAATGTAATAAACAAATTATTCATATGAATTTGGCGTCACAATATAATAAATAATAATATAATTATTATATTTCTTAGTTTTAGTTTCTTATAATTATTATATTTCTTATAATTATTATATTTTTTCATATAGCGTTTCATAACTATCGTGCGGATTTCAAATATTTCTTCTTTATAATGCATTAATGTATTGTAAATAATATGTTGTAACATAAAAAAGTTCTTAATCTGTATTGCCTATGATTTTATAATACAAATAGTGATGACTGATTCATAAAAAAAGTAGTACCTACGGTATTACAACTGAGTTTAGATAGTTGAGGACACAAAAAACGTTACGTTTCTGTATGAACTTCTATGTAAATTTTATTATGCTTAAACGTTATTTATGGTTTAAACACATAACATCATTCAAATGTGTTTCTTTCAAACACATATTAAAATTTTAAGCTATTTTACTATTCCAGTGCCAGTGTCTACAAGCAAAAATAAAAGTAAAATATTTTTACTTATATATTACTGACAATATTATATAACGTTTTTCAACTCTATACAGTATTTTTTAGAAAATTGTTTCCGACTTCCTGAATGGATTAGAGTCGATATTAACAGTCTACAGCTAATCAGACACATTAGCTGAATGTTATAACAACGCATGTATAACTTGATTGAGTTTGAGTCATTGTCATTACGTAGTCAGTACGAAGATAGTTACTGATAGGCGATAATATGTTTTCTTTAAAAGACATATTATATGATGCAGAGAAACAGACAGTTGGCTTCTCAGTCCAAATGCTCACATGAAATTTTTGACTAGATGGATTGTGGAATGGTTTAAATGTTCATCACGAGAACGGTCATTGGTGTAGGTTAGATTAGATCCCCACACGAGACAACAATTTTTTCTCTCCATTGCTTTTTCTAGGGAGTACTTTGTGTCTTTGATTTTAACGTTTGAGAAACCACACGTTTCATAGTCTGTTTTAAAAGGAACAAAAGTACAAATATAAAAAGTCCTCAATGTTTGGTAACTAAGCACATAAAAAAATTTATAATAAAGTTTGCATGGAAGTGAGCGTAAACAACGTCTTGGATTTGGATTAGATTTGAACATTATTATTTATTGAAATTTATTATAAAACTTTATGAAATTTATATGAAAATATAAAAAAAAATATATGAAATTTATTATTTAGAAAAGAACGCGCCGTGACAGGGATAAACTAGTCCGGTTTGTCTTTAAAATCGTCTCGCCCGTAGAAGGTTAATATAACAGACGCCTCATTCTGAAGTTGACACCTGCATTCTGACGCGACTAATGAGTGTACTTTATTAATGATGGTCCTCGTTTATGAGTGTATCTCTCGCTTCTCTCGCCAGTAAACGAGTCCGTTGACAGTATCAGTGACACGTAGGCAATGGCTCTTATTTGATGACGTCTTATAATAACAGCGTATTGTATGCATTGCAACATTAATCATAGTTTAAATTTACAATCGTTTCATTCTAACTAACCGGAATTCTTAATGAGATATATATCAGAATTATCTGATAAAACAATAATAGGTATTAAATATCATTAGATATTTATATATACGATAACATATTCTAGTAAGGAATACTCATTTTTATTTTTGATTGTAAACAATGTCATTGCGTAGTTATAATTTCTATTATTGATTTAAGTAATACAAAATTAGACTCTGAAATTTCTAAAAAAGATGACACACTGGCTGCTGTTAAGTTTCTACAAATGGGGTCGTTTGATGATGCAGCGTCATCATTCCGGGCGTGACTGGAAACTGGGTCGAGATCTTAACTGGTGCATAGGGCTCGCCTATTTATCCACGCACTGCATTTAAGACTAACCCTTTAATAAGCCAGCGAGTAAGGTTATATTTTTAGAACAAAAAGCATTATACACTCGTACGAGAAAGTTAAGCCACAAATGCGTGAACGGGGCGTATTCTAGTTCCACGAGCATGACCAAGAGCATGATAACATTTTATTCACGTCGAGGGAAAACTGATCCTAGACTTAACATAATCGCTGGCGCCTTAACTAGTAGATGTCGTGTCTACTTATTGTGTTAAGATTCGTTTTCTCTTATAATTGCTGTATTCATAGTAACTTATGCATTTGAAATGTTTCAAATGCATAAGTTACTATGTTCACCTAAAACTTTCTTTATCGCCCCGGCTTCGAACTTGTAAGTTGAGATCACTTACAACGACTTTGTCACGATTTGGGTTAAGTATTATTTAGGTAAAGTATTTACTTAGCAATTGTATTATTTTATCATTTAATATTCAACGTGGTGAAATTTTGACGTTAATTAAACCAACAGTTAAAACTAAGCCTTTCCTAAATTACCTACTTACAATTATTTAAGATTCCCATCAAAAATTAACTTTTATTAGTACCTACAAAACGATGGTTTGAATAGGCTTTGGCTTTCACATAGCGTATGAAGAAAGAAGTAAAGTTCTTTTTTAATCCGTCCAATGATATTCTGTTTTTATAACTTTTCAATCGTATTATTTTAAAACGAAAGGGCATGATTAGACTAGATCCCAATCGGTGGGACTACCGACTTCATTTTGTAGCAGTTGATAGCGGTGAATGCGACGGGCTGGCTTTAAACTGTATGAACTCAACTGAACGTTCGTTGTTGCAGGAGCAGTGCACTGCGAGGATGAGACGATAGGCCCGATATTCATGAAAGAGCCCCCGAACCGAGTGGACTTCAGCAACACGACCGGGGCCGTAGTGGAATGCGCCGCGCGGGGATCCCCCGCCCCCGACGTCATCTGGGTACGAGCTGATGGGACCGCGGTTGGAGACGTGCCAGGACTGCGACAGGTTCGTACCGCCAATGTACAACTATCAATACAATTGTTCAATCTATTAGCACTTTGCTAGTAGTCTATTGGTATAATTGCGAAGATCGTTGGACGTTGTTAGACTTTGATAAAACGAAGGGGTTAAACGTTGAAGACTCCGAGGACGTAATTGTTACTATTTTTTCGCATCGCTCTGCACTCTTATTTTATTCCAATTTTTTTACGTTACCGAAAAGAAATAAATATATTTTCATGTTTAGTAGTTTTGTTCTCTCTCTCTCTCCCATAATTACTTACCCCCTATTAATTTTTGGCAATAATAATCGTATTATTATTAATGGGATAACTCATATCTAAATTAATGAGGCGAAGAGGCTTTAACATTGGCTTATGATATAATCGCGCAGTAACCTAATAAAGCGAACGTATTCGTTCTAAAAGACATTAAGTAAGTTCAAGTTCCGCTTCCGTTGTATGATAACGTAAAGATTATAAATAAACTCTTAGAATAATTACTACCAAGGTGTTCCTAATTATTTAAAGGATAAACTAAAAATGAAGATCTAAGATGAGATGATATACATACTTTACAAAATTTTAAAAATTTTTGCTATTATATAAGTTAGGTACTACCAATGCATTTTTCATAAAGAAGTAACAGAACACGTGTAATCAAACGTTATCTATCTAGAAAGTTTTGGCTAAGTTATCGTCGTCCACAACTAAGCTATTTAAAAATTTTGGTAACATCTCAACTCAATTCAATTCAATCACTTATTTACCATCTATTATTTTTATATTTGTTTAGGAGGGGTTATGGGAAAAGACTACTGCGACCTAGAGAATCTATTGTAGTCTGCCCGAAAACATTGGTCACTTACTGTAGGATAACATTAACCCGCGTTGTAAGGAACCAGATCCGTAACAATTATCTGTGGTTCACGCAAATAATTGACTCTTGTCTCGACTCGGTCATCGAACCCTCAACCACCGGCGTCGAACCCAATAACTTGGCAACTTCGCCACGGAGTCATCAATATTTGCCACTAAGTGCACATTAAATAAATAGATGTTACAATAAAGAAGCGCTTATAAAATTAGATGCCCTTTACAACTAACGACGTTTCTGAAACACTGATCATCGTGATCAGCTGTCAAGTGGCTCTTCAAATTTTGTTTTAGTAGCCAAAAGTATGGTAAAACTTTTTGAATTGACCAAAATGACCTTCTTAATGATCATAATGATCAATTCAAAGAGTTTAACCACCCTTTTGGCAACTCGAAACGACATTTGTTTGCCATTTGACAGCTTATTAGTTAACATCTACGATGATCAGTGTTCCAGAAACCGGGCGTAAGAGTGTGATATTAAATTCTCACAGGTTTTGCCGAACGGAAATCTCGTCTTTCCACCGTTCCGCGCAGAGGATTACCGTCAGGAGGTTCACGCTCAGGTCTATGCTTGTCTGGCCAGGAATCCAGTTGGTACTATCCATTCCCGTGACGTTAATGTCAGAGCTGGTGAGTTTCATATTTATCATGTAAATTATGGTCAGGCTCTTTATGAGATGTGATTTAAATTGATAATCCAACATTTTCAAATAGAAAGCTATTGATGATAATTCAAATAGTAATTATAAATAGTCCAGTTACAAAAACAGGGAAGATTGCCACTAGACTTTGGCCCGCTTGTCTGTTCTACTTGTTCCTGTAGTAATATCTCTATTTAAATAACGAATTAGATTTTAGAGATGCAGCATAACTAGTGTTTGTAGATTATATAGGATACCAAAACTGACAACGTATATTTCAAGTACCTAATTGTTTCTTATCATTGTTATTTCCTATGTATTTTCTTTACCATAGACAGCAATAGCAATAAAGGCGTCATTTCATTTAATTTTTTCTAAACCGCAACAAAATATGTTGCAAACCTAAACCAAGCAAAACCTATGTTCTTCTTCTGACTTTATAAAGAAAATGTTAATAATATTTTGCCCACCAATATTTCAGAAATGGATATAATTCCTCGGTTCTCATAAAATGATGATTCAAAACCGTTAAGACAGTCTGGAATGTCGCCAAATACTTGTCCTTATTCAAACGTCTCTGGCGGCGTGTGAGGAACATGTATAACGATTTTTTTCTTCGTATAATTTTTTTATTTTTGAATTAACATTAATGGCCCACAGCCATAACTTTTGTCAAATTGACGATAAATCGATAAAATATAGAAAGTTATTGATAAATTAATTCTGCTGACTTTTAATATCTTTCATCAATTGAGAACACAGTTTCTTAAGTGTCTTTACGGACCTACATAATTAATGTTTCAATGAATGCCTTAAAAATTAAATAAAAATCATTTTAGTTGGGCAAATGAATCAATCGAAGACGTTTTTCTCGCTTTATATACTTAAGGTAATGTATTTTTGGATTACTTCCTAAAAATGGTCATATTATATATCACTAGTTGGTGCCCACGACTTCGTCCGCGCAGGTTTAGTACTTCAAGTAGCTTATATACTTAAGTTACTGTATCTCGACTTTTAACGTCACTTACTGTTATTATTTTGTTTGTTTTTTTTGTTATGTTTACATTTATTTTAAGTTTCTGTGTAGTAACATTATTATTTTTAAGTTTTGTATGTATTCATTTGTTTTTAGACCGTGAATAAACGTTTCTGCTTCTTCTATATTTATCCCAAGTTCCTATCTATCTTTATACCAAAAATCATCAAAATTGGTTCTGTTTGGCCGTTTAGTCGCGAATGCGTAACAGACAGAGTTAGTTTGAGAGGGCCTCGTATCGTTACAAATTTTAGCCTATTTATTAATATGACGTTTATACTTATACTTCCTTATGCTATACTATAGTAGTTTTTGCGTGAAAGATACAAATATCCATCCATACAAACTTTCGCGTTTTAAATATTAACTATGGATAAGTATTTCCTTTTCTATAGGGTGAATACTAAAATTACCATATTTGAGTAATTATTACTATTATGTATTATAATAATTTACTATTATGCGTATGTAATTTGATCACTGTAAATGCATTCAAAAATAACAATTACCTTTTAAGGTTCGAAAATTTATTACTATAACAATCCTTTAACTCAATGTTAGGCCGCAAAACTTGAGATTATCTTCTTACATTAATATTACTACGCAATATAAATTAGTAAGTAGTAGCTTAACTAGCTCTAACTATAGTCGTTAATTGGTCGTCACGGGGCGCTGCCCTTTTCAACCCGGAGCGCAATAAGGTCAATTAAATTTTACTTTATCAGAAGCAGCTGCAGTTCTCATTTGAAAATAAGATTAATATTTGAAGCTTTCACCACTTAGACGTTAGGGAAACAAATTAAAGTTTTTCAGCTGCATAAGCATAAACAATAGGCATAAAGAAAATGATAATGTTATAATGTTGGATTATCGATTTTTTTAACAATAATTTTGAGTACATCAAGTATTTGTGTTGGTCACTGAAATGTTGTTTCATTTACTTGCGATTATTGAACATGTACGTATTTTTAAACTAGTTAAATGTTTATGTTTAAAAGTAACAAAATGTTTTTTACAGGATTAAACGAACTGATGTAATTGTCCATAACTATTTATTTCTTTCTTTTATAAAATATTGTGTAATGCTATTTTAATCAACTACAAATCATAGCGATGTAACATCTACGGTAGAAATTTTATTTGATATAGTGGAAAAGGTCCAATATGATGCGTACTGTTCTTAACTCTGTTAATATTAATAAATAATAATAACATGACAGTCGTCGCCCAGCATTACGACACTGATGTCAACAAGGAATACGCAATTATGGGGAACAGCATAATCCTAAAATGTCAGGTCCCATCATTTGTTGCCGACTTCATTGAGGTTCTCTCATGGCACACTGATGAAAACGAGGACTTCTACCCGGGAGAAAATTATGGTTATTTCCTTTAAATAGCCCTTTCCAAATTATAACGCTCCACACATCCCAGTCCGAAGAATCCATTCAACATCTACAAATAAAATGCCACTTCCGCAGTGGTCCAACAACAGTATGAATCAGAGGTTAACAATGAATACGTCATACGCGGTAATTCAGCCATTCTCAAGTGCTCGATACCATCGTTTGTGGCGGACTTTGTGAGTGTTGTCTCATGGCATGATGAGTCCGACAACGCGTTTACCCCCGCCGAGAATGATGAACGGAATGGTACATAAGAAATTAAAAAGTACTCGAGTCCAATCTCCTCATCCCAATATATCCTTCCTATCCCCGCGATTAATGAAATTGCATATTTTACAGTCGTTACACAATATTATGAAGCAGAAGTAGTCTCAGAATATGTTATTCGAGGCAACACAGCTGTTTTAAAATGTTTTACACCCTCCTTCGTCGCTGATTTTGTCAAAGTAGAAGCTTGGGTTACCTCCGATGGAGATGAATATTTACTAACTAACGATACGGGTGGGACGAGTTTTATAATGGTTTATCTTTTACCCCTATCCAGTGTGATCCAATCCTGTCAAACCCATTTTGTTACAAAAAATAGTCCTGGCATCTTTTTCCAGTTGTAAATCAGTTTTACGAAGCAGAGATTCTAACAGAATACGTCATACGCGGTAATGCTGCGGTCTTAAAATGCTCGATTCCATCGTTCGTAGCGGACTTTGTCAAAGTAGAAGCGTGGATCGATGAAGAAGGAACAGTAATTACTTATTCTGAAGACCTCGGTAACCATAACTTAAATAAACAATGAAAACACAAACCTCCCGAACTGAATGCCGTTCCTAACACCTATACCTATTATGTCCAACCAAACGTCTAATTGAAATTCTTCAGTTGTGTCACAGTATTACGTGACCGAAGCCGAAAATGAGTACGTGATTAGAGGGAACGCTGCTATTGTTCGATGCAAGATCCCGTCTTTCGTAAGCGACTTCGTGCAAGTGGAAGCTTGGATTATGGATGACGGGCTAATACTCACAATGAATCACACTAACATATCGGATGGTACCCTTCCAATATGTACCAAGAGATTAATTATCCTTTATCCAAAGTCCCATGTTTCAGTTAACATATCGATAGAAATTAACGCTTACAATTTTTTCCGATAGTCGTATCGCAGTCATTTGAAGCCGAAGCTGACAATGAGTACGTTATCCGTGGTAATGCGGCTGTTATGAAATGCGAAGTTCCAAGTTTTGTCGCAGATTTTGTATATGTTGAAATGTGGACGGATAGCGATGGGGGCACTTATTACCCTGGACACAGCGAGGGTAACCTCCCATGTAGAGTTTCCTTCCCATCCCTATTTCCATTCACACGTATTTTCTTATCGCAGCTGTGCTCCAAGCGTACGAGGCTAGGGTAAATGACGAATTCGTTTTGCGAGGCAACACCGCTATCCTCAAATGCATCGTCCCATCTTTCGTAGCGGACTTTGTTCATGTTGCTTCTTGGATTATGGATAATGAAACAGTTCTTGCAGAAGAAAATTCAAACATTGATTCCGGTAGTATTAGATAAAAAAATAATTAAAATGTCCACGTTCCTGTCCTAAACGAAGGCTTAATTCCCTTTCCTCATTAGCAAATTTCATTCGCAGTTGTACATCAAAATTATGAGCCACGTGTTATTGATGAAGACGTATTGCGTGGTAATTCTGTCATTGTGAAATGTACTATTCCATCGTTCGTGGCGGATTACGTACAAGTTGTGGAATGGGTAACGGACGATGAGTCCCTCCCTGTTTTTTCGTTGAGTGGCTCCGAGGACAATTACGGTAATAGAGAGCGCCCGCGCGACCTCAATTGTTCCTATCCGCTCCCCACAAAATCCCTGAGACCTATTATAGTGTTATTGTTATGAACTATGTTATGTGAAATTTCAGCTGTTAACCAATTCTACGAATCTCAAGTTTACGATATCTACGTAATACGTGGTAACGCCGCTGTGTTTAAGTGCCACATCCCGTCTTTTGTATCTGAATATGTTCATGTAATGTCTTGGCATGATTCCGAAGGGGGAGAATTTATAATTAACGAGGACTACGGTATAATAAATCAGTCATACCGGTGAAGCATCCTACTATCCTTTCCGTTACCATTTCGCTCACCTCTCATTTGCATATTTGTTTCAACTTTACAGTTGTATCTCAAGCCTATACAGTAAATTTGGTTGAAGAAAACGTATTGCGAGGAAATGCAGCGATCCTTAAATGTCTTATCCCAAGTTTCGTAACAGAGTATGTGTCAGTAGCTTCTTGGATAATTTCAGAAGATAATGAAGAGAGAGAAATTAAAATTAACGACATTGTCGATGGCGAGGGTACCTCGAATTCAAAACTATTGCTTCCCTATCCTAAACATCCAATTTAATCTCCTTCCGGCCTTGTTCTACGTCTTTAATTTTGACTTGCAGTTGTAACACAAGCTTATACCATAAACCTAATGGAGGAAAGCGTTTTACGTGGAAACGCCGCGGTGCTAAAATGCCATATTTCGACATTTGTGACTGAATACGTTAGCGTGTCTTCTTGGATCATTTCCGAGGGTGATATAGATGAATTGGAGATTAAAGCAGAGTCTAATGAATGGGGTATTTCCATTTCTGGATTATGTTAATGACTCCTACATATTCCTGTTTCCCTAAAATGCTATAGGCCCACTCAAAAATTAGAAGCGTCGTGTTGTTACAGTTGTGTCGCAAGCTTACACCGTAAATTTAATGGAGGAAAACGTTCTGCGCGGAAACTCCGCAATTGTTAAATGCCATATACCAAGTTTTGTCGCCGAGTATGTTACTATATCTTCCTGGATAATCTCAGAAGGAGATGTTGAAGAACTTGAAATTAAAGTTACTGAATATTCAAACCTAGGTACATTCACAGAAAATGTCTGTTCAAAAATCCAATATCCTACTCCTTGGTGCTTAGTTAGGTATTGAAACGACTTCAGTATAAAATTAAGCTATCAATCAGCAATCAGCTAATTTGACTATCAACATTTGGCACTTATTTACTAGAATTCTTTAATTATTTTCTAGTTGTTTCTCAAGCGTATACTGTAAACCTCTGGGAAGAAAATGTTTTACGCGGTAACGCCGCTATCTTGAAATGCCATGTTCCAAGTTTTGTCAGCGAATATGTCACGGTTACTTCTTGGATAATATCAGAAGGGGATACCGATGAAATGGATATACATCTAGATTCTGAGCTTAACTTGGGTACTCGCACTATGATTATTTGTTACTTTCCAATCCTAGTTAATCCTTCTATGGTCCTTTCGCTATTTTTTCTCAGTGTATGATCAGGATATATTTAAACTTTAGAAATCAAAGAGATTCTCAATTAGGCTTAAGTTATAAAAATGACTTTTCCAGTCGTTTCTCAAGCTTACGATGTTAAGTTTTGGGAAGAATATGTTTTGCGGGGCAACGCAGCTATTTTGAAATGTCAAATTCCAAGTTTCGTCGCTGAATACGTATCAGTAAACTCTTGGATAGTATCGGAAGACGAAAATGAGCAGGAAATTAAAATTAGTGATTCCGAAAATCTAGGTACTTAACTTTTCCAATAATAATTACTTTCCTGTCCTTCCCTTCCATAGTCCCAGCTATAATCTAGAATGATAATTCTCTGCTCTCAACAGGATGTATTTAGATTTAGTTGGACGTTAGTATCGTTGTTGTCAAGGTCTGTATAAGAATTTGTTGACACTACGTTCCATTGTTTCAGTGGTTTCACAAGCATACGCTGTAAATCTTATGGAGGAATATGTCTTAAGAGGAAACGCTGCAATTTTGAAATGCCACATACCTAGTTTTGTCTCGGAATATGTAACTGTCATCTCTTGGATAATTAGCGAAATTGAAGAAGAGCTAGAGATTAAACTCGACTCAAATGAAAACTTTGATGGTATGAGTATTAGTAAATTTGATAAAATGTCTTCACAAATGGTGTCAAACCATTACTTATGTTAAAGAAATTGATTTTAGGGATTTCCTCCTAATTTGGTGCCCATCATTCCAGAGGCCTAACGGCCTACCTATTTCCTGTTTCCTCCTTCCTTAGATTAATGCATGTCATATAATTTATAAGTAAATCGCAACCTTATGTTGCGTTGCCTTAATCATTTGATAAATTAAATATTAAAAAATGAAATTTATAAGTTTTTCTTAAAGTTGGCAACTTTTATATGATTTTTTCTTTCTATACAGAGGGTAAATACCTAGTTCTTCCATCTGGAGAGTTACATATCCGTGATGTTGGACCCGAGGATGGTTACAAATCGTACCAATGTCGTACTAAGCATAGACTCACCGGAGAGACTCGGTTATCTGCTACGAAAGGACGCCTGGTTATTACAGGTGAGTTTATTTCTAACTTACAAACTTGGCGCTATTAATTCATTGCATCTAACATTTATTTTTAAATTCAATGTTGTGACTACTTTATTACTGTTACTCTAAATCTTAAAGCTGTAAACATCATGAAGCATAAAATGAATTCATAGCGCTTTTATAGATAATCTTCCAGTGAGGATATAGATATACAATAAGTTTATGAATAACTTTTGAAAATAGCCGTTTAACTATATTTAAGTATGTAAAATTAAAAAATATTCATCCTCAAATACAAAAATTTTCACTGAAAGATGTATCCACGTTTTATTAACTGGCCAGTTATTTAAAATATTTTCAGTTATCTTTTGTTATATCTCATAACAAGCTACTAATTTTAAATAAACTTAGATTTGCAAACTGAAAATATTTCGCTATTTTTTAAATCTTGCAAATGATTTAAGAACAAACTAATCTTTTAGACAGTACATAATAATCAAAACAATAAAATAATATCAATAATTTTGTTTATTATCGATATAATGTAACAAAACAAGATTATTTTGTTTAATAACTCGATGAGAAGTAAAAACAAACCTTCATAACGACGTGTGCTTCTACTTCTCATGCTAGAACATCTACTTGCCTGAATGTTGGGATAGGGTATCCTGCAGAGCCTTGATTCGCAAGAATTCAAGTTCTTACATAATTTTTATAGCTTATATGAACAGGGTCGTTCGAACTGTGTGTGATTGTGTCCAAATTTCGTGAATCAAGCGTTTCCCAACATGTACAGAACCGGTGGGCCGCGTACCCCCGAGATTTCCAAGTAGTGCGCAGATCACCAGTGGCTTCCTGTTTAGAGAGTCCTCCAGCGTCTCCGTTCTGTGCCCTGCGCAGGCATATCCCTCACCAATGTACCGGTAAGGCGAATTATAAAGATAAATTCGTTTTGCGTATTCCCCAGAGCCTATAGGGCGCGTGCCACCTAAACTGTCAACAACCCAAGTGAGCATCACTTTCACGACGACGTTGGATACGTCATTTACGTTACTCTGCCCCGCGCAGGCCTTTCCTGTCCCCATATTCAGGTAACGTTTCTTAAACCAAATGTCCCAACTTTATTAAAACCGTATTCTAGAGCCTGTCGGCCGCGTCCCCCCCAAGTTTGCAACTGTTCTAACGGGGACAATGTTCGAAGTTACGAAAGCTGATTCATACGCGTTGCAGTGCCCTGCACAGGCATTCCCAACCCCACTATTCAGGTAATTGACACGCCAAACAACAGCTGTTGCAATTGCTCCCGTAGAACCAGTTGGACGCGTCCCACCTAAATTTGCATCTGTCGTGATGGGAACCATGATTGGAGTCAGGGATAATGAATCATTCGCATTGCAATGCCCCGCGCAGGCGTTTCCAGTTCCAATTTCCAGGTATTTAGTATCTTAAGTAAAAAAGATTTCTCTAAAAATTCCCCTCATCATAAATCACGCTATGTAATTAGTACACAATAAACAAATGCACAGTATAATGATAAATGCATTATTTATAATTAATTGTGTCTATTACCTAAAATGAAGTTGTTTCCTCTCCCCAGAACCAATGGGAAAAGTATCTCCAAAATTTTCAAGCTTAGAAAAGAGTCGACTTTTTAATTTCGAAAGCAACCAAAGTTTGTCTCTCTTGTGTCTCGCACAAGCTTTTCCTGCCCCAATGTTTAGGTAAGATAAAATGACGCTTTCGTAGTATATACTTCGGTTTCAAGCCTCGCGTTTTAAAATAAATGTGTTTGACTCATATGAATAACAGTAAATTTTAAACACCACACCGCAATATCCATATTTTTCTTTTGGTAAACAGAACCAATGGGAAAAGTGTCACCGAAATTTCCATCGATGGAAACAGGTCGCAGCTTTACGTTTTCATCTAAAACTTATGTGACATTGCTTTGTCCAGCACAAGCATTTCCAACACCATTGTTCAGGTATTATTTTTATACATATAAATGTTATTTCTTTAGAGCCAGTGGGCCGTGTTTCACCCAAATTTCCGTCGATGGATAGTTCAAGAAGTTTCAGTGCGGTGCTTAACGCCAGTCTGACGCTATTATGCCCTGCCCAGGCCTTCCCGGTTCCATTGTTCAGGTAATAGCTTTGATAGAGATAGTTGTCATTATTAAAACAACATTTATCCTTAGAGCCTGTGGGTCGCGTTTCGCCCAAATTTACGAGTAGCGACAAAAGTCGGGCCTTTGACTCAATGGAAGGAGATAACGTCACACTCTTGTGCCCTGCGCAAGCTTACCCTGCCCCAGCTTTCAGGTATAATCGCATCCAGTTTTTATGGCAATTATTTCTTTTTCTTTAGAACCAATGGGCACCGCTGCTCCTAAAGTGGCAAGTAAAATGATTGATATATCAGAGGTGTCTTTAAATGATACATCCACATTGCTATGTATGGCCCAAGCCTTCCCAGTTCCAATATTCAGGTAACAGTTATTTATCCGTCAATTTCATTAATTCTCGTTACAATTTACGTTCCTATGTTTATTTAGAGCCAGTAGGAAGAGTACCACCAAAGTTCCCTACTATGGACAATGTTAGAGGGTTCACCTCCTATGTCAATGCTAGCGTGACACTGCTTTGTCCCGCACAAGCCTTCCCAGTACCTCTTTCAAGGTAATTTATCATCAATAAACAAAATTGATCAGTGCCAGGATTTCTTTTTAGAACCAATAAATAGTGCCCCACCGAAAGTTCCCACAAAAATCATAGAGTTCGTCGAATTCGCAACATCTTCCAGTATAACGTTGCTCTGTTTGGCTCAAGCATTCCCAGTTCCGGTATTTAGGTGAGTTTTTATATATAGTTTGAAATGATCATCTAATCGTACTTAGTTGCGGAATATTCACGGGTATGTCGATGTTTAGCTTAAAGTGTTTCTAATATTCTTCATTTTGGTAAACGAATATTTGTATTTTTAGAACCGATTGGCTCGAAAAGTCCCTCGTTTTCCAGTGGATCGAAACTAGCGTGGTTCGAAATACATAATAGTCAGGATTTCGCTCTTTTATGTCCGGCCCAAGGGTTTCCCGTTCCAGTATTTAGGTGAGCATGTTATTAATATCCGCTTGCATATAATGAATGAAAACCATTTTCAGAGCCCATCGGGTCAAAATCACCGGCGTTTTCAACTGATGACAAATTAGCGTGGTTTATAAGGCATGTAGGACAAAGTTTAGCATTATTGTGTCGGGCTCAGGGATATCCCATTCCAATATACAGGTATTCAATAACTTTCTACATTACCCCTTCATAATTGTATGTATATTTTAGAACCCATCGGATCGAAATCGCCCACTTTCTCCACTGATAATAAATTCTCTTGGTATCTAAGGATGGCTGGTCAAAGTTTAAATATTATCTGCCCAGCTCAAGCCTTCCCCGTCCCAGTATTCAGGTGAATAATGGTACCTATTTTTATTTGTAGAACCCGTTGGCTCTAAATCCCCTACATTCTCTAACGATGTCCAATTCTCGGGTATAACCCGTAAAACCGGTCAAGACTTTTCCCTCTTATGCCAGGCTCAAGCGTATCCTGTTCCAATATTCAGGTAAGAGTACCTATTAAAATGCAAATGGTTCAAATGTGATTGTCGCAGAACCCATCGGTTCGAAGGCGCCGTCGTTTTCGTTGGAATATAAAAGCACAACTCTGACAAAACTGGCTGGACAGGCGATTGTTCTCTTGTGTCAGGCTCAAGCCCACCCATCCCCTGTGTTCAAGTGAGTGTCTAATAATTTAGTGTGTACATTTTTAATCCAGAACCGGTTACCGCTAGAGCTCCGGCTTTTCCAACGACCGCGTCGTCTTACAATTATGATATTGAAGCGAATTCTGGTGGTTCAATGCTTTGTCAGGCACAGGGGTACCCTCATCCGATGTTCAGGTAGGTTTGACAATGTAACATTGTTTCCATTTTAATTTTAGAGCCCATCGGCGCAAAGGCTCCTACATTTTCCTCTGACTCCAAGGGCAGTATTTTTGTTAGAGAGTCTGGACAAAATTTTTCATTGTTATGTCAGTCTCAGGCATACCCTGTCCCTATCTTTAGGTAAGTTTAAGTAAAATATACTTTCCTGTACAGAGCCCGTGGGTTCCAAGCCGCCGACTTTCACAACTGATTTTACGTTGTCGGCGGTGACAAGGCATAAGGGTCAAAGTTTTTCAATGATGTGCCAAGCTCAAGCATTCCCTATTCCAATTTTCAGGCAAGTGTTTTGTGGGAGTGGTTTACTAAAAACCTTTACAGATAGTAACCTTTTCAGTTATAATTTAGAAAATATCTAAACATAATAAATGTGTATTAACCGTTTGACGAATGGTTTAATCTGTCTAGAAATAGTATTATAATTGATCATTTTGGTCATATTCAAAATCATTATTCTCAACAGAGCCGGTTGGGTCAAAGGCTCCATCTTTTTCAACCGAGTCTGCGCTTTCGTCTATTAAAAGGCACGAAAGTCAAAGCTTTGCTTTATTGTGCCAAGCTCAAGGTTTTCCCGTCCCGATTTTCAGGCAAGTTACGCATTACTTTGTTTTTCTCATTCAATAAATAAATATTTGTAGAACCGGTTGGTGCCAAGTCCCCGACATTCTCTTCCGAATCGATGGGAAGTATTTTTCGAAAACGCATTCGGCAAGGGTTCGCTCTTCTATGTCAGGCTCAAAGCTATCCCGCCCCAATTTTCAGGCAAGTTTTCTCTTATCTTATTTACTTATCCAAAGCTTTGCACTGCAGAACCAGTAGGGTCTAAGGCCCCCACATTTTCGACGGACGCTCGTAGTACCACTTTTGTACGAATGGTCAATCAAAGTTTCGGACTGTTATGTCAAGCCCAAGCTTTTCCAGTTCCAATATTCAGGCAAGTAAAGTCTCATAAAATATAACTTTATGATATTTTTTACGATTTGCAGCATTTTTTTATCATTCAGATTTGGTGTCGTTAATCTTCGCGTATTCAATGACGCAATTAACAAACACTCCTTAGGGCTTAAACACTCATTAAGAAACTAAATGTTCGTTGAATTTATGGGGTTTTTCTAACTTCGTAAATCAAATTCTTTAAAATTTTTAAAAATTCTTTAGAACCCGTAGCAAGTGCGGTGCCAAGTATCACTGCGACACCAAAAGCCGCCGTGCATTATGCACAGATTTCTTCGTTAGCTCTCTTGTGTCCAGCGCAAGGATATCCTGTTCCAGTCTCAAGGTGCGTTTACTGAATGTAGCCCCTATATTACAGAACCAACTAATAAAATTGCTCCACGAAGCGACAAAAGCAGGAAATTCGAGGGTGGTGAAATTTTTTTAGCTTCCCAAACTGAGTCTGTCTTTCTCACTTGCGAAGTGGCTGGTTATCCAGCACCAATATTTAGGTAAGTTGGAAAGATATTTAAAAACTCATTCATGGCATGTATAACTTGGTTAAAGTCTGTGAAGGCTCAAAAATAATCTTCTCGTGCCTCTTGAATGTTGTTATGGTTAGGCTCGATATCGCACGGAATTACTTCTTTATTTTAAGCAAGGAAATCAGCTCGGGTCACAGATAGATCTTAAAAGTCGTCTCTGTAATTGCAGAACCAACGAATAAAATTGCACCTAGGAAAGATTCAACTAAGCACTTTGAAGGTTGGGAGGTTCACTTCGTGTCGCGGCGCGATGTAGCATATCTTACGTGTCAAGTCTCTGCGTACCCCGTGCCCGTGTTTAGGTGAGTGTTAGGCGCTTTGGTGACCGACGGTTTGTCTTCCAGAACCATCGGGTAGGACCAGGCCGAAGGTGACCGGGGACGGACTTAACCGTTATATAGGGCGAAGCGGCGAAAGTCTTGCGCTCGTTTGCGATGTCCAAGCATTCCCCGCTCCCTTGACGAGGTACGGCCTTTCGGCGCCGGCCGGCCGCCCTCTTCACGCGTTCATCCATCACCATCCAATGTACTGATATGCGTTGTTATTGCAGTCTGTTGCGGCGGGCGCGACGCCCCCGTGTGGTGAAGGCGTGATGAACCGCGGCCGGCCGCGCGCCCATATTACGGTCCCGAGCCAAAGTAACGATTGAGCGGACAGAACCCTCCTGGTAAGTGACAGGGTGTTCTTGCTTTCATTCAGACGCTTTAATCTTTACTTTGTGCTTGTCGTGAGTCATAGCTACACATCGCGATAGCTCATCGCCTATTCACGTCCCCATTGTTGCGGTAGCCTCACCATCTTCGGATTTGTTTTCTTGTGTATTAACTCGTTCATTTTCCCCTAAAGCGCTGCAGTTCGTTTTTATGTTTTGTCAAGTCTATCTTCGTGTCACTTGCATTGGCGGTAGGACTTTTGTTTAAGTGGATTATCCAACCGATATAAAAAAAATTTGGTGAAGAAATTTTTAATAACCTTCTGGCTTTAGGTTTAAAATTTGTATCAGCATAATGAAATGAAATATTTTTTTGTCCTTTTGCATTAAATTTGCTTAATTTAGGCACTTAAATTCAAACATTAGTAACACGTAGTCTTTCATTATTTTTGTTAAAACGTTTATAAAATCAGTAACAATATAACAGTTTCTTCTATTACTATCAGGTCACTAACAGCAAAAGCTGAACTCTATTTCTTTTGTTGCAGATGGTACAAGTTTATCGACGGTACAACCAGGAAACAACCAGTTGTTTTGAACGACAGAGTAAAACAAGTGTCTGGAACATTGATCATTAAGGAAGCCAAAGTTGAGGACTCTGGAAAATATTTGTGCGTAGTTAACAACTCCGTTGGCGGTAAGTACTCCGCATTTATTAATGGTACAAACTTTATAGGATTTTAGTACGTTAAATAGTATTTATAATATTTTTCAGAATGAAATAAGTAAAAAACTATGTGCTCTTGGAGCAACCATGCTCATTAATTATCTATTAGCCTTTGAGCGAGAAACTGGTCATTTGACTAATGCCACAGAAATAAGACGTGGGTTATTATTGTTAATAAGATCGTTTTGTTTTCTAATTCAATTCAATTCTCAATTCAATTCAATTCAATTCTCGTCTAAAGAGTAAATAAAACTAAATACCCATTTATAATATATAACAATTATTCAAAATATTATAATCAAGAGACATGGCCAGATCAAAACGAACAACGTTTAATAACTTCGTCTTATTTGTATAAGCCGTGTCTAAACGGTCCACCTCGGAGTCCCAACCACTACAGATGTTGATATGTGGCCTGCATTTACTCCACTCACAGAAAAGACTATCAGTATAATTATGGTCGCCAAAGACCATGTCGGCGTCCTTGAGCGTTAGTTTAAATACATAATATCCCTGCCTGTTTCGCGCTCATCTTTTCATATAGAATGCGAAAATTAGGACATTTAATTCACGACTATCATTACTGTTTCAAATACGCAAAAAGAAGTTTAGTTAATAAAACAGACCTAAGCTTTTCCGTACAGGACAAACTAAATGGAAAAATGTTTTACAATATAAATTACATTGCACAGTACTCTTTTATATAAACTGCGCAGTTTTATCTTTGAAAGCAGTTCATTCGGACATTAAATAAAGTTGCACGCTTTTTTCAGGTGAATCTGTTGAGACAGTACTTACTGTGACCGCACCTCTTAAGGCTACTGTTGAGCCCGCCACCCAAACCGTTGATTTTGGCAGACCCGCTGTGTTCACGTGCCGTTATGAGGGCAACCCCGTAAAAACTATTACCTGGCTGAAGGACGGAAAGGACATGAACCATCACGACACCATCTTAAGGTTTGTAAATTGTTAAATTGTTCAAGAATATCGAAGCATATATTTTTGGCGGACAGTATGTTTATATATGTTGCTCTTATTCAGTTTATTGTAAAGATTATTGTACTGTTCGCTGTTTTGTGTACCAAATAAAATAAAATAAAACCTTGAAAGTTATACAAGTACAATTCATAGTGTTTAGGTAGTGTTATTTTTTAATATAAAGAAAAGTATGTTTATCAAGTATTTTATACCCATAGTACAAAGCTTTTACTTAGTTTTGGTTTTACCAGATAAAGTTACATAAAAATATATCCAGTAATATTTATTAAACCCCGACTTCCCATTGATGGATTAGTCTAGGTTATGTTAGATTTTTCTTGTCACAGTCCTATTTATTGGATTTGTTAAAGGTTAAAACTTTTAAGTTTTTATTTTTACGTAGATTTTTTATAAGTCGTAGTTTCAAGTTTCCTAGAAAAGTTTGGCTTCTTTATGATATCTACATTTATGCTTCTATTAGACCATTAAAACCAATGACAGAAAACGAATATGGAAAATATTAAATATTTTTACTCACATTTGTTTTATTGTACACTTTGTATTAAAAAATTACTTTGTATGAAAAATAGTTTATATAAAATATAAACTTTGTATTAAAAATTGCCCCTTTCAGTAAACAACCCTTTAGTGCGTTGATAAGGGCACTTAATTAATGGATGTGGAGTATGACGCGCGGGTTTTTAATTACTTTTATGAGGCTTCTTTATACGATGATGTTTTCATTACATTTTATTTCGAACAAAGTACATTTTCAAAAAACAAGTATAACTCATTAGGACTCGACTATCGACTCTCCGATCGCAATCTTTCAGTCTAGTCTAGTATATTTTTATAGCAAAAGAAGAAACTAATACTTCGATATCATGGGGTGATTAAATATGGTCTTCCGTTATAGGATTGAATCTGTTAAGAAAGAGGACAAGGGCATGTACCAGTGTTTCATCAGGAACGATCAAGAGAGTGCCGGTGCAAGTGCTGAACTTAAACTCGGTGGACGATGTAAGTCATTGCTGAACATTAATTAATTATTTTATTATGTTAATTTCCTCTCGAAAAGATGATGTTCCACTTCGATGGGTACTTGCCATTAATTAAACTGTTTACGTACCATCCTTTACCTTATTCTCATTCAAAATGGGTGAGTCATTTTAATTTTTTTAGCAAATCAAACACTACGCTGTAGGTACTAGAAATTATTGTTCGAAATCAGCCGAAATATATTAGAAGTCTGCATTAAACCTGCGTTTCTACGAGTCTTAAATTGGGGAAGTATAAAGCAAAAGAAAATGTCTCTAAACTCTTAGTTCGTTTCTTTTATATTTTAAAACTGGGAACGTAATATCACAGAGATTGTAATATTGAATACTGACCTAATACGCGCTTAAATTACAAACGAATTGGGCCACTTGTGGCGACCATGTAATGATTGTGCCTCGCAACAGTTCAGCACAACCACTGAATCAATCTAAAAACGACCTTCACTTCAACATTACCATTACGTACAAATATGGGTGGAGGTGTGTGCCAGGATCGTGGAAATCGGAAATACAAAAAGAGAGGGAAGGAAAAAAAACTATTCTGCACTCGGAGATTTAGTTCTCTACCTAATCTGTAATTGAATGCGACGAATTACGAAGGGATGTGAAAGGATCATGGAAACTTGATATCCCTCTCTACCTACACTCCGAGTGAAAGGAATTACTGTTTAAGCGCGTAACTCTCGTTTTTCTCTTAAAACATTTCGTTTCCGCTTGCAGTCGAACCGCCCCTAATCCGGCACAGCTTCGGCGAGCAGACCCTCAGGTCGGGCCCCTCCTTGAGGCTGAAGTGCGTCGCCTCCGGAAACCCGACCCCCGACATCGCGTGGCTCCTGGACGGCGAGAAGCTGAGCAGCGGCGAGCGCCTTCAGATCGGACAATTCGTCACCGCCGACGGCAACGTCGAATCCCACCTTAACATCTCCTCGGTGCACACCAACGACGGCGGACTGTACTCCTGCATCGCGTCCAGCAAGGTATGTGTTCCGTGGAGTTGAAATTGGTGAAAAGGCCATTAACCATTATAAGCAGATTAACAGTCAACTGCCACACCTGTCCATGGCAGATGGGGACCTGTCCATCCCAGACTGGGGAGTTCATATACCGTTTGATTTATTTAAATTAGTATTCCTCGAGAAAGTAATTACCTTCATCGCTAATAAAATTTATTATATAACATTTAATTGTGTAATATTTTTTTACACTGAAATATGTGTAAATTGCTCTTGTTCTACACGTTCACTATACCACAGAGTTTCTAGTCGTTACCGTGACAAGTCTGAACTAGTGATAGACTGTGACGTTGACAAGTGTTCGTGAGTAAAGAAATGACGTTCAATTGACGTTACGGCTACCCCGGCGACATCCCATTCGCGAATGAAAACGAACGATTGGAGATCTTTCCTCGTTCGTTCGATTGAACGAGTGAACTCGTTGGCAGGTCGGCAGCGCCTCCCACGCGGCGCGCGTCAACGTCTACGGCCTGCCTTACGTGCGCCCGATGAAGAAGCGGCCGGTCGTGGCAGGAGACACCCTTATCGCCCACTGCCCTGTCGCCGGCTACCCCATCGAGTCCATCGTCTGGGAACGCGACAACCGGTATGCCTTATAGAGCGAAATAATATATAACCTGGCATAGTGGATAGTCAACCTGTCTATTGCGCCAGGGTGGGTGTTCGATTCTATTAGAAAAGTATTTTGTGGTGAACGGTGTTTTCCTGATGTTAGGTGATAACCGCCGTCCATGGACATTTACAACTCCCGTAGAGTTGCAAATTCGTTACCACCTTTTAATAAAGTAGACCCCAGTTACCTCGCTAACCAGACGAAACGCACTCCTACTCCACGCCGGTATTCTGTGAGGCCATGGTACTATCCCCGACGGTCCTGCCCATTCGTGCATCAGCGAACGCTGTTGCGTGGCCCTACCATAGTAAAAAATATTGTTTGTAAAATAACAGCAAATTATAATGAACCTGAACATGACTGAAATCCGAAAACAAATTATAAACAAAAAAAATAAAAAAAATATGTGGACCGAATTGTGAATCTAAACCATTCTCGAATCGACCTGAAGACACATACAAAATTTCATTAAAATCGGTCCAGCCATTTAAGAGGAGTTCAGTGACATATACACGTACAGAAGAATTATATATCTAAATAGCGACCCGTCCCGACTTCGCGCGGGTGCAATGTCTTGAATCACTCTATCTAGTAAAAAAAACGCATCAAAATCCTTTGCGTAGTTTTAAAGATCTAAACATACATAGGGACAGACAGACAGCGGGACGACTTTGTTTTTTACTATGTAGTGGAGATGTTGAAAACATTTGAACTTTGGGCTATGTAAAAAACAACATTTCTTGTTCAGCGTGCTGCCTATAAACCGAAAACAGAAGGTCTTCCCCAACGGCACCCTGGTGATTGAGAACGTGGAACGTATGAGTGACCAAGCCACCTACACCTGCGTCGCCAAGAACTCCCAAGGATACACCGCCAAAGGAACGCTCGAACTTCAAGTCATGGGTATGTAAAGCTACATTTGTTTTATAAATATACTATAGTTATATCACTGAATTTGCTCAATAAATTGGAGTTTAACATTTTACCTGTCAGAAAATGTTAGTTCACTAAAAATGGTTTCAAAACTTTATATGCTATACGCAATCGATATTATTAAAATTGAAAAAAAATATTCTCCTATTTTGGGCTTCATAAGCTTAAGTTACGAAATAGCTTAATGGCGTGAGACCTTATAATGTGGTTGCTAATTAGTGTTAGTTGTTTTTTGATTCACCACCACAATTTTCCACCATACAGTAATAAACAGAAATTCTCAATAATTAAACTCCATTTCATATGGGCAAATTAAAGGCACTGTTAACGATATAAAAGATATAAATTAGATGAAACATATTACGAGAAAAACAATTATATGGTTATTTATTTACCAACTGTCTTTATTATTTATCGATTTTCAAATTTTCAAAATCCCCTCAAGAAGCCTGTATATCTTTTACGAAAGTTAACAGTTTCTAGGTGAAGATTATTCATACAAATAGAATTAAGAAGAGTTTACTGTCCACAAATTCAATGAATTAACATATTAAAAATTCTTGCTACAATAATTGCCTTCAAATAGAATCAAATTTTTATGTAAAAACAAATACTCTATGGTTGAGTAACGAAATATATAAAATAAGGGTTGATTTAATGTAGTACGATTTTTTTTATATTTAAAAATTTAATTTTGTTTGTTTCAAGTTACATTCAGAAAAATATAATACAATACAACAAAATACAATATTTACGAAATTAAAAAGTTAAAAGTCGATTGAAGGATTCAGATTCCAGCTCCAGTAAGTTAATTCGATTATTAATTATTTGTGGAAAGTAATAACCCTGAGTTAATAAAATCTTTTAAATTTTATTTTTTACATAAATAAAAGTAAAGATTTAGTTTTGAAAACGGTTTTAGAGAACGAGAGTTTGATAATTAATTGAAATCTAAAAAAAAATTCTCAGGACCTCTTCTTTAATCAATAATGTCATAAATTTATACCTTAAACCTCTGGAAATAAAAAAAAAATATTTTCTAAATCAATATGAATCGATAAATTTCAAAATAATGTAATCACTGCTTAAAATACATTTAGTTTTTGAGCATATTCGCATCAGTTTATGACATTATATAATTTGTGTTCCTAACGATAATTCCTTTTCAGATGTCGACATTTCTCAGGTGTTTACGATATTCCGAATTCGCAAAGTCCAAATTAACAGTATTGTCGCGTTAGTATTAGACAAGTTTATGCCCGCCAAAGTTCGCCGTCCGCACGAACCCCACTTACGTTGAAACGGCCTTGTCCAAGTCGAGTCTAACGCAGTGCCGCCGCAAATACTGCCGTTCGAGTTCGGCGGCGAGCCAGCCAACGCCGGCGACCTTGCCTCGGTCACGTGCGCGGTCAACAAGGGCGACCAGCCCCTAAACATTAGCTGGACCCTCAACGGGCAGCCGCTGAGGAACGAGCTCGGCGTAACCCTGACCGGCATCAACAAAAAGACCTCGATACTGAACATCGATTCCGTTGCCGCGATCCACCGGGGCGTGTACTGCTGTGTGGCAAGCAATCAGGCCGGCTCCGCTAACCACAGCGCTGTACTCGAAGTCAACGGTACACAACAGCATCACCGATCAACTGATCTGTTATCCCTTTTGTTTAACACACCTCCCCATCCCGAACAAGGCCCCGTCGTAATGATGTTCCTATTATAGTTCCTCCGCAAATCACTCCGTTCGAATTCGGCGAGGAGATACTGAACGAGGGCGAAACGGCCTCCGTGTCTTGCGTTATGAGTAAAGGCGATCTTCCAGTCACGTTCAAGTGGCTTTTCAATGGGGAGGAGATAAGACCACATAACCCCCTGAGCATCGTACTCACGACGATCAGCAAGAAAACCTCCATACTTAACATAGAAGCGGTCAACTACGCTCACCGTGGTTCATACACTTGCCAGTTAAAAAATGCGGCCGGCGAAACCAACCACACCACGTTGCTTAGTGTTAATGGTTAATAACGATTCTATCGGTTTTAATGATTACTTTTAGTTCTGTATTTAATGCTTCTAATTCCTCTTCCTCTTACCTGTCTTCTCCGAAGCGATCAGCGATATTCACCTTTAAATATTTTCCAAAAAAATAATTTTGGTCTTTTGGTCGAAAACATTTTGCTCTATAGCGAGACTTTTACTCTTCATTCAAATGAAATAACCATTACACTTTCTGTATTATGATTAAAAAAATCTGAAAGTATACGTCTTTTGACGTTAGATCAAGAACGTTTAAAGTTTGCGTTATTATATGGTTGCAAAATTGCAAAATGTCATTTTTAGTCTGGTTCTCAATGAGTTTCATTTTTTAATCCTCGCGACAGTTTTACCCCAAATACATCCATTTACCTTTGGAGACGAGCCGGCCAATGCAGGGGATACCGTCGGTGTTCAATGCATGGTAACAAAAGGCGACTCTCCCATCAATATCACGTGGCGTTTGAACGGAGCAGAGGTGAAAGACATCTCCGGCATTACCGTAACCAAGATCGGTCATAAGTCAAGTACTCTATCCATAGACTCGGTATCTATGATACACACAGGAGTTTACACTTGTTCGGCCACAAATCAGGCGGGTCATGCTAATTATTCGTCGGAACTAGCAGTGAACGGTAATTAACTCTGATCAAAAGCGATTGCCCTTTTTTTACGAAGTTTAATTATGTACCTATATTTACAATCCTCTCCTTCCTCATCTTCGAGTATAGCCCTGTCGAGAAATAGAGTAGTTGAAAATGTTATGTACATTATATGTTAACAACCATATACGAATATACCACCGGGTGCATATTGATTGGGCGAATGTTGACAGTTGTGCCACAGGTAACGCCTTTCGATTTCGGCGAGGAGATATTGAACGCTGGCGACACAGTTTCTTTGACGTGTACGGTAGGAAAGGGAGACTTACCCCTGAACATCCACTGGCAACTCAATAACGAGACGTTAAACTCTGGAAATGGAATACAAATCAATAGGAACGGAAAGAGAATCTCAATTTTAAGCATCGAAAACGTTCAACACGTACACATCGGAAGATACACTTGTATAGCTGAAAACGAGGCTGGTCGTAGTAGCCACAGCGCGCTGCTCAACGTTAATGGTACAAGTTTGAAATAGCAAAATACGATTTATTTGTATACTTAATTTGCTTTTTGTTTGCGCTCTTTATTTATGTATGTATAATACAATCAATATCGTATTCCTTACAATGTCCTGTTGTAACAAAGGGGATCAACGGTACAGTTGACTCATTCCTTGAAGAAGATACACTAATAAATGAACGTATATTTAAAATTTAGTTGCGCCGCAAATAATGCCCTTCGATTTCGGAACTGAACCTGTTAACGATCAAGAAACGGTGGTCGTTACCTGCACGGCTAGCAAAGGCGACTCTCCATTTAATTTCCAATGGTATTTCGACGGCCAATTAATAAGATCCGATGTTAACGGCGTCGTACTCACAAACTCCAAAAGGACCAGCCAACTCGCCATAGAGTCTGTCAGTCATCGCAACCAGGGAAACTACACCTGTCTCGTCAAAAATCAAGCGGGGACGGTTAACCACACGACCGAGTTATATGTGAACGGTATCAATATTCACTTGCTAATTGTTTTCATTCATTTTTTACTTATTCCCACCTCCCGCAGTCCCTCCGCAAATAAAACCCTTCGATTTTGGCAAGGAGCCGATTAACGCCCAAGAAATGGTTTTGATTACGTGCACCGTGAACAAAGGTGACCAACCGTTGACAATCGAATGGTATTTCAACGACAACAAAGTAAAGTCGGGTGAAGCTGGGATTAGTTTGTTGAATACGAAGCGCTCCAGTCAGCTCAGCGTGGAATCGGTTAGCCATGAAAACCAAGGGAATTATACGTGCGTAGTGAAAAACGAAGCCGGCTCCGTGAATTACACCGCACAGCTATTTGTAAACGGTACAAGCTTAAACAGTCCTTAGCTTAGATTCTTCTTAGATTGAGTATGTTTGTGTATCTTATTCAGCATACCCCACCTATTCCTTAATAACTTTGGCGGGTCATAAAGATGAATAGGTCTGCGATCTTTGACAAATAAATATGTTGGAAGTCATACCTTCAAATAATAACAGAAGTTATTCATAGCAGATTACACTTACATTAATTTCAGTCGCACCCATCATAACTCCTTTTGAATTTGACGAATCGGTGTTTTTTGGTGAGGGAGTTCAGGTTATGTGTCACGTCCCAAAAGGAGATAAGCCTTTAACCTTCAAGTGGAGCTTCAATGGAGGAGAAGTGAGTTCACTCCCTGGGTTGAATATTATGAATGTTGGTGACATGGGATCTGCTCTCATCATTCCCACTGTGACGGCCAAACATTCGGGCAATTATACGTGCACTGCCTCCAATATTGTTGCCAGAGCTAGCCACCACGCAACACTCAATGTCAAGGGTATCCGTTTACTGTAAATTGTATGTGCTTTTCGTGTTTAGTTTTACCCCCACTTTCCTCCTCGTATACTAATGTCTCACTTATATTTTATTATAATTTTCATTTAACGATCTCTTACAGTGGCGCCAATAATATCTCCCTTTGAATTTGATGAATCAGTATTTTATGGAGAAAGCATTCAAGTTATGTGCCACATTCCAAAAGGCGATATGCCGCTAACCCTTAAGTGGTCGTTCCGTGATCATCCTTTAGAAAATGTCAACGCAGTAACGGTTACAAAAGTAGGACATCGGTCTTCGATATTAGCCATACCCTCTGTTACTGAGAAACACTCCGGGAATTATACTTGCACAGCATCGAATACCGTAGCGAGCACAAACCACACAGCTACATTAAATGTTCAGGGTACACTTAATATTTTATACTGTATGCCATTATTTTCTGTATTTTGTTTATCCCTTTTAAATTTCCCATATCAGTACCTCCACACATCGTTCCTTTTGAGGCTGAAGAGCCAGTCTTTGCCGGAGAGTCTATGCAGTTGAACTGTCACATCTCCAAGGGCGATGCACCTATCGCTATAACCTGGAGTTTCCATGGCAAAGATTTATCCTCGCACCAAGGAATCTCAACTATGAAGATTGGCCAACGGACGTCACTGCTAACGATATCTAGCGCCACTGCTAGTCACAGCGGCGAATATTCATGCCATGCGAGCAATCAAGCCGGAATCGCTGTGCATTCAACCTTGGTCAATGTACACGGTACCACCCGAACCACTCAGTCCATAGCCTACGCCGCACGTTGCACGCTTACCTATATAATCATTTGGGCTTTCTGAATTAACAGTAATGCCACACATCGTACCCTTTGAGGCTGACGAGTCTGTGTTTGCCGGAGAAACGGTTCAACTCAACTGTCACGTCTCCAAGGGCGATCTGCCACTTGAGATCAAGTGGCACTTCCATGGGTTTGAGAACGCATCATCGCATCTGGGAATAATGACAACCAGAATTACGTCACGCACCTCATTTCTTTCCATCGCCGCGGTGAGCGCCAGCCACAGTGGCAACTACACCTGCGTTGCCACAAACCATGCCGGCTCCACTAACCATACAACCGTAATTAACGTTCGTGGTCAGTCTCGACTTGTCGTGTTTTGAAAATGCGCTATGTTCAACGCTGCGGCTTGTTGTACATGAGATTATGTTGACTGGATAAGCATGTATTCTCTTGACATAATTTTTAATAGCGTACACGTACTTGGTTTCCTTTTTCTATTCACTTTATTTTGTTTTGGCTTTCTTTGTACTATCTCTATAATAACTACGTGGTTTATTGTGTACCATTAAGTTAATTAACATCAACTCAATTCAATTAACTGCTCGAGATTTAACATGCGAATTAAAGTGTTAAATTATTCATTTAAAACCAATGAAATAATTCTTTACGCTCCCATTATAGATGTCTATAGACGTGACTGGAAGATCTAATATTTTTTTTATCATATACAAATTCATTTGGAAATTTATCATGGAAAAATTAAACATTCATTCTTTTTTTGCATCCAGTCCTTCCACACATCAAATCGTTTGAATTAGAAGAGGCCGTATTTGCCGGAGAAACGGTGCACTTAGATTGTTACGTGTCCAAGGGAGACATTCCTTTAAATATTTCCTGGAGCTTCAATCACAGACCGGTGACGCACAAAATGGGAATAAAAACTACCAAGCCTAGTGAACGCGTGTCAATACTAGACATACCGAGCGCTTTGGGAACAAATAGTGGCAACTACACGTGTACAGCTACCAACAGAGCTGGTACAACGAATCACACAGCGACTCTCAACGTGATCGGTATTAAATATAATTTTAGTCGAGTCGATAATTCCCGTGCTTTTTCCTATTATTTATTTCCTACCCTTCGTCGATCATTAATTAGTCTTAAAATCCGGTCACAATTCCTTTCGTTTCCTATATTAAAACAGATAGAAATAGAGTAATAAAAACCAAAATTTGACACGAACAATTAACGCCTTTGACCCTAACAAGGTAAATTAAAATAGCAAATGCCCCAAGCATTCACCAAGCTAATTTATTGTCAAACAAGAAATATTGAAGCAGTAAAAGGTACTCTCAAAATATAAAGAACAAAAAATAACTTCAAAATTGAAACCTTCATATTGTTATGTATCGTTAAAAGTTAACATACACAAACTTACAATAACTTCAGTGTTTTTACATTATATTCGAACAAGATCATGTACGATTAGTGCTGAATTAATGTAAAAAAATATTAATTCTAGGTCTTCTTTTTTATCTGTTATGCTCCAATAACCAATCTTTCAAAACTTTGGCGGTAAATCAAAGGTCAACTTTATAATGTTAGATATTATTCTGACGTGGCGATTAAATAAGACAAATATTTTGTCCTGTAGTTGTTCCGCAAATAATGCCATTCGATTTTGGCGTGGAACCAGTGAACGACCAGGAAATGGTGGTTGTGATCTGCACGGCTAGCAAAGGCGATTCGCCTTTCGACATTCAGTGGCACTTTAACGGACAAGTCATAACATCTGGTGTCAACGGAGTAGTCCTTACGAATACAAAGAGGACAAGTCAACTCACAATAGAGTCTGTCACTCATCGTAACCAGGGAAATTACACTTGTCTTGTACGAAATCAAGCTGGAGCGATAAATCACACCGCCGAACTTTATGTCAACGGTACAACTATTTATTGACGTTTCTAATTTATTTTTATTATACTTTCCCGCTCCTGCAGTCCCACCGCAAATAAATTCCTTCGAATTCAGCGAGGAGCCTGTTAATGCCCAAGAAATGGTTTTGGTAACTTGCACCGTTAGCAAGGGTGATCAGCCGTTAGACATTGGATGGTATTTAAACGAGAATAAAGTGCAATCAGGCGCTCTTGGAATCACACTCGTAAACACGAAGCGAACAAGTCAACTCAGCATCGAATCCGTTAGCCACCAGAATCAAGGAAATTACACATGCGTTGTAAAAAACGAAGCTGGATCTGTTAACCACACCACTGCACTTTTAGTCAACGGTACTCATTTGGAGAACTTAAGCTTAGTTTCGGTGTAGAGTTGTGTTTTAATTTATCCTTCACCTCTCACACCTATCCCATAACTTTGGCGGGTCATAAAGCAATAATTGAAATAAGACAATATTTAGTAGCTATTTAAAGTCGTTACGACACTGCGATGCGAAGATAAAAAAAGATGTTTTATTTAAAAAAATATATTCATTGACCAATTTTCACAGTGGCACCGATGATATCTCCTTTTGAAATCGATCAAGCGGTATTTTATGGAGAAAGCATACAAGTGTTATGTCATGTTACAAAAGGCGATATGCCCTTGACCCTCAAATGGTTCTTTCGTGACAGTCCAGTGTATGATCTTAAAGGAGTAATAGTATCAAAAGTAGGAGAACGATCTTCAATATTGGCTATACCGTCTGTTACCGAGAAACACTCTGGAAATTATACTTGCACAGCTTCGAATACTGTAGCGAGAACAAACCACACAGCTGTATTGAACGTTCAGGGTACACATAATGTAAATTATTGTACGGTTATTATTTTATTTTATTTATGTTTTACTTTTTCCCATCAGTTCCTCCGCACATCGTCCCCTTTGAGGCTGAAGAGCCAGTTTTTGCCGGAGAATCTATGCAGTTGATGTGTCATATTTCTAAAGGAGATGCACCTATTTCTATTAGTTGGAGTTTTCATGGAAAAGATTTATCCTCTCACCAAGGCATTTCTACTACAAAGATGGGCGAACGCACTTCAGTGCTTACTATATCTAGCGCAGCTGCTAGTCACAGTGGCGAATACTCTTGCCACGCGAGCAACAAAGCTGGTCTCGCAGTACACTCAACATCGGTCAATGTACACGGTACCCCGCGTAACCCCTAATTTCTCTAGCCTGCGCCGCACGATGCACGCTTGCCTCAATACTTACTCGGGCTTTCTAAATTAACAGTACTGCCATACATCGTACCTTTTGAGGCGGATGAGTTTGTGTTTGCCGGAGAAACCGTCCAGCTGAACTGTCACGTCTCCAAGGGTGATCTGCCACTTGATATAAAGTGGCACTTCCATGGGTTTGAGAACGCATCATCTCATCTGGGAATAATGACAACTAAAATGACGTCACGCACATCATTCCTTTCCATCGCCGCGGCATCCGCGACTCACAGTGGCATCTATACCTGCGTAGCTACAAATAGTGCCGGCTCTACCAATCATTCCACTGTCCTAAATGTTCATGGTCAGTTTTGTATATTCATACTACGACAAAAATCATGATTTTTTGTGCTACTTTCGCAGAAGATATGTTAATGGAATCAGCATGAGTTTTGTTAACATATCTGCAAGCAGTATCCTATTATTTTAGTTTTGGTTCTCATAATTTGTTTTAATTCCTCCACTCACAGTATATTTTATTTGTTTAAAACAGTTACACCGAATATCTTGCCATTCGATGTTGATCAAGCTTTGTTCTCCGGGGAGTCGGTACAAATGATGTGTCACATATCAAAAGGCGATACCCCTCTGGACGTCCACTGGGAATATAATGGTCAAAGGTTATCGCGAGAGCTAGGAACATTTTCCAATGTGGGAGAACGATCGTCTGTGCTGGTGCTTCCTTCTGTAGTTGGAGCTCATAGCGGAAACTACACCTGCATCGCTAAAAATCGTGCAGGAACGGCGTCGTATACAACTGTACTCAAAGTTATTGGTATTTAACTGAATATACCGGCTTCCAGTAATATTTGTTATGACTTCCTTATACCTACCCAACTTAACCGCTTTTTTTTTTCTTCCAATTAAAGTGATTCCATACATTAACCCGTTCGAAGTAGAGGAGTCAATCTTCGCTGGCGAGTCGATACACCTTACTTGTCACGTGTCAAAAGGAGACCGACCGCTTCAAATATCTTGGAGTTTCCAGGGTCAGGAAATACCTTATCATAATAATATGGGAATAACTACCACGAAATTAGGAGAAAAGGCATCTGTCCTTAGCGTTCCAACGGCAATGGGGCAACACAGCGGCAACTATACATGTACTGCAAGTAATCGTGCTGGACGTGCACACCACTCAGTACTTGTCAACATTCATGGTTCGACGTTGCTACCTTTTACGTTTGACGTAACTTATTTGTATAGTTAAATGAATGTCATAGACAATGCACGTTTAGATTTATATTTAGATTCTCTTTTTCTCATTTGGTCAGTTCCTCCCCATATAATGCCATTCGAGATCGAAGAGTCCGTGTTTTACGGTGAATCTGTGCAAATGACTTGCCACGTCAGTAAAGGAGATCGTCCGCTTGAAATAACATGGACATTCGAGGGCCAAGATCTGTCCACTCATGCTGGTATCAAGACAATGAGGATGGCGGAGCAAACGTCCTTCCTATCGATAGACTCAGTTACTGGAACTCACAGTGGCAATTATACTTGCATTGCAAAAAATAAAGCAGGAGAAGACAGATTTTCTACTCCTCTCCACGTTAACGGTACCCTTAGTTAATATTCCAGCATGTCTCGATATATATTTAACTAACATTGGCAAATTTTCTTTGCTCAGTCGTTCCCCACATCAAACCATTCGAGTTGGACGAGGCGGTATTCGCGGGGGAACCAGTTCATCTTGATTGTCATGTATCCAAAGGCGACATACCATTGAACATAATATGGACATTCCAAGGCAAACCTGTATCGCATGGAATGGGCTTGAAGACAATGACGCTCAGTGACCGAGTTTCCGTATTAGATATCCCCAGCGCCCTGGACAGTCACAGCGGCAACTACACTTGTACGGCTACAAACAGAGCGGGAACCGCGAATCACACGGCCGTCCTTAACGTGATTGGTACAAAACTTATTGATTCCCGTGGTGCTTGCTTTCTGTTTAGTTCCTCCCGTGGTCCAACCTTTCTCGTTCGGGGAAGTCATGAATTCTGGGCAAGTCGTAACGGCTCCATGCTCGGTCATCGAGGGCGATCATCCGCTTCGACTGCGATGGCTTTTCGACGACGAACCAATTAAGCCAAGGTCCGGGGTCACAGTCTTTAATATCGGAGAGAGAAGCGCTATACTTAGTATCAGTTCCGTGTCAGACAAGCACGCCGGAAACTACACTTGCCTTGCAGAGAACGAAGCAGGAGCGCATTCGCACACCTCAACTTTAATTATTAACGGTGCCTAAAACCGCGATTTCTCTAATATATAAATTATTTTGGAATATGTTATTCTTGTGGGCGTTTTTAATTTTGTTTTTTTTTACATTTCACTAAGAATCCGCAAAAACTAAATAATTCCAGTCCCCCCCAACATTTTGCCGTTCACTTTCGGCGAGAAGCCTGCCAATGTCGGAGAATATTTACAAGCGGCGTGTACCATAAGCCTCGGCGACCTCCCACTTACTATAACGTGGATGTTTAACGGCCAAGTAATATCAAAAAGAAACAATGACTACACAATGACCAATTCTAAAAGAAGTAGTTTACTGATAGTCGAGTCTGTTGACGCTAAACACGCTGGTTCCTATACGTGTATTGGCGAAAATCGCGCGGGACGAACTACTTATTCAGCTGATCTTATCGTTTACGGTTAGTTCTAATAATAATCGTAGTAGCCTGTTCTGTATCATTTAGAAAACATATTATTTTATATTTCCTAATATGAATGACACCTTTAGCCTTCGCCCGGAACCAGCTAAATATAGGGAATCGGTTATTTTAATACTACATATCGAAATTACAATATATAATAACACGTGGTAAAAGAAGCGAAGTACAATTATAGAACAATTAAATGTAATCTTATTTGCTGCATATAATTATTACAAGTACATATATCGATCAATGACTGGAATAAATTTTTGTCCTAGTTCCACCATTGATAGTGCCATTCAGTTTTGGGGAAGTGCCGTCTAATCCAGGCGACACCGCGGTAGTAAACTGTGTTGCTACTAAAGGAGATCTACCATTAGAAATTTCGTGGACATTTAGCAGCGAGACGATAGACTCGAGTCTGCATCGCGGCATCACTACGACACCGCTAAGTCCACGAGCTTCTGTCCTTACAATCAACTCGGTGACTGCCAACCACCAAGGAAACTACACTTGTATCGTGCAAAACGCCGCTGGCCGCGCTGAGTACGCGGCGACCCTCGTCGTAAATGGCACGTTTATAAAATATCTCCGCAACGAATGAATCATAACGGGGACTAACATCACAGATCGCACCAATCTGAAGGATCCAATCCGTCCAACCTCACTGCTCTTCTCCACGTACTCTCACTAGTTGCTAACAATGTTTAACAGAAAAAAATTAACATGATCATGTATGATTGTTTCCAGTACTGCCTCGCATAGTTCCATTTTCGTTTGAGACCCCATTGTACGCGGGGCAGGCGAGTCAGGTCACATGTTTTGTTTCGGAAGGCGATCAGCCTCTTGACATTCATTGGTACTTTGATGGGCGTCCCTTGAAAGAAATGACCAATGTAGCGGCAACTAAAATTGCGCAAAGAGCTTCGCTGCTCCTAATCGACCCTGCTGGCTGGTCACACAGCGGTTCTTACATGTGTCTCGCGCGCAATGCCGCTGGCTTCTCCAACTATTCCGCCTCTTTAGAAGTTCATGGTATATACCCACATGTGTACCCTTTATTCCTAGCACGGAAAAGCTTTGCATAGTTTCCATATTGTGTGCTTACGTCGCGAAACTGTTTAGATCCACAATAAAAATTTAACTGTAATATCATTTTTAAGATCAAATTTCTGATTATAAGTTATAAAGTTACGGAACATCGCGAAAAGCGTCAAAAATGGGAACAGAAAACTGACACTCGCAGGAACCGGCTGCGGCTATCATCGACGAAACCATTTCTTCTTCCTCTCCCAGCATTTTACTGTCCAATAACCTAACCGTCTCCTTCAGTTCCATCTGTTTCTATTTTTTTCTGATATGCATCTTTCGCTTTTGGGTTTGCATGTTGCTTGCCATATTTAAACTGTTGAAATAATACATTTAAAACTAACCTAACAAATAACAATATTTCATGTAAATGATTATTTCAACGGTGTAATGGAAAATTTATATTCATTTGCCTTTATGCTTTTTCTTTTTTTTTTAAGTCCCATTTTTTTTAGTTTTTGTGGCTTGAAATAATTTTATTTCGCTAATAAATTACTCTCACAAAGGCTTCTATAGCGACAGCTTCAGCAAAATCTCGGAAATAATATGTAAACGATATACACGTAAATTTTGTAGTTACATAAAATATAACTTTTTTTTCTGTGTACGTTATAGGAGCTTTTGATTGTACTTAACTGAACTAGAATTTAAATGCATATGTCAATTATTTTCTTAATTTGTATTTAAAAGCACTGTTCTAGATAAAGTCCACTGAAATTAGCTTTAGTATATTTACACACTCTGTTTGCAAGTTAATAACCTACATACAAACGACAAAGCAAAGCGATTCTAGTTCGGCTAAAAAATTATAATATTGAAAAAAGTAATACAAAAGTAATAAAATAATTGATTTCCCGTTAAAAATTATGTAAAGATATTTGATACGTTAAACATTTAGATATACATGCCAGGTGCCGTCTAAGCAATACTTAATCGGTTTCTACTATTACAAAAAAATTGATCCAGAGGATAGCTCAATCATTTAACATAATACTTTATTAAATTATTATTAATGAATTAATCAAATTCTAACTCTTTAAATTCAAATAGTGTTTTTATTGAGAAATTTTAATTTGAGAAATGTGCCATTAACCAATTATGACGGCGCCTGGTATCAACTCAAAATAAATGCAAAGTTTATTGTAACTTTTCTTGTTCAAATCTATTTATTAAAATTAAAAAATTCCAATTACTCTCAAAGTAGCAAGCCATTAATGTTTGTTTTAGAAAATATGACATGAAACTAACCTAACTGGTTATATTTTAGTTCCCCCACGTTGGATTCTTGAGCCCACTGATAAAGCTTTTGCCCAAGGCTCTGATGCTAAAGTTGAATGTAAAGCCGATGGTTTCCCTAAGCCCCAGGTGACATGGAAGAGGGCTGAAGGTATGAATTAATATTTTATTTATGCATAAAACTGATATTGAACATAATAGGCCATAAAAAATTTAAATTACTTTAAGGGGACACACCTGGCGATTACAAAGACCTTAAACCCAACAATCCTAATGTGAAAGTTGAGGATGGAACATTGACCATTAATAATATTCAAAAGACCAACGAAGGATACTACCTGTGCGAAGCTGTTAATGGAATTGGATCTGGCCTATCTGCTGTGATTATCATCAGTGTTCAAGGTAATGTACTATAAGGTGTAATGGATAATGTACTAAATGTACATACACACACATATTTATACATATATATGTATATATATTATGTTATATTGTAAAAGAAGATGACAACTACATACTACAAAGCACTACTTTTGCTTCCTTCAATCCGTTAAATTATTTAACGGAATTATTTCTTTACAGACAGTACCGTTGATGAAATAATAATTTTGATTTTTCAGCTCCACCCCAATTCGAAATCAAAATGAGAAATCAGACTGCCCGCCGCAGCGAACCAGCGGTACTGCAATGTCAAGCAAAAGGAGAAAAGGTAAAAGAATACAATGTAATGTAGTTTTCCTTTGATATTCCAATAAAATTTGACATTTCTCGTATTAATCGTAAATAAATGGGAGCTTTTACGGTGTGACATGTGATTCTGTTTCCACGACTGAGCGAATTTGGATAAAATCAGAAATTGTGTTTCGTTGACCAATCCGTGATTCAATGATATTCTTTATAATGTGCTTTTGAATATGCAGCCAATCGGAATTATCTGGAACATGAACAACAAACGCCTCGAGCCCAAATCCGACCCACGCTACACAATTCGCGAAGAAATCTTGCCCGGCGGTGTCGTCTCCGACCTTAGTATACGGCGGACCGAACGATCTGACAGCGCTCTTTTCACTTGCGTCGCAACGAACGCTTTCGGATCTGATGACACCAGTATCAACATGATCATCCAAGGTACTTACGAAGTGACAATTGCTTCTTTATAAGTTACTCTTAAAAACTCTTATAAGTTGCCTTTAACAATGACAATTTGCATTTCCAGAGGTACCCGAAGCTCCCTATGGCTTGAAAGTTCTGGACAAATCTGGAAGGACTGTCCAACTATCTTGGGCCGCACCGTACGACGGAAACTCGCCAATTAAGAAGTTCCTTATTGAGTACAAACGAGCAAAGGGCAACTGGGAAAAGGATATCGATAGGTGTGTAATTATTTAATACATCACGAGAATGAGCCCACTTTGAGTAGTATTATTTCAATATCGGTGAAGATTTGCAGATCTCGATTTTAAAGATCTGGTATATGACTTTTTGAATTAGTACTACAAAAATAATTTGTGTACTACTACAAAGTGAATGAATATAAACTCACCGAAACACTCATTAAATGAAAGAACAGTAATTTGTTGAGTAATTTATTGATTTGAGTATTGTTATAAAAATAAACACTAAATGTGTTTATTTTCTATTCTAAGTCAATGACTTTAAAGGATATAAATGGAAAGGAGAGTTATGGCATATTTTCTGCAGGGTACTCGTGCCAGGCGATGCCACCGAAGCCGGCGTTTTCAGCCTCCGCCCAGCCACCGCTTACCACATCAGGATCGTTGCCGAAAACGAATTGGGAACCTCTGAACCATCCGAGACGGTGACCATCATCACAGCCGAAGAAGCACCCACTGGCATGCCGCAAGACGTGAAAGTTGACGCCGTGGACAAACATACCCTGCGAGTCACCTGGAAACCACCTCAGCCACAGGACTGGAACGGCGAACTTCAAGGGTGAGGAATAAGAAATAGTCTCTATACCAATATATTTATATTCTTTAATGTTTATGAGAAAATTTGGCAGGTAAGCGATTTACCTGATTTTTATTAACTAACTTCGCTCATTGACTTGATGGATACAGCACTTGAGAGGTTCTACATACGTTTCCAACCTTTAAAAAAGTAAGCTCCGGTTACCTCACTGGCTGAATGAAAAGCGAAAGTATAATACTACCACTTCACGACAATATTCGCTGAGGCCCTGGTACTTCTCCGACCAGACGACATGCCCATTCCTACAAGAGTACCGTAGTAAATAACTTGTCACAAAAAATTCAAAAGCTCATTTAGGTTACGTTTCCTTTTCTTCCAGATACTACGTTGGCTACAAATTGGCATCCAGCAACAAATCATTCGTGTTTGAAACTGTGGACATCTCTAAAGAATCTGGCAAAGAACATCATCTGGACATTTTGAACTTAAAGTGAGTGGTAATCTATAATGTCAAGTAGACAATACTCGACGTCTGTTGACTATTGTGTCTTAAGTTAATTAAATATGCAAAAACTCCTTACATTTTGTAAAAATCATTAACCTTTCCAAAATAAATTTACATCTTTCTTTCTTCTATTAGTGAAATTCGTCTTTATATCGCGAGTTTCACTGGATATATATACATTATTAAAACATAAACTGGCGAATCTTCGACACCAAAATGTATTTAAAAAATGGCGGATTATTGGGGCCAAAATACATTTTTGCAATAAAATAATCGCCAAAATATTGTTTTAGTTACCGTAATCTTTCTTTTAATTATGCCTTGTTATCAATGAGTGCTTCCCAACCATTGAGCTTAACACGGCGAAAAATTGGGGGATTTAAAATGGCCTTTTTTGCACGCAGGACGTACACGCAATACGCGATAGTGGTGCAGGTGTTCAACAAGATGGGCTCTGGACCAGTTTCGGGTGAAGTACGCGCTTACACCGCAGAGGGCGCACCCTCCGCGCCGCCGCAGGACGTGCTCTGCACCACGCTCACCGCCCAGACTATTCGCGTCTCCTGGGTTTCACCGCCTCTCGCTGCCGCCAACGGCCTCATTAAAGGGTACAAGGTCATATACGGCCCCAGCGACACCTGGTACGGTGAGTACCACAGTCCAGTATTAAAATTTGGTGACTCCATAGCGCATTTGCCAAGATATTGGCTTCGGCGCCGTAGTCGTAGGTTCGATTCACAGAGGACAACTTTTTGTGTGACTCACGGATAATTGATGTAAAGGTGTTTTTAAAAGTAAACTTGACGAAACATTCCGTAAACCTTTTCTTTCCTTAACCGTTTTTTATTTAAAATAAAATAAAGTTATATAACTTTATTTAAAACTAAAAACTTGTAACGAAACTGAAAACGTTAAGTTGTATGACTTCCGCGTGTCTTGCGTGTCACCGATCAGCGTTAAACTCTGGCACATAATAATTCTAATCACAACTTATCTTTCGTGAATTTTTAGATGAAAAGTCAAAGGACACCAAGATCACGGCAAGCAGCGAAACTATCCTCCACGGACTGAAGAAGTTCACCAATTACTCGATGGAAGTTCTCGCAACCACAAATGGCGGTGACGGCGTACGATCCGCTCCAATCCATTGTCAGACCGAACAAGATGGTAAGAATAAATACATTTTGAACATTGTCATACAAACCCTAGCATTAATTAATGTTGTCAATCATGGTCTGGAATAAGTTATGTTTTAACTAGATTTATTTTATATTTGTAAAAAATTAAATTTGTAGGAAAAGTACGAAAAGATTGTCGCCGCTGTGGGAATCGAACCCACGTCTTCGGCATTCGCGGCCTGACGCTCTAGCCACTGAGCTAAACGGCTGATTGACATACCGACGAAAATCTTAACGTCTTTTTTATCTTTATTGTTTTTTAGCATCTGAAGCAGATTTATTTTATCATAAAATAATAGTACTTAAATCTCTCGTTTATATAATTATAGTTCCTGAAGCTCCTCGCGCCGTAAAAGCCCTCGTTATGGGACCTGACTCCATCCTCGTTTCCTGGAGACCACCAGCGCAGCCCAACGGTGTCGTCACCCACTACAACGTCTACACTCAAGCCCAAAATACCGAACCTCATCCCAATAAGGTAACGGGTGAATTTCAATCTTTATGTACCCAAAAATTTTCAAGGTTATTTAAAAACGTATCAATCATCACATTATCAAGATAACCAAATCATTAACACAATGATTCTTGAGTTTACACGAATGCAACACATTGTTAAATAAAACTAATTTTAAATATTTTACCGGGTTTAATTTTGATTTTAATGTCCGACATTATGAACACTTTACAGTGAAATTACTTTTATTTGAGAACTCTTTAACAGTTTAAACCAAACCTGTACACGATCTTACTAAGTGCAATATAACATGTAAATTTATCCTAAGAACGAAAATAAATATTATAATATTCTATTCGTTTATACATCGCTGTATGTATAACATACATCACCTTTTACTGCTGTACGGATGAACGTATTCTACGGGTAAATATCAATACAGAAGATGTTTCGTAAAGTAGAAGTTGTATATAGAATCTATGCAAATGTTTCGGATTGTGAGTGAGGTTAATAGGAAGTTTTTATATTCCTTTATGTTACGGATTATTGAGGTTCCGTTATTAATATTAATTGTTGTATTTGTTTATCATCAGCTGAGTAACTTGCCCATTTGCCACCTTCTTTTATAAATAGGTGCCTGCATCCCAGACAAGCTACTCCGCGACTGAACTGAAGCCAGGCCGTTACGATTTCTGGGTGACCGCTTCCACAATCATCGGCGAAGGTCAACCCTCAGCTACCGCCTCTTGCAGCCCCAATGATAAAGGTAAACAAATATATGTATTCATAGTTATCTTGAATCAAAAGGATTTTCTTAGAATTCTGAATCAATGTAACTTAATATTGGTTAAAACTGAAGATTCATATATGTTTACGAAACTCTTTATCTTTTACACGAAAAGGTGCCACTACTTCAATTCATCCATAACTCTAGAATAAAATGCAATGCCACCATAGCCACCAATTACTGACCAATTTTACTATCAGATACTAGAAAGACGAACTAATTTTTAATTCTTAATGTTGTTCGAAAATTTCCATTTACAGTTCCCGCCAAGATTGCCTCTTTCGACGAATCGTTCACCGCTACTTACAAGGAAGACGTTAAACTGCCCTGCCTCGCCGTCGGTGTGCCCTCCCCTAACATTATATGGAAGGTATATTAAAAGATATTTTCATAACTGAACATAATCTGTAATTTTAATGCTTCTAATAGGTACATACGAAATTCATTATATCATGTTAAAAGAAATCCGAATATAAGAAATCTCTCTCATCCTTTTACTGTTGCAGTGTGTTGCACGAACTTTTACAATTTTACTATTAAAAACACCTTATGTAAAATTTCATTGTTAGTTTCATAGTTTTAATTATCAATTAAGATATAATAGAAATCCATAAAAAGTTGCGAAAACGACCGTTTTTCCTTTGAATCGTAATTAGTAAGTAGGCTTCGGCGGCGGGAATTGCGGTTTCGTTTCTAACACGGACAAGTATTTGTAAGACCCACAGATTATTAATTGTGCTGTCTGTCTCCAAGGAAGGATGTAAACTAGTCAATACCATTAACAAAATGAGGCATGGAGAAAGAGATTCACTGAGAATCTTCAAAAACGTATTGTCATTGTAAAAGAAAACCAAAAACAAACCAAATATTAGTCTTATGGCACTGGAACAAAATATACACCGTAACAGTAGCATGGTAGAGATGCAACGGTTAGTATTGCTGTTTCACGAATGAACGACGGAGAAGTACCTCGGTTTCGCCGAAAAACATTGTGAAGTTGGAAGTTGTACTGATTGTTTAGTTTCATTCCGTGAATGAAGTAACCGTCAACGAAGCTATGACTAACCTTAAATAAAACTGAAGAGAACAATGGGGCGGCCTCTTTTTTTTCCAAACAACAATTGCAAAGCTTCACCATTTCTTTTCCACCGACTCCAAAAGGATTCTCGTTTCGGTGATATTCCTGAAATTATGAACCGATTCGATCCGACCGATCGTTATGCTTCTCAGCTATAAGTTGTGATTTTTGTGTGAAGTGAACCCACTTAAAATTACAATTTTATATCATGCTCTTGTTTACGTGACGCTTCGCTTTTTAGGTGAAAGGACACCCCCTGGAGGCGTCGGAACGCGTTCGCCAATTGCCCGAAGGCTCGCTGCAGATCGCTGGGGTGGCGCGCGAAGATGCCGGCGAGTACTCCTGCCACGTGGACAACCAGTTCGGCACGGACACCGTCACCCACACGCTCTCCGTCCTCGGTGAGGACCACATTCAGATCTTATACCTCTTGATTATCAGCGTCCATCGTGGTAGGGCCACGCAACAAACTTCACTGTTGCACGAATGGGTAGTCCCGTCCGGTTAAGTATCACGACCTCACAAAAGACCTGGAAGAGGAATACTCCTACGTTTCTTATAGTGAGTGAGATTTTCATCACACAATATTATTCAAGTAGTGGGGATCCCACACCCTCTGGCTTAAAAGGCAGGTTCACTACCCCCCACGCCAATCGTGACGTCAATAACCGCCGCCCATTGACATTTGCAACACCCGTAGGTTTGCAGATGCGTTGCCACCTTGTAGTAAAGTGGGCCCCGGCTACCTCACTCACTATTCGAAAAGCCGAAGTATAACACCTTATACTTCACGACGGTCTTCTGTGAGGTCGTGGTACTTACCCGGACTAACATGCCCATTTGTGCATTATATTATAAGATGAATTACGGAAGTTATGGCGTACCGACAAAAAAACCTTTAAGAAATAATATATAGAGATATACAAACTCTCAGTTTCTCTCAGTTATGTTTTAACAACTATTGTTCCTCCGCAGCCCCACCATTCCCCCCTCAGCTGAGCATCGCGTCGTCATCAGTATCGTCCTTGACCCTGAGACTGAAGCCATCGCTTGAAGCGGAACAATCGCCTGCTGCTGGCTACACCATACATTACAAGCAAGAGTTCGGAGATTGGGAGACCGTGCAGGTAGAAATCACATCCATCTACGGCGAATGAATACTGAGAAGCGAATAACTGTGGTAGGGCAACACAGATTCTACTGTCGCACGATTGGATGAATTCATCTGGTGTACTAGTGGAGTTCGAAGGAGCAATGAAATCTTGGCTTATACATCTTTTAACTATCTTTTAATTATCTTTTACTGTGGTAGGGCCATGCTTCTATTGTTGCAATAATAGCCTTGAACTGTTGAATGGGCGGGCTCGTCCAGGGAAGTATCACAGCCATTAAGGCGACCGGCATGAAATGGATGTACTTTCGAGTTTCTTCTGGTGACTGAGGTAATCGGGAATCACTTTTTGAAAAGTAGGTAACGCATCCCTAACCCTTCCGTTGATGTAGATGTTCATGGATAGCAGTTCTGGCCTGCTCGCTTGACAACTTCTCACATTAAAAAAAAATATTTAAAAAGATTAGCAATCATCTAATCACCACGTTTGAACTTCACGTTATTTGCGGTTCATTTATCTAATATATGTTTTCTGAAACTTGCGTATTATTTCAATCAGATTCCTAGCAACACCGATACGTACACTTTGGAGAACCTGTTCTGCGGATCCAGATATCAGCTTTACGTAACGGCCTACAACGGGTAATAATTTTACCACTCAATTATTACCTCTTATATGAGATTTTCACATTCATATAGCATAATATAAAAAACGTATAAAACTCGTAATAAAGAGTTTATAGGTAACGCTGGATGAAAATTTTAAAATACTTTGTGTGTGCAATACAACTTTCATATTACCCCCTTGAATCTTTATTCGGTATGGGTTATGTGTGCACTAGAAAAACTGCTGTCTGCCTTCGATTGTTCTTTATAGTTTTAGAATAAATGCTAGTTATTGTTTGAGTTTATATATTTTTTTTCTTTCGTTTCTTTTTTTATCATAAAAGTAGTTCGTGTAGAATAGACTTTGAATAGATTTCACTTGTTTAACATGAACAAGTTTGCCTTTAACTATGACAGAATACGGTAGTACTATATTATGCAGTAGAGTATGAGTGATGATGATGTTTGAGTTTACTTATATTTCGGTTGTACGCAACCATTAATTTATTATTAAAATACATATAAAAATTAAATTACACAGGTGTCGAGTTTCGGATATCGGTATTTTTACGGGTGCTAGAGCCGTGATAGCTCAGTGTCCTAGCGCTCACTTTTAATTCAATATTCTCGAGCGACCCGAGTTCAATTTCCAGTGCATGCACCAATAAGATTTTTAAATACAATTTGAAGTGTAATATCATGCGCTTGGCGGTGAATGAAAATCGTGAGGAAACCGTGCATATTTTCGAAATAGTATTAAAAGAAAATATTTCGAAAGATATATGAAATCCGCCAATCCGCATTGGGGTCGCATGGTGGACTAATATCCCCTATACAGAGGAAGCCCTTGATCGGCATTGGGACATACAGGCTGTTACGGACGCTGAGGAAACGCGTTCCATGCGCATTAACAATAATGTTTCTTCGTCCGAGTCCATGGTTCGAATTATGTCAAATGTAGACAATCACTAGCATACGACCACACTGCAGTCTGATACGCTTTCAACTTAGACAGTTCGTGTCAAACTGCCGTCGTCTCATTGCGTTTGTTCGTCTGCAGCATCGGCACCGGTGAGGCGTCGGACGTGGTGATCGCGCGCACGCGCGGCTCCAAACCGCCCGTGCCCCGCGCCGCCGACTTCATCGAAGTGGGCAGCTCCTCCGTGACCCTCCACCTGAAGCAGTGGCTGGACGGCGGTTGCCCCATGAGCCATTTCGTCGTCGAGAACAAGAAGAAGTCAGTGTCGATACGTTTATCTAACGCTTGAGCGTCCATAAGTCTAAGATAGAGTCTACAAGTCTATCTATGAATGAATGAATGAATGAATATTCTTTGTTTCACACGCCATGGCTGCCTCATCAGCCATTTCGTCGTCGAGAACAAGAAGAAGTCAGTGTCGATACGTTTATCTAACGCTTGAGCGTTCATACGTCTAAGATAGAGTCTACAAGTCTATCTATGAATGAATGAATGAATATTCCTTGTTATACGCATCCTTGTTATATAGCACAGTACACTCCAACACTGCAAGACTTTAGGTCATTATGAGACTTCCTAAGTCATTCTTACTCATTTCGGCGTAAAGCAGCTCAGACACTCGTGGAGTTGCAACTAATGGAGTTTCCTTAAAAAAGTTCGATTTGGTTAAAAAGGAAATATTATTAGAGGTTGTTAAATTAAAATGTAGAAATAATTTGTCATTTAATTTGATATCCCAGGTTTTTTATTATAAGCTTAATTCAGTAAACTCGGGACAACAGTAATTGAAATAAAAGTTAATAACTTTGAAAGTAATAGACAAATTATTAGATATTACATTACAATACACAGTATTATTAATACAAATTTTCTCAATACTGACGAATAATCAACAGGGGCGCTGCCGAATGGAACCAAATCTCCAATGCTGTGAAGCCCGGTGGCAACTTCGTTGTACTGGGTGCGTATAAAGGTTTATTATATAAAAACGACTGTTACGAACTTGGAATCCATACTAAAACGCGTAACTATTCGCAGACTTGGAGCCCGCCACTTGGTACGTGCTGAGAATCACCGCACACAACAACGCTGGATTTAACGTAGCCGAATATGAATTTGCCACACTTACTATGACCGGCGGTAAGTTGAAAAATTCCCGTGAAATTCTTCTAATATAAACGATTTCGAGTTCTGTCTGCCTTTTCTAAATATATTACAGCTTTATAAATGACGATCATATTAAGTTTCAAAATATATCGTTTCCTTTTAGATAATAACTAAAACGATACTTCTTCGTTGACTTGTACCTTAGTGCTACCTTTTTATAATATTAGTACAAATATAAATTTATTAAGAACTGCTGCGGTACTAGTGACCTTCTAACATTGATCCGGGATTTGAAATCTATGCTTTAACTTGTAGTGGCGCGCACTGAAAATTTATGCACAATTTTTAATATCACAACAATCATCGCCTAATATAATACCCTATTTATACTTAACACAACGCGGCATATATCTTATACGTTCGTTTATTACCTACTCTACGCCCGCATCGGAAACATAAACTCACTAAAAATTCGCATAAGCTTACCTCCAAACGTTTTAACGCTTACGAACCACTCGTAACACAACAAAAGTACCTGAAATGCGGCGCCTTTTCCGCTTCCAATCGATACGCGAAATTACCAAAAAGATCGTTCTCACTAAACGGAGCTCGCATTTCAGGTACGATCGCGCCCGCGCGCGACGTCCGCGACGGCAACCTCACCACGGAACAGACGATCAAGCTGATCCTGTCGCACCTCAATCTTATCGTGCCCGTCGTCGCCGCCATACTTGTCATCATCATTGCCATCGTGGTCGTCTGCGTGGTGCGCGGCGCCAGGGACCACCACCACAAAGGTACACGCGATTTGCAGGCACCGTCGCCCCGTTGCCAGGCAACGCGGGCGACAAGGAGCTCCCGCCCTGGGTGAAGGCCTGGCTGGAGCCCGAAGTACTGGTGCCAATCCTGGCGACCATCGTGGTCTTCATCGTCGGCGTGGTGGTGATCTGTCTGACCCTGGCCAGGAGGAACACCCCCCACCGGCTGCGAGGTCAGAAGGACGTGTACTGTATGTATGGTGGCATGAGCACCGCTTCATTTCTTTGTTTCCTATCCATTAACCGTTGCAGACCGATGTTTGCCGATCGTCAACGTTTCGCGCATGTGTATAGTCTTAACCATTCAAATACATAATAACCATTATTTGTCTTTTATTTGCGTTAATGTCATTAACTGTAAATTAATCGTAGTTACATATGTCCTAATTTAAAGTTTAACCTTATGTCGTAGTTGAAAGGCCGTTATCAGCTACAACTTTGAAGAATGCTAATTGAATAAAACGTTTTTAGATTTTTAAAGCTTTCTAGTTTAATGTAACTATCCTCTTACCTAGTTTAAGCTAAAAGTTATTTTGGCCTTATTAATTTACATTCTTTGCTATGATGTACTTACTCTCAGCTATTCATTAGCGCTCTATAATTATTACAGTATCGTTAATAACTCTTTTGTTTTCTAGTTAAGATTGTTAAATGTATTTAAATCTGTCTTGTATTTACATGAACTTTGTAGAGGTTTCGCCAAGTATTCAGCGTTTCTCCTATTTAAATTAATATACGTATTGATGATCTTATGTCAACAGCCGGAAGTGTAGGTTCGGTTGTTCAAAAATCGATATACACTATTCAATACGAGAACCTCTCATTCTGTACATAAAAATGAACTTTTCTCTGTTGAATTGTTCTTTAATTGTATGTTACAAGCCATTCTTAATTTGGCAGTTCTACAGCTATAAACGTATCTGCTTAGATGACGCCGTTTACAACGCTTCGCAAGCAGCCCTTGGAGGCGGTGCCGGTACCTTGGACAAGCGCGGCGGACTCCGCGATGAACTCGGTTACATCGCGCCACCCAACCGAAAACTGCCCCCTGTTCCCGGCTCCAACTACAACACCTGCGACCGAGTTAAGCGTCAGGCTGTCATCAGTGAGTACTCGCGTTTTTAACGACCCACTATCCCCAGGCAAAGGTATTGTATGACATACGGCCGTAACATGTCGCATTATTATTATACAGTTCATTATTACTTTCTTATCTCTGATAATTTCTGAATTAAAATGATTTTTAGTTCAGGAGTACATCGATGTAATGTTTGTTAGTGCAGACAACTTTCCGCGATTTTTGAAATATGACCGACTTTATCCTAGGTATGCGAACAATAATTATTGATATTTCGTTAATTGTTATTTATTGATTTTTTAGCTTTGCTGGCACGGCCTTATTCATCTTTATTTTTATTACTTTTACGTTACAAAACTGAACTTTATGTATGTATGGTGGAAGCAATTCTATGTTTAAGATGGAAAAGGGGATTATTCCATATTATTTAGCCTTAGTTTGCCATTAAACTTGTAGCCAAAAATATGTTGCAAGCTAACAAATTATATTTTTAATATCCAATATATTCATCGGCATATATCATTTCACTATTTATTTATATTTTTTACATTATGTCAAATTATTTTTGGCTACATGTAATTAACATTTAATGGTTCATATAGAATTCATTTCGCTTTAAGTATAATTCCTTTTATAATTTAAGGTCTTTATGTCATATATTTTAATAACCAGGTATGTAATTCCTAGTACTTAGTTAAATAGGCCTACGATAGATAGGTTATGGAATATGCTTACGTCACAATGCAATCTCACATATTTTTTTATTTTTATTGTGTAATATATAAACATCCGTCAACGCATTTCTATTTATTTTCTACTAATGATATAAATATCTGTCTACGCCGACTGTTATGCTTTTCGCTGTTCTTATCGAAAAGATCATTCAAAGAGTTTTGACTACTCTTCTCATATATGTTAAAACGCGGCCAATGCCTTTGATCGCAGTATAAGTATTACAATATTTTTAACATTAAAAATATGGATACCACTGTACATAGGCGATGCATTTAAAACTAGACACAGATTTGATAGTTGCAAATAAAATACATACCAATGTACAGAGAGGACTTTAGAAATATGTGAGATAGCGCGGTGGGTGGAAGTAGCGCATGCGTAACCGAGTAGTGTGGTGTCAGTGGGCGCTCACTCCACGTGGGACCCGCGCCGGCATCACTACGAGCGCGTGCGCAGACCGCGCCTGCGCCGCACTGGCTCCGGCGACACCATCTCCACAGGTACGCGCCGCTACCGCACATCGATGAGTTTCGGCCATTATTTTTCCTGATCTCTGACATTTTGTTGTCCTCAATACCAATGACAAGTAAATGCCGCCATTGTTTTTCCTCTTTCTGACTTTTTGTCCTCTGTGCCAAAGACAAGAAAAAGCCGCCATCGTTGAATCGCCGCCATATTTTTTCTTCTCCCTGATAAATTGTTATTCTCTGTGCCAATGACTAGAAAAAGCCGTTATTGTTGAATTCACATTTTCGTACTTCCTACCTTTTTCGAATTGCGATCACTGTCATCTGCCAATGTTAGAATTTATCGAATGGCATCTTCCTTGAAACTACCACCACTTCATTGCTAGCATAAAGTGGCTTAGACCAGAGGCCGTCATTTTTCTATTACCCCTTTTTCCAATTTCCACTGTATTAAATTTGAACTCCTTGTGAATTTTTAAAGAGCCTCAGTTTTTGTATCGCTGCTATTTCTACGTCTAAATGAAACCCTAAATATGTAAACAAATATGTAGATAATATAAAATCCATTAGCTTTTTCACCACTCAGTTTCATCCAGAATATTGATGGAATCCATAAATATTGCTGTCCTATTTTGTCAAATTGGATTCCACCTTAGATTAAATAACCATTTTATAGTTTTGATGTGGAATTAATCGTATTGAAAAATCTTTTCAATCGTCTAATTCAAATTCGGCGAGAAACTTTATTTTGATATTTTTTTATAAATTGGCACTCATCCATGGGCTAATGCGGCTAAAGCTATAACGACTGGATGTTTTAAAGTAACCGCTGGTAATTAACTGGTTTCCACCATTTCACAGCACTTTAGTTGATGTCTTTAATTTCACCCTAACATTGTGGTCTACCATCACTTTAAAACATCCAATACATGAGATTAACAGATACTAACAGAGTGGTGTGCTACTAACAACAATTTGGTAAGTTATGTAATTATATATTTAAAGTTTAATTAAGTATTGTTAAATTAAAAAAACGTATATACCTACTTATGTACTGACATAAGAAGCTATACTTCTTTAGCGTTACAAAAGAAAAATAACTGAAAAAATTATCCCCCGTGTCATTACTTTTTTTTTGGAAAAAACACATTAAATTGATAACAGTTTTATTAAATAACTTGGTAAAAATTATAGGTAAATATCAAAAAGTTGTTATTGGTTGCCGTGGTAATACCGTGAAGTTGGTCACTTTGCACACCAACTTCATTATGTCGCTTTTTCTGTCGACTGGCTGTCCCTGTGCGAACGCATCGTAAAAATTTTACTGTCATACCTAATTGTTTCAAAACACACCAAAAGAAGTATAACTTCAAAAAGCTGCGATTTTAACTCATTGCATGTTTATAAGTATAGTAAACTAAGTATAGTTAACTATAAATATTTTTATACAGTTATAATTATTACTATTACTAATGGGCTTGTGCACGACTGCTTTTTATTTTTTGAGCTGCTTTTAAATGTATAATTAAACATATTATTGTTATGTATATACTTACAAATGTGACATGTAAAATTTATATTTCCGATTACTAAGTTAGTCTTTGTGTGATTTATTTTATCGTTGACTCAAAAATTTAATTAGTAATCTATTTCAATTATATAAAAATTAACCTAACTTATTATACACATATCTTTGAATATTGACTTGAATAATAGCCTGGTTCTACATCCTGTGATTTGCTAGATTTTGTACGTATACTTATACAAACTATAAAATGCATGTGCAATGAGTGTGGTTTATATAATCATTATTTTTGCACATCAATCTCATAAAATATTGATACTAGTAAATAAACATTCTAAATTTCAATAATATACAACGATTAAAGAATTTTATACCTCAAAGCACAAATAAAATAAATGAAAATTGATTTTGACCATAATGCAAAATTCTAGTGTATACAAAGGATTACGTCTATTTGTGACCTGTAACGATTTTACCACTGTACTGTACTTTAATGTGATAGAAACGCCATTCATCGTGGTTATTAAATCTAGCGACAGGTCAAATTGTGCTGCTCCTTTTGAAGCCATTGCTAAATATCAACAAATATTTTTTCAGGCATGGAAGACGAGATCTGCCCCTACGCGACGTTCCACCTGCTAGGCTTCCGCGAAGAGATGGACCCCAGCAAGGCCCTGGCCTTCCCCCACCACCACCCGTCGCACGCTGGAACCTTGGCTCATCCCCACCCACACCACCCTGCTCACTCTCGCGCTGGATCCCAGAGCATGGTAAATTTCGAAAAACAATCTATGACATACATACATACATACATAAACACTAAAACACTACAAAAGGGACAACATCAATATGAAATATCTTTTTTTCCCTTCCTTTATCCCTTATGTTATTAATGATATTGGCTAGGTTCTTTACGATCGATCGCCTCCCTGACGTCAACCCTCCTTGGGAATCCTACTTGTCCCATAGGGGAATCAAACCCACAACCACCGGCTTCAAAACTAATAACTTGACAAGTGTGTTGTGTTTGTTCCTACGTATATCTAAGGCTGACGTCATTAAAGATAGCACGCATAAGGAAATAGCTATCGGATAGATATCCATAAAATAATATTTTCAATTTCATTACTTTACAGCCCCGTGCTAACAGCCGCTATGCCCGCAAGAACTCTCAGGGAGGACAGAGCGCCATCTACTCAACTGCACCCGAATACGACGACCCAGCTACGTGCGCCGAAGAGGATCAATACGTAATGCCAATGAAACAAACAAACAAAAGACCATGCTTGTTATAGCTCTTAGTTTCCTTCGAGTTTCAACTCGGTGGAATATTTTGAAAACACTCCAAAAACTATTACAGACCTATTCTTAGTGTTCAGAATTTTTGTCGATATCCAGAAAGGGTAAACATTTCTCGCTATTCTAAAATATGGTTATCCGCTGTGAGCCTAGTATTTATTGCAACAAGATAACATTCAATCAGCTCTCTTTTATACAATCGTTATTTTACTACACGAATAAATTCCTCTCAACGCTTCCTTCGAACTGACGACGTAGTTGATATGAACCATCCCGAAGATTTTCTGTAAGCGTTTACCGCCGTCGACACCATCTGCTACTTGATAATAAAACTTTACATCGTGGACTTAGGAAAGTAGGTATAATATTTATTATTCACCAGGAAAGACGAAACCCAAAACTCTCACGTCCGTTAGTTCTTACGCATAGTTAACTCCGATAACTCTCCTTACACATCAGTATCAAACTGCTATTTCTGTCTCGCTCTCGCTACAGACCGCAGTACAATTGCGTACAACGTAGTTTTACCGTTTTATATACGATTATTCTATAATACAGATTGCAGTACAGTTGCGCACGACATTGCCATACGGTTCTGGACAAACGGCGAATTTAGATGTAAGATTTCGTTAAACGCTTCAGTACACGACGATACACGCAACTATCCCCCACGTACAGCGCGCCCGCTACTCCCGCCCGATGTACGCTTGCGGCCCCGAGTACGACGAGCCAGCCTGCTGCGCCCCCGAGGACGAACAGTACACCGGCGCATACGGAACCCCCTACTCCGACCACTACGGCTCCCGACCCAGCATTGGTGAGCGATGAGTTCTCTATTTAAATGGAAATGGGTGGGAAACGCACAGGCGCCACCTGGCGATGCAGTTTTTTTTTAAGAAGCTAGGTGGAAAACGCTGATGGCGTGCATTCGTGAGCACCAATTTTTTTTTAATGGAAACAGATGGAAAATACTCAGGCGCCACCTGGTGATGGCGTGATTATCTTTTCTATGAATCCAAACAGTGGATCGTGGATTGCTATTTACATGAAAAGGATCGAAATTTTAAACATGTGGTCAAATCAAAAAGACCGCATTTTTTAACCACTGCACCAGGGCTGTAGCTAGAGTTGAATTTGAGGTAGGGCAGCATTGATGACAGGTAGGGCGGAAGTAAACAATTAAATTAAATTTATCATAATCGATTTGCCCTCGAAGCATGAGCTCCTTCTTGTATCTTGTATTAACTGACAAATTTCTCCTTTAAATAAAGTGGAGTAAAAACATGAAATAGAACACAGTAGGTACAACATAGAAAGAATATACAAATTCCGGCGAAGAAGGATGGGAAATCACTTGAGACGTGTATGAAATTGAAAAACGTGAAAATTTTTATTTTGGTATTTTTAAGGTAGGGCATTGCCCTACAATGCCCCCCCTAGCTACGGCCGTGCACTGCACAATTTAATTATTGAACATAATTACTGGAGAACTCGCTATTTTCGTGTACTTTGAGTAAATTTACATAGAATAACTAATTCAGAATACTATCGGCATGATAGTAGTCAGTTTGGGTTCAATGCTATACATATATCATTTGATTGAACTTTGAAGTAGTACTTTAATAACTACATAATTATTACATCATACCAGGCAATGGTTACATATGATATCATTGTATTAAGTCAATATTGAAAAAGTATTTATGATTATTTTTTATTTATATTACTAATCTGCACCTAAAATTTTATGTGACTTTAATAGATTGTCGAAAATTTTTCGGCGCTGATAGGATTCGAGCCTGCGTTTTCTGGGTAATGCGTCCAGACGCTCTAGCAACTGTGCTATGCGCCTGATATACTCACGACGCGAATATTATACATCTATCTACTTCTTTTTGCATTTATAGCAATTCTTCACGCAACCTAGCCATGACTTAACAAACTCACATTAAATTGTGTACAAGTTTTTATTCGCCCTTTTCAGATCGTTTTGCTTTCCATCTGTAATGGTAGCGTGAGTTATGCAAATAAACGAGTAAAGTACATAACACTTTCGTCTTGGTTTCTTCTGTCATGATAGCTTGAGGGATGCAAATAAACGAGTAAAGTAATAACGGCTCTCTGCAGGAACGCGCAAATGCGGCGGATCCCCCGAGCCTCCCCCGCCGCCACCGCGCAACGCCAACAACGACAACAACTGCTCCTCATCCTTCAACGAGAGCAAGGATTCGAATGAGATCTCCGAAGCCGAATGTGACCAACCTCGCAACTATCCTGGTGCGTACTGGCAATTACCTTTCAAAGTTCCGTAAAACTATTAAAAAAAATCTGAAATCGAAACTTTACGCCATAACCTCAAAATTCATACAAAAATCGTGAAAATAAACGTTAGTTGCTAATATGTCGTGTGCTTAATTTGTATTAAATTTTGAATTGTTAATGTGGAAAATTCAGAAATTCGTCTCTATCTCGTCTTGTTTATATCTAAACGGATACGACTCAAGCTAGTGTAAATATACTTAGCGTTATATAGCGTTATTGAAAATTTATTTCGAGATATATGTAATATATATATAATTCTATTTAATGGCAACTAAATTCCTTTGCACACGTAAAACAATGTTGAGGTTAGGTAATTTTTTGAGAAATGTTCCTCTGAACAAGTATAGAAGTAGTCACAGAGAGTTTATATGAAAAGAAAACGATCACAAATGAGTGTTAAATTAATTCTTAAATTGGTCCATGCCATGCGCACATGGGCGTCGCCTGAACAGAAGACGGTAAAAATATTTTGACCCTAATTAGTTCCTTTCATTGTTTATAATAATTGTGACTGACAGCATGCTAAATTTGTTTCAGTAATAACAAATGACAATGTGTACAGCTTCTAGAATTTCTTGCAATTGGCTTAACTTTTTTTTTTCAAAATTTCCTTCTTTTCTTTGTTTTGATTGTACGTCTAATGATATCATTTGGCGAAATTATTTGATTTGAACACCTATTCATATACCTATAAATAGCTTTTTCACGATTTATCTGTAAATACTTTATGAATCACCGTTTTTTGCCAAATGATATAATTTTGTAAAAAAATAAATAATTTCATCGGATCTTTCACAAAATTTTGCTTAGACGTGACTGTGTTAACAAAACCTATTCTGAAATGGTTATGTAGTATGATAGTATGTGTTTTAGATAAAGTCGTGTAACACCCACAAAATAGCCATAGTTTCGATCGTAGAATGGGTTTTAGATGGCGTTGTGAGGACAATAATTATTGGGTGTTATGCGAATTATCGGTGTAGCAAGCAGGTATTTCCGGGTTACGTGACTAGTGTAGAGCGCGTCGTGACTTGTATGTTGTTGCAGTCAGGGCCCACACTACCAAGGACGGCTTGCACAGCGAGGAAATGAGAAAACTCATTGACAGGTCAGTTCATCCAGACCTTAAGAACACATGCATACATGTAGACACATAACTAACAATTTTAATACACACAGCACACTGTAACTTAAAATGTTAGCACCCCTGAACTTATTTCAATACGAATTATTTCAAACGTTATTAGTAAACATTATAATTAGGATTAAAGACAGGATGTGCCTTGTGCAATTGAGATTGAATGAAACGATCTGGTTCTGTATATTATACATACTTATTAATAGACACTAATTTTAGTGTAATAAATTCTACTAGTTCGTTCAACTCTTTCATAGTGGCACATAACCACCAAACAGATGCAAAGGCTATCGCAATTTGTCAACTTCGTTGGTTTTTCGTGTGTTATATTACGTCAACATATATATATTTACTTTTTAAAAAGTTTTATAATGTAAAATGAAATGAACGCCATATATTATTTTCAGTAAAACCCAATGAGCGTGGAAATTTTTGTTCCAGTAGAATAGAGTAGAGCGCTATAAGTTTATATCCATATCCAATCTACCGAAAGTTTGATACTATGGCACTCAAATCAGCCAGACAGAAAATGTGCAATCCTCCAATACTCATCATTCTCATCATCATCCTGACCTTTACCCTCCTAGGGAACAAACATTCAGATCCAGAACAATAATCTGTAAGTACATAAATACTTACCGCGTGCGAGAATCGAAACCGAGATCCCAACGTCGAAGTCATTAGTAGCTTTGCAACTACGCCACCGAGACATACTAATTTATTTAAATACCATAATGTGAACCATGGCATTAATTAGGAGGTAACTAACCATGATTTAGAGAATTCATTCCGTCTCGTAATTGAAGCCGTTCCGGAACACTTCAGACAGAGGATAAAATTGTTGCTTACTGTCGCCACAAACGGCCGAGTTGACACAGTAGAATTTGTTACACTATACTACAGTTATCGCCAAACATTTTTTTAATATAAAATGTTTATCGGCTTAACATTTTATTTCTATGATTTGGTTATATAAATTTCGATACTTCAGTTATTACAAATTTTAATAATCATTTTAAATTACTAACGAGCAAAATAGCACATTCGCTAAATCACTTGTTAAAAAGAGCTTTAATCAAAAGCAGATCGATAAACATCTTTTTATTCTTTCGGCGACATATGAAGGCTCCTAATGGTTCATTGGACATTTGTTTTTATTTGTTTATTATTAGACTGTTCCTTATTATTAAAGCACTGTATCTCATCTCATGTTATAAATCAGTAAAATTCAATTTACTATCTTTACAACACCTTTTACAAGTACACAAAATTTTTCACTTACTAATTTAGCAGGCTCCTTTTGTACGGGAGCAGAGTTCAGTTTATTTATACGTATTATTATTATTAATATGAATAGTGTTTAACGTATTTTATATTGTATTATGTATTTATATTAGCGTATACAGGTAATTAAGCATGTGTTATGTTCCGCATCCGTCGTCAACAGGAAACAGTAAGTCAAAGTATGTGAAAAGCAAATAATTATACGCTGAATGTTCATTGTTTTTGCCTGATCTTTTAAAATACTTTATAATTTTGTGGCTAACCACTTTATATATATACTCTGCACCAGACTCGTTTCCTTTGCTAACCGTATTTAACCCTGAACTAAATTATGCTATAATCCTTATTTCATTATAAATTTAATCATCATTCATAATCATTACATCAAGCCTTTTCATTATTTGCAGTTAAATGTTCATTATTAATAAAAAAAAATTGCTTTTTATATAAAGACTATTAAATAGCTGTTCATAGACCAAATCTCACAGTATTGTTGTTATTTAACGATTAAACTATAATAAAAAAAATAATAAATAAAAATACCGTCAATCGTTAACTGTTACTATTTTAGCGTAACTACATAAACTAGATAAATTATTAATTCTATTACAAGTAGAATAAAGTTGTAGATTTTGAATCACATATATCTACCTACTTACTTCTTTGGACCACCCAAAACTGGACTGAATAATGCTGATGGCATAAGTCCACCTTTTTGCGTTGAGAAAAAACAAATAAATACATCTTCAAAGCGCATTTCCATGTATGATGTCTAATGTTGTTGAACACGTTGCAGACCCGAAGCAAACACCCCAATCCCCCAGCAAGCAGTCCACGGCCGGGGACTCACAGCCTACGATACTGTGGCAGTGTAACCTGTAAACGGCGCAGCGCTCACATCGACACACAGCCGTCGCCAATGTTCACTTTTTGTTAAATTAACCAAATGACAGCAGAAAAACCATCCCGCTCCTGCACTTTATCACAGCTTGGATTTAATTTCGATGCGTCTTATTTCAACAGGCCATAAAGTCGATATGCTTGAACACTACTGTGTTGCAACGTTTGCAGCATGCGGGATGGTGATTCGAACGCATTTTCTGTTTATATACCGTTTTATTCGTGTGTCGTTGTTTATCCTTCATTTGTTTTAAATTTATCCCAACTTAGTTGCTGGATTTTTTGTCTCTTTTCCCCTCTTTTCGTGATGCACTTTCGTGCCATATTGATGTTCATTTGTAAAATCGACTTACCCGTGAGAAAGTGGCAAAGTTGGGTAGTAATTATTTATCGTATTACTTTTAAGTGAAACACTCGTGTCACTTGACCGGTAGCGTTGTCTTACAAAAACGGAAATTAAGGTTGTGGTAGTTATTTGAAATTGATATATTCCCTCTAGAAGAGTGACGTTGTTCCAACATTTTCCTCACACACCCTAACTTTGCTACAAATACTGCAAATAAAAACAAGGTATATTTCATAATTTACCTATATAACTTTTGTCTTATTTGTTCAGCTTAATTTAAACGGGCCTTGAAGAAGCTGGATTATGGGGTGGTTGACTAAGTTTCAATTTAAATTAAGCTCAACACGTAATTAATGTGATATTTTGTATTTTTACCCATTTTATTTTTACTTGAAGTGTAATAACTAATACACCATATTTATATTCGTGTACTCGTAGTTTGTAATTTTTAGATAACCGGCGATTGACAAGTTGCCATGATGCTTCCTTTTTGCTGTTATAGTTTTTGTAATGCTTTTTTTACCATTTACGTTATTGCCATGTCCTACATGATTTTTTGTGAAAGTTATTTTAAAATATTTTTGCGTTTACATTGCGTACACTACTTTATTAAGGTTTAGAATTAAGTAATTTACTATTCATAATTATCTCTTTGAATAAAATACTATATAACCTGTAGCTAACGATTTAAGTGACAAGTTATTATGCATTACACGGATGTTTCGAGTAATATTTAATCTTTCCAATAAATTATGTGCCGAGGAATACACAATAAAAAAAAAACTATCTGATACCGGAACAAATATGTACTCAATATGTAATTGGTCTTCAAATCTGACTTGAACCGGTACACACGTAATGCTATCCATTTATATTAAGGTGCATTTTTATCGATAATCGTATCTTCTTCTATATTATTATAATATGCAATTATGTTTAGGTGTAAGACACAATTGTGTCATTTCTAGGTGTATCCTTATATGTTGTGCATCGTCGTGTAAGCTTGGCAAAGTAGGCTCGTAGTTAGGTTCTCGCGACTTCCTAGTAACCGATCTTCTTATAACCTTCCATTTAGATATTTCGGATTAATGACAAGGCTAGTTAAAATTTAAAGTGAATGAAATTAATATGTATTTTATTCGAAATTATGAGGTTAGCTGTTCAGTGAGGATAAATTAAGAATTATGAATCCTGCTTGGCATACAAAGTTTTGATGGGATTGATTTCACATCGTCTACTGCCTTTTATTGCATTTCATTAACGGCTAGATGCTACATATATAAGTTTATTATCTTTTAAAAATTTTGCGATTTGACATTGCTTATCCAACTAACTGTTTGTACCAAAGTGTTTGATTTGTGTTAAATAAAGTATTCTTACGTAAACTACAAATTCGTGTTTTATTTCGAAATTTGAAATAATTAAAGAGATTAAAGACATTAAAAACTTTTTGGTGCACTGTAGGCTGCGAGCGTCGTTGGTGCATTTTATTTGTTTATACTTAATTGCAATTACCTTTAACAAAGATATTAGCTAGCCCGTGCAATGTCGCCTGCGCCAAATCTATTATTTCCGGTTTCAATTGTATTTACAAACGCGAGAAATCTTTAAAAACCTCGAACTTGATTGCAGCGCCACCTACCGGGTCCTACGTTTGGACTTTTAACATAGCGCCATCTATTAGATACTTACATATAAACACATGAACGATATTGAAATAACGATAACAATTAAAAATTTTATATTGCTAAAAAAAGAACGAAAACTTTTTCGCCGCTGTGGGAATGAAACCCATGTCTTCGGGATTCAGACGCTTTAATCACTAAGCTAAACGGCTGATTGCCACATGCCACAATCTCAACATCTTTTATATACGTTGTTTTTTCACATTTCAGGCAATGCTTGAATGGAGCATCCATTGTTACCTATAAAGCGTGTCGTTACCACCGCGACAATAAATGAACACACATATAGAGGATAACTTTTTAAAATTGTATTAAACATTTACATTCTTTAAACATCAATATTTACCGAGTTATTAAATTTTCCAAAACAAACAATTTTAGAACACCCTTACGTATAAAACTGTAACATAAAGTTCATTTGTAATGGTCACAAAGCATATGAATGGGTTGAATGAATTTAAAAGAGACAAAACATACTGTTAGAAGGAGAGGCTTGTAATGCGACGCTGTGGCGCGAGTTGTATAGGTGTTACAAATTTTTTATTTTATTTAATCTTTATTGCCAACCTTCAGTAAAAGAAGGTAACAAAGGGCGGACTTAATGCCCAAAGGCATTCTCTACCAGTCAACCCAGGATGTGGTGAGAGTTTATGGTAGGTGCAGCAAAAGATGCAAGAATAATAAAATTTTCATTAAAGAGAATATATATGAAAATAATATTATAATTGGATACAAATCATGTATTAAATTATATACAGGCATATATATATTTATTGCCCGATAACGTAAGAAATGCAAAAAGTAAGACATCTTTAATTAATTTTATTATAGAATTTGTCTTTAACAGGTGTGAACCAGTATTTTGAAAGATGTCTTACTTTTTGCGTTTCTTACGTTATCGGGCAAGGAGTTCCAAAGATGTATAGCTTGGATAGTAAAGGAGTTAACAGAGAACCCGGTAAAGTGCGCTGGAATGCATAATTTATTCGTGTAAGACGACCGAAGATCAAAAGATGAGGAAAGATACAAGAATTTGTTTTTGAGGTAAGAAGGGGAGGAACAATCATTTAAAATGGAGAAAAGCACAAGCAAAATTCTGGACTGCCGCCTTTGCGGAATACTAAGCCAATTAAGTTGAGATCGATAGGAGGATATGTGGTCATACTTGCGTAAGCCGAAAATGAACCTGACACATTTATCAAGGAGGCGATCCAACTTGTTTAGTAGATGTTGGGATACATCCGGGTAACACACATCTGCATAATTGATAATGGGTAAAATGAGCGTTTGGACAAGCAAAAGTTTAGTTTTGAAAGAGAGGAAATGTTTTAAACGATAGAGAGATCGTAAGGTGGCAGTAACTTTGCGGCTTATTTCGGTAACGTATACACTCCAATTCAAAGTATTATCAATAAGCAGACCTGGATTTTTTACCACATTTGAAAAAGGAATTATTACATTATTGTATTTTATAGGAGGTACAGACGAGTAATCAATTTTTGTCAGCATTCTTGAACTACCAACAAGTATAGCTTGGCATTTCTAGGGATTGACCGAAACTCCATGAGAACTTGACCTACTCCAAACTTTGTCTAGGTTTTCGTTTAATTTTGCTATCGCAACATGAAGGTCGTCTATATCGGCTTGCACATAAAGCTGAAGATCGTCAGCATACAAATGATACGAACAGTTCAAAAAAGCAGTGAGAAAGTTAATAAAAATAGAGAAGATTAAAAAATTTGGTTTCTTTTTTACTTAATTAGTGTTTTTAAAAAAAAATTTTTATTATGGATTTTGTTTAACGTTAATTTTTTTTAAGATTATTGGCAAGTAGCTATCGCGTAGCAAGTAAGTCGCGATGGTAACGACACACTGTTTACAGCATTCACACAATTTCGAATATAGTTTTACAACAATAATTCGAACGAGAGATGTCGCCATTGCTATTAAAATTTTAAATTCTTATCGTGCTAATTTCTGCACTTAAGATGAAACTAAGCAAAGTTCGAAGTTTTTCGCAACTGTGGAAATTGATCCCACGTCTTCGGGATTCGCGCCCATACGTTTTAACCACTAAGCTAAACGGTTGATTGCCACATCGATAAAAATTTCAACGTCTTTTATCTACATTGCTTTTTTGCATTTCAATTAATAGATAAACTACTGCAGTCGGTTTTTGGATCTTCCACTCGTGATAGGACTGTGGCAGACAAAATAGTGACATATAAGATACTGTTTTTATGTGGAAATGTCTATGCAGCTCCGTGGCTATGAATACGCGTGGTGCCTCGCAAACACATCAGACGACTTTTGCGCAGGTTCTACTTACATGCCGCGGAATATACTAAATTACGCGTTTACGCTATTATGCTTAACTTTGTTTCTAAAAATGAATTCTTTTCGGAATTGAATGTACCTACATAACTGATCTAAATTATTATTACTACTACTGGATACGTTCCACTATCTATGGTGGCCAAAGCAAAGTTACGAACATACATCTCATCCATGAATCACGTACCACCTTGTTAGGAGGCCTTTGCTCAGCAGTGGGACGTAAAAAGGCTGTTGCTTTACTTTTAATTACTCAAATGATTAAACATCTTCCTTCTATTATACTTTCTTGTGAAATTTCTCTATGCAAAAATAACTTAATTTTAAATATAATTTTTCGATTAATTTAAGAAATAAACAAACCGCCAAATAATCCGGCAATGAACGGTAGTACGTAAAGATGGTACGGTAGTTTCCCTAATGAATTTGCGGTTTATGGGAATCTATAGCGACCTAAATTAAGTTCACACGGTGGTTGCAAGAATACGATTTGAAACGGGGTAAGCAATTAGGTAGTATATTGAAGCAAGTCTAAGTTAAGATCTTTCTTCCTTTCGAACTCCGCTAGGGAGTACGCCAGGTTCAACACTAGGAAATCACTTGTGCAATATTTATTGAAAAATTAAGTAATCACTGCAAATCGATACATACCCTTTTCTATACATTACACTAATTAGAGAAGAGGGTAGAAAGTAAGTGACTAGAGTAATTCCTGGGAATGCTAATGGGTGACAGTAGGAAATACGAAGCTACTAAACCTGGAATTGCGTCATACAGATCACCCTGAAAAGTATTTAACTTGAAAAGTATTATGTTGGAAGGAAGGACCAGTGGCAGATTTGTAGTCTTGGCCGCTCTAGGCCCCAGCCCATGTAGTAATCTTCAGCCGCCCCTATGTCAGAGCCCATCGATTATCTTGTTGTCATCCGTGAATTTTTTTGTCACGATTGGCCGCCCCTAATATGTGGCCGCCGAGGACAAATCCGCCACTGGAAAGGACCCCTTCCTTCCAACATAATCACTACATAGTATAAAACAAAGTCGTCCCGCTGTCTGTCCCAATGTATGCTTATATCTTTAAAACTACGCAACGGGTCTTGATGCGGATTTTTTTACTAGATAATAAATAATAGTGATTCTAGAGGAAGGTTTATAAGTATAATACATTGCACCCGTACAACTCCGGAGCGTGTCACTAGTACTACATATATCAAGGAGAAAATAAGCTGACAATTTATTATAAATCCTTCTGCTGACCAAATGTCTCCTTTGTACAGAAGGCATAGCGCGATCAGTGCGGATTGAAAGACTTCACATATCTTCGAAATATATTCTTTATTATTTCGACGAAATTCAGATTTCCTAAAATGTTTTAAAATGTTGTTGGAAAATTTTATTCATTAAGACTTAAAAAACAAAAAGGTTAAAACAAATATGGATATATTCTACATTATAAGTAAGCCTTCGATGAAAAACAACTGGATTGACTATGGAACTTGATGTTTATTTATATTTAAACATTAAATAATTGTTAACGCTAACATTTATCGGTTGATCATACATTTTACGCGGACACGGCCTTCACAATCTCCTCAGCTACTTCAACTGCGATTGCTGCTTCTGCCTTTGCCTGTAGATTAAAAATTAATCACACAATTAAAAATTAATTAATCTTCAGTTATTACTTGTACTCTGTTTGAGCGATAAAACATTAAACATCATGTCATTTACTACGCACATTAATAACGTTCGCAATAGAGCCGCGTTCGTCTCCGGCTGGCTACACAATTTAACTAACCCTAAAAGTAAAATGCTCTTAAGGCACAATTTATTATTATATAAGACCTGCGTACGACCTATTATTTCTTACGCATGCATGACCTTCGCCCACACGCACCCTACTCGCTTGTACAAGTTGCAAATAGTACAAAATAAGTTCATCCGCCGCGCAACCGGTGCGCAGTGGTATCAACGCAACGTCGACCTGCACAGCGATTGCAGACTCCCGACGATTCGCGAATATTTTAAAGACCTGACCAAACCTCCAACCCTCACAACCCTCTGGTGGTAAGCGCAGCAAATTACCAACCCGACAAAACACGAACGTCAACAAGCGTCGCCCGCGAAACGTCCTCATCGACCCGGTCGAGGAAGGGGACTTTGATACGCCGGACCCACCGCCGGGGGTCCCGCCGGATAACACTACACCCACAGTTAGTGCAACAACAAACACACTAGTTCGCCCTCGCCTCCGAGCACGGCGAGACCAACACAACGCGTACACAAGGTACACCCGCGTTCCGGGGTGGTTCTCACCGCTCCCAGCCACCGATTAGCTAATTGCACAGTCGACGGCCATCGGGGTTTCGGTCCGAACCGCGACCTCGATGGCCCTTAGATGAGACACCATAGTTAAACGGACGCATGAGCACATGCATGGCCCTACCCACAGCGGAGGGCCCAAACCCGTGGGTTCTGGCTAGCCCACCGGTTCTGCGTCAGATGAAGCTTTAATAGTCTCGGGACTGAAAGCAAAAACATCAGTTAATACAAGATACAAGATACAAGAACATTAAACAAGGAAAAGGGTATTTTTTTTTAATAAAGAAATTGTATTTTCTTTGTCATGCAAGGAGAGGCCAGTTAAAATGAAAACGTATGACAAATCATAAAACCATTTCAACATTAGTTTCGACTAGCAAAATCACTAACAAGCTCCACCAATAATTTCCAATAAACATTACTTATATTGTAAGCAGAAACTCAGATCTAGAAACGAATGTTTTTGTATATGTTTTTCTTTTCGTTTTAAGAGTTAGTTTTTTACAAAAAGGGATTATTAGAGAAAAAATTGAGAAAATATTTGAAGAATATTGAATGTTGTAAAATATTTCAAATATGTTAAAACATTTGATGCCAATATCTATGGGCAGGCGATTATCACTTAACATCAGGTGAACCGCCAACTCATTAAAAAAAAAGAATTGAAGTTCGATATTTCTGCATTTTGTCTGGTGAGTGAGGTAGCCGGGGCCCACTTTATTTAAAGGTGGCAATGCATTTGCAATCCTATGGATTTTTGCAAATGTTTATGGGCGGCGGTTATCACTTAACATCAGGTGAACCGCCAGCTCATTTGCCACTTTCTCACATAAAAAAAAAAGAAGTAAGATGGCAATAATGCTGTAAGTAAACTCGGTTATATGATCAGTTGAATTAACCTCAAATACATTAATCAATAACAAAACCAAGTTAGAAGACTAACCTTTTCATCGGCTGCAGAGTTAAACTCAGACTGAGCTTTGCTAAGGGCTTCCTGAGCTGCGCTGCGATCCAAACTCTCCAATGGGTGAGCTTCTTCAGCCAATACCTGCAAAAAGGTTTAAAGTAAATGTATTAATTAAAAAAGAAGCTCTTTTTAAAGGGGATAAAACAAAGATAGTTTACAATGTTATGATTACAGATTTAGTCTCCATACACTAGGCATAGACGAATGATGGTGATTACCAATCGTAAAAGATATATATATTGATAATTTTGTGTCAAAGTCATTCGCTATGGTTTCACATTTATATTAAACTCAACATTTCAAAATACTGACTGATAATATATCCATAGGTACTGTTATTTAACAACAGCTGTCTTTTCATTTTATCTTATTGAGCTATTAAAAACATCATAACATCATGGATACAAACTTGGAAGAACAATTTATTTATTCAAATTTCAATACAAAAAAATCCACAATATGATGTGCAATAGCAAGATTAACACTTAAACCAAATTACCTGAACTGAGGAATCATCATTGACTGTAATGGTTCCAGAAGATACAAATATTTTGGTCTGCTTGCCATCATTTTCTAACACTGTGACAACACCAGGTCTAAGAACAGCTGTAAGTTTAAAAGTCCCTTTTAGTGTTGGTAAGAGTAGTAAGTTAATCTTACAATAATTATTATTTCCAAATGAACAGTATTCATCCACAAATTATTTTAATTGATAAACTTAAAGTTGAAATAAAAATTCGCAATTACTTCGTGTATAAATTCAAGAGTATAATCAAATATTTCAGATTTATCCTACTTCTATACTTTGTCAGAAGATATAGTAATGCAACCACATTTTACATCAACAATTTTTAAAAATTTATAAGCATCAATACAGAACATATTCATGTCATATTGAAATGCTACAGATATGTAGATAAATTTTTTGCTTCCAACAGGATTGGAACCTACGCCTTCCGGATAAGTTGTCCCTACAATCAGATTGAAGTTAACTTTGACCTAATCAATGTAGAGCATCAACAAAGACAATTAAATTTATATAAATGAAATATTTTACAAACTGTAATCAATTCCGAAAAGCAATGAGTATGCAAAAGTAACATTTTGGCTGTATTTAAATATTCTCATTGCCTAATCAGTACTAATTCTGTATTTATGTATGAAGTCAATAATATGATAGGTTTTTTTTAGTGAATGTAGGCATTAAGTATTAATTATTTTCTCTAAAAGTATAGGTTTTTCTAAAGATTTTTAATACTTAACTATTTAACAGGTAACACTCTTCTATGGATTTAAATAATTTGTGAATGCATAATGTTCATTGGATGTTTGTAAATAGTTACCTTTAAAATGTTTAAATATTAACAAATAAAGATTTGATGGGTATAAGAAATAAACATTGTTTTACGAAATGAAAATTTATATTGCATCCTTCAAAGTTTGGAGGATGGATTCAAAAATTATATAAATTGAATTTAAATCATATTTATTAATTATGAGTAAGAAAAGGAGAAAATATAGTGACTTTATAGGTAATCACTTAATTTAAGTTAATTCATAAAAATTACAAAAAGTAAAAATTACTTACCTAAAGTAGGCACATGCTTAGGTAAGATACCAAAAGACCCACTGAAAGACGGAACATCAATTTGTTTCACTACTTGTTTATCATAGAAAACCTAAAACAATAAATTATTGTAACTTAAGTCTCAAAAGGAAATAGGAATACAGGTATAATTTTTATTGGTAAGTCTCCACTTACACTAGATTTTATTTACCTTATTACCAGCAGCAAATGTCAAAGCCATTTGATCTCCTGTAGCAGCATCCGCATAGTTACGAACTTGAACCTTTCTTGCAGCAGTTCTGAGCATGTTGCGGAATGCCATGGCCATTCTATATGGTTAATAGAGAAAAATGTATTAGAAAGTTCATCAAATATCCCCAATTACAATAAAACATTTCTAACCTGAATCAAAAAAAATATCATGATAATCATACAATTTTTCGGGACATAAACAATGAAATAAACTGACAAAATTAGAAAATTGTTATTAATTTAATAGTAACATTAATACGAAATCAAGAAAAATAAGCTTTTAACTAAGATTATGTAATATCAAATATATCACAGCCCAAAATTCATTAACGGCGCTGTGAAAACATACCAAATGTACATGAGATACATGTTTGTTAGATAAATACATTTTGAGACAATTTACTCACTTGATTCTCTGTTATTTCAAAAATTGAGGGAAATAAGATAGTAAAGCCAATTTTTAGGGCAGACTTTTGATTGTCAGACAGCTATCTAACTGACAGTTCTGGCAGTGGCAACAGATTATGAGACGCGTAATTGTATAAACAGATCACAAATGTTTTTTTTTTGTTCTCTAGGCGTAATTCTAGTTTGTTGTAGGCCCGGCTTAACAGCTTCATTGAAAAACTTGAGTAAACAACCAGTGGACTCAGAATTAATAACATAGCTGGTACACGACGACGACGACACGATGATCATTCGCTCTTCTGCATCTCTGCGAACTCTGTTAGCGAAATGATATAATAATGGCCATTCGCCATAAATGTAAACATTGTTTTTAAAATTATTCTTTTGGATGTTCCATAGTACTGACACAATTATTCTTACGTATGTATATATTTTCTGCTTAATAAAACCTAATTACTATGGTTTTGTATTATTTATCAATTTATTAAGCAGAAAATATCAACAATTCAATAAAATAATTTTCAAGAAGTATGGAGAGATTTTTAAGACCAGAGAAATTTGAAACCGATTCTTCATCTGCTACCGCGGCACAAGAATGGAGACATTGGTATATAACTTTTGAAAATTTTTTGGCTATAAATGATGTTAAAGATGAAAAAGCAAGATTGCAACTTCTGATTAATCATCTATCATCAAAAGTTTATGAATATATATATGTCATTGTGTTAGCTACAAAGATGCGATCAATAATTTAGAGCTTGCATTCGTCAAACCAAAAAATATAATTTTTGCAAGACACAAGCTTATCACCTCAAAACAAGAAAACGGGGAAACGATTCAACAGTTTATACATAAATTAAAACTACAAAGTCTAGAATGTGAATTTACATCAGTGTCTGCTGAAAAATATAAAGAAGAGTATATAAGAGACGCCTTCATTTCTGGTATTTCATGTAATAATATCAGACAGAGATTATTAGAAAATTTATCACTTTCTTTAGATGAAGCATATAACAAAGCAGTATCATTGGAGCTAGCGAAGTCTACTGCTCAAGAATATCAGATCAATCCAATAAATGCTTCGCAATCACAAACTCATGTTAAAAATCATGAGTTTTCGTCGGCTTATCAGAAAACTTTATACAATCGAAAGAAATGTTTTTTTTGTGGCGGAAATATACACTTGCGTTCAAATTGCCCTGCAAGGAATGCGATTTGTCAAATATGTGATAAAAAGGGACATTGGGCCAAAGCATGTCGTAACTCAAAAAAATCTGTAAATGCCGCAATGGAAATAGATGACATGGACGCTGTAGCTTCTGTCATAGCTGCATCACCTGCATGCCTCGGTAAAGCAATTGTAACTATAAAAATAAAGGGGGTAAATGCTCAGGCTTTAATCGATTCAGGAAGTTCTAGAAGCTACATTAATAGTTTATTTTTTGATCGCTGTTGTCTAATAAAAGAAGAATGTTCACAGAAAGTGACAATGGCTACGACTAATTATACATCGAATGTAGAAGGCCTGTGTATTACGTCAATAAGCATAGGAAATCACATTTATAAAAATATAAAATTACTTATTGTAAAACATTTATGTGCGGATATTATTATTGGTCATGATGTATTAACTCAACATTGCAAAGTTCAATAAATTTTGGTGGTCCAAGAGCAAAACTTGAAATTTGCGGAGTAACCGCAGCTATGATTCCTCCAGTATCAATTTTTCCTAACTTATCGTCGATCTGTAAACCTATAGTCACTAAATCTAGACGTTTTTCTAAAGACGATTTAAAATCCATTGCTAATGAAATTCAGGAATTATCATTAAATGGTATTATTGAAGAAAGCAGATCTCCATGGAGAGCTCAAGTTCTTGTAATAGAAAATGATAATCATAAAAAGCGTCTTTGCATTGATTATTCACAAACTATCAACAAATATACTTACGTGGACGCTTACCCATTGCCAAATATAGAGACAATTGTACAAGATATTGCTAAGTACGAATTATTCTCAAAGATTGACTTAAAAAGCGCGTATCACCAAATTCCGATCTTTGATACGGAAAAACCATTAACTGCTTTTGAAGCAGTCGGAAATTTATATCAATTTTGTAGAATCCCATTTGGAGTTACTAATGGTGTAAGTAGCTTTCAGAGAACTATAGACTGGATAATACGAACGGAAAATCTACAATCTACGTTCGCCTATCTAGATGATGTTACCGTATGTGGTAAGAATAAAGAAGACCATGACTATAATCTTGAGAAGTTTGTCTGCTGTCAAAAAGTACAATCTTACTATAAATGAGAAAAAATGTCCATTTTCAATTAAAAATATTTCTATTCTTGGATATAACATTAATAATAAAATGATCACGCCAGATTTAGAAAGAATCAAACCTCTACAAAATTTGCCTATTCCAACGGATGCTGCTTCGTTAAGAAGGACAGTAGGAATGTTTTCACATTATTCTAAATGGATACCGAAATTTTCCGAAAAGATTCGAATTATTATTAATAACAATGATTTTCCATTGAACAATGATGCAGTAAACGCTTTCGAAAGTTTAAAACAAGAAATAATTAAGTCATCTGTTCATGCCATTGAGAGCAAAATCCCATTCACTGTCGAAACAGATGCATCAAATTTCGCAATCGGAGCGACACTCACAGGAAGGGAGACCTGTTGCTTTCTTTTCAAGATCACTCACGGAGTGTGAAAGAAAACACTCTGCAATTGAAAAAGAAGCACATGCCATTGTAGAATCTGTCCGTATGTGGAGGCATTTTCTAATAGGACGAGAATTTCGTTTAATAACTGATCAAAAATCGCTATCATTCATGTTTAACACCAAGCATAATAGTAAAATTAAAAATGACAAGATTATGAGGTGGCGCCTGGAGCTCTCTTGTTTTAAATATGACATTATACAGCGTGTCGTTACCATCGCGACAATAAATGAACACACGTCTAACGCTACTTGCCAATAATCATAAAAAAATGTTAACGTTAAACAAAATCAATAATTAAAAAAAAATATTTTTCAAACAAACTAATTGAGTAAAAAAGAAACAAAATATGTAACATCCTATACAACTCGCGCCACAGCGTCGTATTACTGCCTCTCCTTCTAACAGTATGTTTTGTCTCTTTTAAATTCATTCAACCCATTCATATGCTTTGTGACCTTTACAAATGAACTTTACGTTACGATTTTATAGGTAAGGATGTTCTAAAATTCTTTGTTTTGGAAAATTTAACAACTCTGTAAATATTGATGTTTAAAAAATTTTAATCTTTAATACAAATTTAAAAAGTTATCCCCTATATGTGTGTGCATTTATTGTCGCGATGGTAACGACACGCTGTATATCGACATGGGAAAGAAAATGTTGCAGCGGATGCACTATCTCGAATGTGTGCATCTGTTCATACAGAACTTAAACTATTTTCTTTACATGAATCGCTTTGTCATTCTGGAGTCACTCGAATGTTTCATTGGGTGCGATCTAAAACTTACCATACAGCATTGATAATATACGACAAATGACACGTGGCTGTAAAATCTGTGCAGAAGTAAAACCTAAATTTTGCAACAGCCGTGGAATATTAATAAAAGCTACAAGTGTATTTGAAAGATTAAACATAGATTTTAAAGGACCCCTACCCACAAATTCAAAACATCAGTATCTACTCACTATTATAGACGAATATTCAAGATTTCCGTTCGCATACCCCTGTGAAGACAAGTGTTTGACAAACTTATTTTCTATATTCGGCATACCCTCAAACATACATTCTGATAGAGGATCATCATTTATGTCCCATGATTTAAAAATCTTTTTACAAAGTAAAGGTATAGCTACAAGTCGAACAACATCGTATAACCCGCAAGGAAATGGGCAGGTGGAACGATTTAATGGCACGTTGTGGAAGACAATGCAATTGGCTTTAAAAACAAAAAAATATGATATAAGCCAATGGGAGAGGGTATTGGATCAGCCATTGCATTCGATTAGATCATTACTTTGTACAGCTACTAATGTAACACCTCATGAAAGAATGTTCAGGCATAATCGAAGATCTGAAAACGGTGCAACATTACCATCGTGGTTGATGGTGCCAGGGCCAGTGTTTATGAAAAAGCATAATCGAGCTTCAAAATATTCACCTGTAGTCGAGGAGGTAGAGCTATTACAATCAAATCCTGACTTTTCATATGTCCGTTTACCTGATGGAAGGGAAGAGACGGTATCTAACAGACATCTAGCGCCTCTAGATTCGTCGGAGTTTATCGAAAATACTATGGAAATTGAAGAAAATAATAATCAAATAGATCTGCCAAGTGGAAATATACGAGAAGAAGATAATGAACAATGTAGAGAAGTAATGACAATGGAGCGACCGGTTAGAACTAAAAAGCGCCCAGAATATTTAAAAGATTATGTTACTTAAGCGGCCAGAATATTTAAAAGATTGTTACTTTTACTCGATAGGGTAAATGATATAATACTGGCCATTCGCCATGAATGTAAACATTGTTTTTAAAATTATTCTTTTGGATGTTCCTTATTACTGACACAATTGTTCTTACGTATGTATATATTTTCTGCTTAATAAAACCTAATTACTAGGTTTTGTATTATTTATCACGAAAGATGAACAATTCGACTAACAAGGGAAGTTGAGACACGATGCAAGAATTTCTCAGGTGGAAATTTGAACCTTGGCTTGGCTTTGGCTCGGAAAGTACCTAACTAGAAAACAATATGGTGCAAGGAAATATGTTATATTCGACGTGGATATTTCATCATCAATGACGTCATTAATTGAATCGAACAGCATGTATTTGCGTCCTACATAATCTTTAATCAAGTGATTAAAAACATAGCCTTCCCACCTAAATTGCCTTCTAATGGCTATAATTAATGTACTTCCCGACAACTGCACCTTCCCTGATACGAGGAAGAAAGTGAAAATCTTCGGCATCCCTAAGCCATACAAGCGCCGATATTTAGTGTCGACTTACCATTAGTCTTCTCCCCGCTATTGGAAAAATTTAGGAACGCATTATCCTAACAAACCACGGTTGCGTGGAAATGCTTTTGTTCGACATCATATCAGCCTATATTTATATTGCATTATGTACATGATAATATGAGATCCCTTGTATTATGTTAGCTTTCGAGGTGTACTTGGTACATCCGACGGCATGTTTATTATTGAAAAATTTGAACACCGTTTCTGACTCTCCGCCCTACTAACTGAAACTAAAGACGAGACGTCCCAATTGACAACATTTCTTTTTCTTAACCCCCCTAAATTTAAAATTAGATTGAAAATAGATACAAAAATATGGTATACGTATTTTTTGTATTAATTTAAAAAAAATTTTTTAGGCACGAAAAATAATAAACAAAAACAGCTCAGTACAAAAGGGCGTAAGTGCAAACTCAGGCATAATACGCAAGCAGTTCCTTTGCCTAAGAAGTTATTTAAAAATATATTAACAGTACGTCATCTTCTGTCCTCTGTCATTGTGGTACTGTCAATATGTAATTTGTCACACGGTGTTTGTTGAGGTTATAAGGAACTTCGAAGTGTGATTTTTTTGTGCCACTTGCATTAAATTGCCACTTATCTTTTACTTCGGACGACGAAATGGATTCTAGCAGCCATAGAAAATACAGACAAGATCCATTAATATCTTGCTGTGTGCCTTCTTGCAAAAACACTGCTTTGTCGTCGCCCGACAAACACTTTTTTCCTGTGCCTCATAAAAACCGATCAGAATGGTGTGCAGCTGTTAAGAAAGTTAATTTACCCAAAGGTTCTATTTATATATGTGAAGGCCAATCATGTAAGTATCTTGTAATACTTCATCTATCTGTTGCTTATTGGGTTATAGAGGAGCAGCTTCTTAGCTGATGTGTTTAAGTTTATAACCTTATAGTCTGTCTTTTCACTGATCACAATTTTTTAAAGTTGACTTCAATAAAGATACTTTGTACACAACCGCATGTCTTGTGTTGTTTAGGTATATTTTTTGTTTGCATAAAAACACGGCCATTTATTAAAAAAATATGTACTTACGTGAACCTTTTAACTTTCTTTTCTGTGTTATGTAATAAAATATAACACACATAACCTATTGATATGAGTTAACTTTTTATGCAATATAAAATAAGTATGTTGCAAAAAGTTGGAAAATGTACTCTGGTAGGTGAGAATATAGATAGGTGCTTATTAAATTATTTTGCTCTTTCTAGCTTGAAGAAGACTTGTCCAATTATAATAATTGGAGAATGGGTGTCAGAGGAAGGCTGAAAGAAAGGGTTCCTGACATGAAAAATATTGAAGTTGTTGAGTTACAACAAAATGTGCCTGAACTACTTCCAACTGTAGTGTCAAAGTATGAAAATAAAGGGGTTTTATGTGTACCACAGTGTAGTCATAAGTCTGTGTGTGTCAAGTATAACCAGTTAGTGTGACTCGCTCCACTATGACCAAGAAAACTAAAATCTGTGTTGTACCAAAAGAGGAACAAGTTTTAGTTGCAGAAGAAGAAAGTCCATCAAATGTTGGCACTACCACAGAATTTTCTGAAACTGAAAGTTCTACGATTTCAGGAGTTGAAAAGCAAGATTTGTGTGGAAGATTTTTCTTATTAAAATTAATCAAAGCTAAACCTATGAATTATCTGGGAATAAAAACACAGTTTTATTGGATTATTGAATACTTAGGAAAACACTGCAAAGTTTCTGAACTGCATATTATTGTAACTCTGTATAAAATTAAAAATAATGATACTTTTGCAAAGATAAGGGATATTTTTCAAATTTCTTTAGTTTGTGTGTGGAGAATCTTTCAAAGTTTTGGCTTCATTTTTTAAACACCTAGTGTATTGGCCTTCTGCAATAGATATAAAAAAAATTTACCTCTAATTTTTAGAACAACACATGAGTACTCAGATATTCAATCAATAATAGATTGCTTTGAGATAGAGATTGAAAAACCAAAAAATCCAGTACATCAATCTCTCACCTGGTAACAGTACAAAAATTGCAACACCATTAAGTACCTGTTAGGAGTTACACCAGACGGTTTCATCAACTTTATATCAGAAGGATATGGAGGATGTATATCTGATATGAATCTTGTGGAACAAAGTGAATTCTTGGAGACTATTCCGGAAAAATGCACAATTTTGGCTGATAGAGGTTTCAAACATTTGGAATCCTTACTGTCAAGAAAATCTGTAAGTGTTCTGCGTCCTCCAAGTGTAACGAAAAACACTAAAATGACCAAATCTGAAGTGATTACTAGCATAGTTTTAGCCAGTTTGAGAGTCCATGTTGAGAGGGTCATAAGAAGAGTGCGTTTGTACAAATTGCTAAAGCCTCACTCTGTTGTAAATAATAAAATAGTATGTGCATTGGATGATGCAGTTCTAGTGTCTTGCGGACTAGTAAATCTCCAACCACCGATCATTAAATCTTATTGATTTCAAATATGTTTTTTTTTTGTTCTATTTTTATTATTTATTGTAGTGCTAGTTTTGTAGGTTACTGTTATCATTAAATGAAGTGTTTTATTCGATGTTGTTTTACCTTTAAATGCATGTATACAATGTTTAACTTAATTTTTAAGTGCATCACATCAAAATAATAATGGTTTCTTTATGTACTTAGTTGGTAAGCCTTTTTAAATAAATAAATGTAGTTGTGTCCCATGCAGGCCACTTCCAACTGGTCATATTGGAAATCTTTGGGGGAGGCCTTTGTCCAGCAGTGGACTTCTTGCTGCAGAGATGATGATGATGAACAGTAATGATTTACAGTAATTTTATAAAAATAATGAAATTTTGGGAAAGGAACATTTTGCTACTAGGGGACATTTTAAGTCGAAGCAAATGAAAGTTATGTATTATGTTATATTGTACTGTATATACCACATATGTAAACAAATAAGTAAGATTTTGCAGATGTGAAGACAAACCCCAATAACAACAGCTTTTTCATCTTATCATTTCACAATAATTTCATGCCAACTGTACATACATACATATTATCATGTCTTTATCCCTTGTGGGGTAACAGAGCCGAAGGTCATAGGACCCAAAAGCCATGTTAAGTGTGTTAATGGCTGACTGTACTTATTATTAAAAGACTACTTTTTAATAATCCATATATTTTTTTAAATAAAAAGTTTTGTACTTATATCATAGTGTTTATTTATTTTCCAAAAAATAAATTAGGAAATTTTCAGTTACATTTTTCAACTCAGGTAGACACTCTTGTGCTAGCCATAAGTTTTGGAAATATGTAGTTTTCCCAAAAAATTTCAGCTTGTAATAATTTCGTTACATATAATTTATCAAAATATAACCAATATTTATGATAAACTTTATTGATCTCAAATTCGGGATCAGCAAGACAAAACAATGCTTTTTTTTTGCCTGTAGCTAACATCTGCATTTGAACCTGAGCTTTATATTTATCAGTGACTGTATTATCTTTGACATAATTTTGCATTGTTTTCTCATTTAATGGACATTTGACTTCTATGCAGAAATCTTCACACAAGCCGTCAGGAGAAACTCCAACAAATGGAGTAACCAGTGTTAATCCACATGCTTCGACATTCATATGAAAATCTACTTGAATTTTTTTTAATACTTCAGCTTCAAGGCCCCGTTTAATGGCTTTGGTTCTGGCCTTATAGCCACCTGAAAACAAGCAATACTATGAAGACTTGAAACTATCAAAGAGAAGCCATCTTTTAAAAAAAGGTGTGAAAACCAATTGTGATTCATACTTATAACATTAGTGTGATTGTAAAAATCTTACCAAAAATTACTGTGACTAAAGTTCCATCAGTATGGCACTTAGTTGCTTCATAAATCTTTGAAGCTGTTATTCGACATTGTCTTAGTGTGTGCCACAGCATATTGTCTGCTTGACCCCTTGTGCATTTCTCAATAGTTTTTATTATTTCTGCTGTCAACAAATTCTCTGCAAATAATTTCAAATTTGCTACATTTATATTATCAGTACTTTGATAATTAATTTTACACTGTAGTAATATGTTAAATATGCTGTATCTGTCTAAAGTTTCTTTTTCACTATTATAGTTGACTATCATTGAGTCCCCCATTTTCCTCTCAAATGAACTGCGGGTAATGGTTGGTGGCAATGGTATGGTTGATTGACCCTTCTTTTTCACCATCTCTTTTGCTAGCACAAACTTGTCCTGAGTAACAGCCACAGAAAGCTTAGGCTGAGCCCAATAACAGGTTTGAGATGTCACAGAGGGCTCATCAGTGCGTCTTATCAACCACATCAAAAAACAGATTGTATGTTTGCAACCGCCCTCACTTGCTGCACAGTCATTGCATTTTACTTCCAATATTCTATCTTCTGCCTCTTCTATCACTGCAGCAACAGTGTATAATTTAGTACGCACTCTATGTTCGGGGGTTACTCTGCCCTGTACCAGACATAAAGAATTTTCTCTTTTTACTTCAACATAGCCTACGCATTTTTCGACATAAGCTTCTCGCGAAGACATCAGGACCTTGGTGCCTCGTATTTCAGCTAAATTGAAACACTCGTTCTCCCTCATATATTCTAACAGCATTAGATAGCCCACCTTAGGTAAATTTCGGCTATCAGCCATAGAATATCCTTCGCTAACCTTCATGTTATTATTTTTTTTATTATTAAATAAAGCTTTGAAGCCAAAGAAAGCGAATTGGCAAATTCAAACAAAAACCTGAATAATTATGAAAAAGTCAAAGAAAGCGAATAGGTAAATTCAACGAAAACCCTGAATAATTTTATAACCCCTCTAAAAACAACAAACTTACATGTCAATCACATGTCAATGTCAATATTCAATACATTAATCATTGACAAAACATTTTCGCTCTTTTAATAGCAGGCTAAGGCATAGAGCTAAATTGTGCCTGAGATTCCATTTTTGGCATACTTTTCAGAAATTATTAATTATTTCAGTAAATACTAATCTAAAAATTCTGAAAAAAATATATATTATTCTGAACGCTAATATCTCCAAACGGTTTTCTTATTTTCCTTCCTTAGTAAAAATGAAATGTCAATTGGGACGTTTTCATGGAATTCTTCTTTTCACTCCGGGCACCTGCACTCATTCATAAAAGAATATAAATACTTATATTCTTTTATCAATGCCTGCACTGCATCTGATATTGAAATTTCACAATGACATTGACAATGACAATGACAAGACAAGTGTCAGTCTTAGACATTTGTAATTTTGTAAAAATATTCAGAAGTTCGCGCCAATTAAAATGATTTTAAAGGGATTAGATATTAATGTGTTAACCAATCTTTCTTCTCAACAGATAGATCATGTTACTTGTTTAGAATGGTATGTGTACCTATATCAAGTTTATTTGATTTAAGCAGGTATATAGTAGTAACCTTATGAATGGGTTTAACTGAAGTTTGAATAAATGATAAATTGCTTATGTTTTGAATCGAAGAATATAATAGATGCTCGTTTAAGAAAGGTTGACATTATAGAATTGATATAATTAGAGTATATTTAGTTATTTTATTTATTAATAGTATTAATAGAGTATTAAAATTTGTATAGAACAAATTAACCGGTATGTCTCATTTGGGTAAGGAGACAAGCGATTTTTTTTCTAAATTTTTATGAGGACAATAAATGTTGAATATTTATTTAATAAGGCCCACTAAAAAGGAAATGTACTCACACCATTGTGTCTTAGTTAGCTGATGTTGAATAATATAAAGTCAACTGTAATTACCTACTCTTAAAGCTCTTCATTGTACCAGCATTTGTTTTATGTTATAATTCTAAAGAATTGCTAAAATATACATGCAAAGATTTAGTACTGTTTTGTTTCAGCTGTAAATATTATGTTGCACCTACTACTGCATCATGTGGCCATACACTATGCCATGGCTGTTGGCATGGTAGACGTAAATGTCCAACATGTGCTTCTACTGTTGAAAGGAAAACTCTTCAGTTAAACCTTCCAATGCAAAAGCTAACAGAACATGTTAATTCACTTATTGAAGCATTTGAAAGACTATTTAATGTGAAAAGTTGGTATTATTTTATTTTTCTTAGATAATGTTTCTAATATCATATATTCAAAAAATAAATCAAATAACAAGCTCATTTGATTTTGCTATCATTTTAATGTTTATAAATTTTAAAATAGATAATGCTTAAATTTTAAAATTGCTTTTATTTTCAATATTTTCTCATATTATGTTCAATATTGTTGTTCCAAGTGGATGAATTTGACTTAGAAGCTCCAAGTAAAGGATCACAAGACGACCCAAACAAACATGTTAAAGACTGGTTGGCAAATTCTCAAAATCAGTTCTCAGCCCCTATTAGTTCACAATCCCCACAAGATCCACCAGTTGAATATTTAACTAGCAAAATACAAATTCATACTACAAATGTAAAAATGAAAGCTCCAGCGGAGGTAATCCATGTTTCCCTACCTCAAGATGATTGGGACAAAATTGAGGCAATGCCTGATGCTGAGGAATGTGTTGCTAAAGAACAGTTAAATGCTTTAGAGCCAATGCATGTAGAATCATTTGCTGATAATGAATATACAACAGAAAACCCACGTAGAAGTTTGAGAAGAAATAAAGACACAAATAATAGTCCAAAAGAATCAACTGATATGCAAAATGAAAAGATCAGCACAAAAACCTCGGCAATTGTATCAATTAAACCTTCAAAAAAACTGAAACAAACATGGAACAATGTTAAAAGAATGAAAAAAGAATTCAGTAAATTAAACAAGGAAAATAGAAATAAATTAAATGTATCTATTGAAATGTGTAAAAGGACTCAAATGTCTAACATTAACACTAAGCAATTGGATAAAGAAAAACTGACACCTGATATTATTGAAATTAATACTCCAAATGAAATTTTACAAAGAGTTATAGAAGAAGAATCACAACAATCTGACAAACTCCTTGCAAATAATAACAATACTTCTCAAAATACTGTTAAACAAACAGATAATCCGAAAACTACTTTTTTAAGTAACAATCTGAATACGGTATCTATTCAAGGGAACAATGATATTGCCCACAATGATGTAGCTCATAAAAAAGCACTTTCTACGAAACAAAAGAAAGCGGAGACTACAGTGGATTTTGAGAACACAAGTAAAATAAAGGAATTACAGAAATAGGTAAGGTGAAATTCATAAAGAAAGGTTCATTACAAGTTAATACAAAAGAAAATGTGCAAACCTATGACAATACAGAATTTACAGCAAGTACAGATGACATTGAAATTTCTATCAAAATTGGTAATACAATAACAAATATCTGTATTAAAAAGAAAGACAATGATGTGCAATTAAAGGTCAACACAGATCGCGAAATACAAACTACTTTGGGAACAGAAAATATTCCTGAGAATAACATAACAAATAGTTGCAAGAGTAAAGATACTTCACAACATATTGCTATTAATTTGGGAAAAAGTGGACCCGTTAATAAATCCACTCACGAAATATTTACGCAGTCTAATAACGTACCAATACTTAATAAAATCGAAAGCAAATCTGTTTTATCAAAGAAAAGCACTGCTTCAGCTGACACAAAAGCAGCACAGTTCGAAATTACTGAAAGTGTGGAGAAAGAGTTATCAGATATTATGGAATGTGTTGAAAATGAAACTGTTAATGACAAATCAAGAAAAAATCAATATCAGAAAGGTTCAACAACATGTGAACAGGTGCAAAGTTCCTCTCAAAAGGAAAACATTCCTGAAATTATTGAATGTAACGACGATGTTGATATTTTTGACTGCGAAATATTGAAAACTCCTAATGTTCAGTTACTAAAGTCATCAAAAAATATGCCTTCGAAAATCTTGATGTCAACGCAAAACAAAAATAATAAACGTAAACAAGTGGAAAATACAGATGAAAATTTTTATAATGAGAATAGTGTACCACAAACGAAAAAGCAAAAAATGATTAACAAAGAGAATAAGTCAGAAATTGAGAATGATCATACAACAGACCAAATCAGTTTCAAAGCATCTGCTAATGATAGTGAATGTCACAACTATGATCTAATAATGGGTAAAGTATTTGCAAATATTGACAAAGACATTGAAACAATTAATAATGGTGGTAACTTATCTAAAGAAGATAAAGTAGGAAATGCACCTCAAAGGCACAGTCAAATAAAGAAACTACCCAGTGATGATAATCAAAAATATAGCGAGAATATTTTTTCTATCTTAGACACTGATGATGGAAACTTAACCAAGAAGTCAAATACTGAAGTAAGCTATCAATCTTTTTCAGAGTTATTTTGACAATAGATATGATATTTTTTCTATATAAATAAGAAGTTTTTATTTATATAATTATCTCATATTTATAGGTTGCAAAATCTACCCTACAAAATGTTCATTCCTTAACACCAAACTTGTGTGAAGAATTTGCTGATGCAAATGACCATGAAAGGGATAGAGAAACTGGTGATATAGAAATGATTGAATTGGGAACACCGTTTCAAGAAAATTATGACTCTGATAAAAGTGTTGTTGAAGAGACACCACAAAAGTTAGTATTATTAATGTTTTTTATTACCAGCATTCTTTAATTTTTTTTTTCGTTAATATTACTTAAATTGTTAATCAAAAGCCATTGTTGAATATTTGAGGATCTTATTACCATGATATAACATAACATTCTCTAATTATACTTTTTTATTACATCAAAAAATCAAATATCTTTATTCAACATAGGATTATTACACTCGCATTGATAGTCAAATACTATATTATTTAACTGTATGTAAGAGTGAGACCATCTTATAATTTTTTTAATTAGTTGTAAAAAATATCTCTATCTATCAATTACGGTTTGCCAATTGTATTATAATATCGAACCGAAAAAATGTTTACAACCATTATATTAATCTTGCTAGTTGTCAAATAAAACACTTTAGTGCTTTTTTTTAATTTAGATTTCAATTCTAGTTTATTAAACGATATAAAATTCTTTTAATTTTAATTCTTATCACTTTATTACATCTTTAGTTATGGCGCAGACTGAGGTGTTTTACATCCCGTGTTGAATGGGACAAGACCCCTAAGCGTGTTTCATTTGTTATCAATGTTCAGTATTCACGTAAATAAAAGATATTGATGTTCCAGAAACGTCTCCATACCGAAAGTCAAACAAAAAACGGTTGCATCCTTCCAATCGGATAGCGATCAACGCAAAGAGTCGAAACCAATAAACACCGACGACAAACGCAGTGTCCGAAGCGTCATCAACATAACGGACAGCGTGTCCGACTCGACTAAGGCCACTAAAGAAAACACCGTGATAGAGTTTCACAACGCGAGACAAACTCTAGAAACGCCGCTGACGATAAACAAATTCGTCGACCAAATCAAGCACAAATCCACCCCGGTGGCGAGGAAGTCGCTCAATTTCAACCGACGCGACGTCGACGACAACGATCCGGAGCGGACATTATGCCCTAGCACGATAGCAGTGGCGAGAACCACCCAGGAGAGGGAGTTCATGAACGAGGTCTTCGAACAGCGCGACATTTCGCCCACTCGCGAGGAAACGATCGCGGCGGTGAATCGTGCGCGACGCCCGAATAAGCTGTGCATAGCCGGCTCGTGTCTAACCCCCATCGAAGCGGCGAAACTCAAGCTGTTTTGCAAAGAAAAGGGTTGGAGCTACGTGGAGAAGTACACGAGGGATTTGACCCATTTAGTTGTCGGCGTGGATGAAGAGAATAGGTCGCAAAGGTGTGCTAGATGAATTGACGAAACTGCTTTAGTCTTTTATTTTTTTTTTTTAATTTCAATAGCACCGGGAACATCACTTGTTTTCAAATGTTCATTTTGAATGATCATTTGAGAAAGTGTGTTCGCTGAAAAGGAAGCACATTATACGAATCTTAGCAATGTGAAACATGCAATAAAAAATTGCAGATAGCTCTTAGCTCAGAGGCTAGAACGCCTTGACGCGTAATTTGGAATGCGCAGGTTCGACTCCTGGCAGCTAAGAAAAATTTTGCGATAGTTTACCCACACATTTTAAAATGTTTATAGTCTTATAATAAGGTGCGTAATACTTGCGTGCGACATTGTATTTCATCTAGTCATTAGGGGAGAGCATTGCCCTCTTATTAACTCAAAAGACCGAATATCTTTCTGTCTCATACCCAGTACACAGTGGATTTAAACGCGCAGCCGCTGCGTTTGAAGGAAGTAATAATGCCCTCTCTCTCGCGCCTTAGTCAAATCGCTTTCTGTCCTGCTCCCACTACATCGAGATCTAGTGTGACGTGGGATCATGATATTCTTAAATATTTGGTATATTAAATATATTATTATAATATTCTTAATATTTGGTAGCAGCTATTAACTCAAACAACAAACTCGAATTTCTATTCTCTTTGTTCTACATGGGCCAGGTACGGACAGGCGTATTTAAGTTCTGCGCGGCTTAAATGTTTTAACTTTGATAGTTATGAGCCTTTTATCCTTACTGGATACTGGAAGATAAATTATTATTGACCACGACGAAACAAAAAAAAAACGGGCACACAGAAACGTTAATGACAACTTAACTTGATTAATTTGTCAGGTTCAATGTTAATGACTTTAATAAGGCTCCATTTGATACCATGATTTAACTAATTTTATATAAGTTTAGCGCTACCCGAAACTGTATTAATACTATAATTGATTATTTTTGAATATTACAGATCAGTAAAATATATGTGCGCCTTGGCGGCGGGAAAATGGATTGTTAGTTATGCATGGGTAGAGAAATGCTTACAAAGCCAAACCATATTACCAGAGGTTAGTAGACATTAGAGTTTATAATGAAATTTGTATACATAACGCAAACGAGCGTTGAAGATTTACTTACATACCTATGATAATTATTCGGTAAATTAAATGTTATATAATTACTCCTAACTTCAAAAAAAATCTATAAAATTATGATATTATATTTATTTATGTTTTTAAAGTAAAGCAATTTTACTAGTAGAAAAAAAAGACAACTTTCGGGCCACAATTCAGCCCACTCATTCAATAAATTAAGAGAAATCTTTTTTGTCGATGTATGCGTAATTAATTGCGCCGTGATAACGCAGTGTCTGGGCGCTCGCCTTTAATTTAATATACTCGAGCAACCTGAGTTCGATCCCCATTGCCAGCACCAATATAAGTGATGAATTATGACGTGCTCAGCGGTGAAGGAAAACATCGTGAGGAAACCTGCATATTTTCGAAATAATAACAAAAAAATATTTCGAAGATAAGTGATGTCCGCCAAACCGCAGTGGGGCCGCGTGGTGGACTATGCCTTGATACCCTCTGTACAGAGGAGCCCTTTGCCCAGCTGTCGGACATAGTATAGGCTGATACTTTACTATGCGTAATTAATATTTTCGACTTGCTCACAAAAATATGTCCAATAAGTACTACTGAGTGTTTAATGTTTAAATTATCTTCTTATTCAGACCGCAATGTTCATTGTCTTACTTTAACCAGACACAATAACACACAGAGAGTTTATTTTACTTTATTACAAAAACGTCGTACAAACGTTTTACAAATATTTTACAAACCGTAACGCTAATTTGATAAGTTGGCCGTGATTTTGATAATTGATAAAGTTCCGTGCCGAGGGCGGCGGCGGCCAAGCTGGCGGTTCTCCAGATGTTAAGTAATAACCCGCCCATGGACATGTGCAACACCCGTATGGTTGCAGATGCGTTGCCACCTCTTAATAAAGTGGGCCCCGGCTACCACACTAAGCAGACGATACGCAGAATGTGACGCTTCCACTTCATGCCGGTCTTCTGTGAGGTCGTGGTACTTACCCGGACGGACCTGCCCATTCGTCTTCCACGGGGAAGACGCAGGTTTGATTCCTGACAGCGCTGAAATTTTTTTAACATTTTATGTACTATTTGTAAATAAATAGTAGACATTTTCGATCACTTAAATTCTATATAATTTTTTGTACTTTATATCTTTTATGTTTCTTCAATACTGCGTACTGTATATTATGATACTTGTTCTTTATTTGTTTGTTTGCTTGTTTCTTACAGGAACCGTTCGAGAGCCTCGACGGCACTGGAGAGCCGGGGCCTAGACGGTCGCGCCTCGCTAAACGGAAGCTGTTTGAGGGCATCAGGTTCTACTGCATGCAGCCGTTCAGCGTATTAGATGTCGAAACATTGAAGGTGTGTGCGTGAGTATGCTTGAGTACGTACGCGTTTGCGTGCGTGTGTGTGTGCCTAGGTTTACCTGAACGTTCCAAAATAAAATACATCCCGATATTGGCTCAGAGCTATTTCGCTTGCGTACCGTCGAGTACAAAATATAAATAATCGCTTGACACACTCACGTAATACTACATAAAATTTGTTCACAAAACTAAATAGCAGCATTGTTCGTAACCGTGGTAGGTCCAGGCAATAGTTTTCGCTGTAGCACGAATGACCTGCTCATTCCCGTCCCGGGAAGTAGCAGGACCTCGCAGAAAACCGGAAAATATATATAATTCAAAATAATCGAACAACCTGAGTTCGATCCCCGGTGCCGGCCAATGAAATTGATAATTTTAAGTGCTGACTCACGTACTCACGTTTCACGTACTCACGTTTCACGTACTCACGTTTCACGTACTCACGTTTCACGTACTCAGCGGCGAAGGAAAAAATCGTGAGGAAACCTGCATAATTTCGAAATAAAAACAAAAGAAATATTCCGAAAATATCCGCCGTTCCGCAAAGGGGTCACGTGATGGACTGGGCCCCGATGTCCCTCTGTACAGAAGCAGTAGGACGGGAATAGGCTGTTTCGTTATTATCCATCGGGACCACATGCGTTGTTCTACCCAACGTGTAAGGTCATATCAAGGTCGTGGTTCTTCCATGAGCTATGCGTTCGATGACGCTTTAATAGTCTACGTGCTGAAAGCGAAACATCTTTTAATTATGTATCTATTGCTCCTTTGAACTTAGCCAATATTATCATGATGACACATGACACTATAAAATAACGACACCCACATTATCTTGTCGAAATGATCAATTTATTTTTAATAGTTATATTTTATCATAATTGTAGAAAGGTTAATAAACCTTATATCACGAGTAATTGTTATAAATTTTAAAGTTTTTTATAGTGCTAATCTCTGCACTTAAGATTGAACATTAAAACATGTAGAAAAAGTTTTTCTACATGTTTTAAAGTAATTGTTATTTTAATAAAGGGTAAACTTCTCCAGTGGTTTGGTCCACGTCCTTGTAGCTGTGGCCGTTGAAGCTGTATATAGTCTACGGACTAAAAACACAAATTTAATATCAACAAAAAAAGTTTTTGAACGAAGATTATGCTTGTTAATACGGCTTTAATGAAAATTTGCGCCAAATTTCATAAGTTTTATATTATTAATTTACACCCTTTGCTTGATACATAAAAATTAACCTATCATGAAATGTTGACAGATGTACTTTTATTTTACCATGGTAGAGAAGGTCACACTCTTAATAGACTTAATTGACAACACGCCTGCAACATGTCGCTCACCCTCACCCTAAACTCTTGCTTTGACACCCATTTGCAAAAAAAAAATACTTTAATTTCGGTGACAGTCTAATATAGTGTCTATATTAAAAAAATGAACACGTTGCATTTAAGTCTGCGTGCAGTTAGACCTATGAAAATCCCTAACAACTTTCCCGCAATCATATGACATTATCATTAACGACTTTCACGTGAACAGTACCGATTATTCCGTCATTATGTACTTTTCCGTTATGTTAACACCCACACTTGTTATTGCTGCTGAGTTCGGACTTCGGTACTGAGTCACATCACTGTGGAGACACGCAATGTCATTACTTATCGTGCGACGTCATTTCGCTTAAAGTGCCAAGAGGTTAATTGAGCTTTAGAGACTTTTGGAGACGCTATTTTTCTTATTATTATTTTTTTATATTTACGCGAACACTATAAATTATTAAACGTCTATGCTGAAACTAATACGGCCGACCATTGAACAAACTATGTTAACTAATTATTTTTTATTTATTTAAGATGCATTGTAAATAATTGTGTAACTTCGATTATGTTGATTATCGATAAAGTCGCAAACACCTTCGATAACGTTCTAAAGTCTGTGCGACGAAATTTATCGAGGAATCGAATCTTTTACCCACTTAGTACTTCATAAGACAAGTCCGTTTCAGGAGATCCTGGAGGCGTCGGGTGGGCAAGTGGTGGACGATGCCAGCGAAGTGCGCGTCAATAGCGAAAGGCCGGCCCTGTTGCTCGCCGAGCCAGAGAACACGCAAGAGGACAAGTTTATTTGTAAGATCATTTAAAGAATGTAACAAACGAGGCTAGTCTGGGGACAGTCTGGGCTTATAGAATAGGAATAGGGTATCCCCTGAATGTCTTAATAGACCACTGGGCTAATGCACTATCCATGTTAGTTATTCAAACGCAAGACCGTGAGTAGCGTGCTCATTAACGGTATCTTTTGAAGATTTCCTCCTCCCCCCTTCCCTCCCTCGATACTAAAATAAACTCCCGGTGATGTACCACGACCGACAGAAGATAGTCGTGAAGTGAAAGTAATAAAATTTCGTTCAGTCTGGTGGGTGAGGTGAACGGGGCTCACTTTTTAATGGTGGCAACTCATCTGCAACCCCTCAGGTGACAACACCTGATCTCTTGACAGCTTTTCACATAAAATGTGATCATAGCCAACCTTGCAAGTGAATAACATCGTTACTGTCTTTATAATATATGGACACGTTATGCTGGTACATTATTGCACCAAACAGCCCAAACTATCCTTCGTACTAACGCACACAAGGTGGTGAAAAAGATATGACATTATAGCCGTCATACGCTGTCCCTGTTATTAGAAAGAGATGAATGACTGCATGATTGGTACGTGACTAAGTGGTTGTCGGGCAAATACCTCGCTTTAATTATAAAACACAGCGTGAACAACGCATCTAAAGTTATGTAAACAGTCGTAAAATGGGTTGCCAGCCTTGATGAGGTCGGGAGACTGGTAACCTTGGTTACCGGGTGAAACCCAGCAACTTCTGCTGTTTTCTAAATGGCTGGTTCTTCCGGAGAATTACTACGCAAGCGTAAAGAACTGTCACTTTTGTGTTTCGTCTGATGATTAGGTCATTTCGACCTGTGTTATTAAAGGTTACCAACTCAAATCCACCCTGCGGGGATGTCCACTTGCGACGGTAAACACTTAAATATCTCTAAAATTATCTAATTGGTTTTTTGGGCAATTTATGACAAGACAAGTTATAAGTACATCCAAATCAAAGTATAATAACATCTCTAATATATAAAATTTTCGTGTCACGGTGTTTGTAATTGAACTCCTCCGAAACGGCTCGACCGATTTTGTGTGCATATCGGCCAGGGTGGAGAATCGTCTACGTCTATTTTTCATCCCCCTAAATGTTAAGGGTGGTCCACCCCAAATATTTTTTTCTACCCTACAAATTCCTTAGAAATAATTTATACGGCAAGACAACTTTTGCCGGGTCAGCTAGTAAAGCTATAAAAAATAGTAATTTTCTTTAGACCTTTATTGCCGTGCTATAAGTGTCTTATCGTCATTTCGTAACCTTATTATACCGTATCAGTTATGTTAGGTATAGATTTTTTTTTTCTTTATTTGAGGTATAGTTTTTCATAAGAAAAAATCTGCTCGATATCGAGTTTCATTTATTTTGATTTACTTATAAGATTTTATACTTAACATCAAAAGCATGGAGCGAAGAAACTAACTTAATAACGATATTATTTGTAAGATTATGCAGTGCTATACAATATAAATGGCACACATAATAATAAAGCAACTGTCCTTTTTTATTTTAAATTACCCATTTAAAATTTTGACATTCCAGACCTCGCAATGAAACTCAACGTAGTGCCGGTGAACTACGAGTGGGTACTCAATTGCCTCGGCAACTACACCCTTGGGCCGATCCACGAATTGCTGCTCTGCCCATCTGCGCTCCTGCCACCAGCAACGAACGAATGGCCCGTCGAGCTTATCGCCCACGACTATGACTAGTGCATTGAACAAACCGCAGTCACATAGCTTCGTAACTTTCATAACGACTTGTAGATAAAAGGCGTGTACGCCCGATTCCTATATTAACAAAACGAGGCGTTTTCCTTACTAGCGGTTGCATCAACTACGGAAAGTGAGTTACTAGCGTTCCTTTAATCTACAAGTCCTTATGAAAGTTACGAAGGTATGTGACTAACGGCCGTTCGTTGAATATAGGAACCGGGCATTAGACCCTGATAAATCCAACTATATATTTAAAGTAGCATTTGTATTCTCATCATATACCAATGTTCTTCCGGCAAGAAACAATAAATGATTTCGAAAAATCTAGCCCATTTTTTTATCCCCCAATTTAATAAACAAAATCGCATGTATATACAGATGTAGCGCGGATTTGAAGAGAAACCGTCACTACAGAAGGTAGATGTAACCATTAAGCTGAGAAGGCTCAGGCCGAGAGTAGCTTATCTTAGGCTCAGCCAATGATATATACAAATACGAAGTAGATGACACTAGCGCATCGAAAGTGAGGCACTCAAATTGCAATTGCAATTATATTGCTATCTCTTTCCATATCATACGTTCTTTATGATCTGTCACATTCACTTAAATATGTCATATAAAGTGGAACAATTTTTAAGCGCCGCGCAGTATGGACATGCGTCATCCATATTATTAATCATCATTGGGCTCAGCAAGTTTTAAGGACAGCATATTTTTTAAAGGTGTAGGTAAGGAGTGTCTACATTGACTTTATTGAAAATAAAACTGGATCCAGAACACATTTAAAGTTACATATTATGCATAAATTATTCTTTTTAATATATTTATGCTTCACGTTTTTAACTTTGCATAATGAAACTACTCATAAAATAACAACTTACAGTTTCATTATTTTATTTCATAAACATTTTCCTGGAAGTAACGCGGAAATGTAGTTTATTTCGTAGTAATTTTTAAAATCATAAGAAATATAGTACAATGTCGAAATTATGATTACAACTAGAAATAAGAGTTAAGTACCTTTGTTGTTTTTTATACTAAATAATGTTGTTATAGAGATTTAATCTCATAATAAAACTAGCTTTACCGCGTAGAACCTATAAAAAGTGTTATTGAGTACTTTCTGCATAGAAGATAAACAATAGGAATTTTTCTTAGCTTTTTTTATCATTATTCTTCGTCGGGTTACGCATAACAACTTTTTAAAGTTTTATTACATTACAGTCCGATGAATGGTGTACCTACTAAACGTAGAGGACAAACAAACAAGCATTCATTTTTATTCATATCATTTTATATGACAAGCTGTATTATCAATCAAGTATGTCACAGGGACAATTTGTCGCCTCGATGTCTGTACAATTGCATAATTAATATGTGAGAAGGGACGTCGCACAGGGACAAAGCAGCGGATGGCAAACAATCAGTTCGACTCGGTTATATTGCGTACGCACGTGCACTGACCTTCCGAATGAATGACCTCTAGAACAACGCTCTGATACATAGTGAGTTTCTGCTAAACTGTACTCAATCTATTTAAATCTATTAATACCCAGACGAGTATTCTATTAAGTTGCTGAACTTCAAAACCAATTTCGCATATTTTTAATTATTATCCATACTTAATAAATTATACTTTTTAATAACTTGAAAGCATAGCTCTTTATTTTTAAAATAGTTCCGAGTTCTAATGTTAGCCATCAAATCCGTAAATTAATTTCCACGAATTCTTTGTGCTTTTGTAATCTTCGACTATTCATGGCAAAAGAGCGCAGATCACTTTATATTAAGAATATTTTTTCTGTAAAATATAGGTATAGCAATAATTGTATTTTTCGCACATGAGATAATATTCTTTATTACTGAAGAAATTAAGATTGGACCACAGACAGTTGCGTGCTATCAGTAAGATCTGCTTTTTGTTTGGGCCGCCATGCGCCAGTCGCGTCCAGTATCCTACTTTCGTACTCTTCCTCCCGAGCCTCCGAAGCCTATCGACTTTCCGAAGAAAGCTTCAGTTTAATTCCTGAGATTTGAAGTCGACATGAAAAGAACACGGACTTATTTCTTACGTAACTTACGGTATAGGTATACTTACATTGTGACGAAATGAGGTTTCACTGTCCATCACTCAACTCACCCAGGCAATAATTATCATCAGGGCTACGGCCGCGCCGAACCGCACGAGGTAACGCCTAACGAGGGAACCTAATAAGAGCTTGCTATTGCTTTACATAAAAAAATAAATACGTAACTTACTACAAAAAAATAATAATTTACTTCACTATTACAGTTGTAAAGAGTTTTTAGTTCGAATACCTGGTAACTTTGTAGAGTCAACACTGTGTAGACTTTGATCACTAGACATTATTTACTTGCATATTTAATGCGAGTGAAGAAACGATATATTTATGGTAATTTTTACATGTCTGACAAAAGCCATTCAAATTAAGTATACTTATATTTATTGAAAATTTGTAATTTTTTTCCGTTTAATGTATTAATACATTATGTTAAATATCTTTGAACGTGGGTTTTACGCCTTGTTATTGTTCTTCTTCCTATGAATCTATCTAATTATTATTATAATTATTAATACCTTTAAACGAGCAATTCTTCTATATATGTTATATATATAAGAGATTTCCACCGATAATTGACTCATCACGATATCTCGGGAACCATAAGGCGTAGAGACTTAAATTTGGTAGGAATATTCCTTTCGCCGAGTAGAGGTCAGCTAAGAATCAAAAAGCTCGGATTTTACGAAAGTCCACAAAACAACGTTTGCCGTATCAGCTAGTATCTTATACAATCTGAATCTCGCTAGGTTTTATTTTTAGAAAACGTCATTTTATCTGTGTTTTCAGAAAATAAAAAAACTGGTACAATATCATTAGAATACGAAGAAAAATTTCGCAACCATCTACAAAGTTACAAATAGCTCAGGTGGGAAATCGGGCGGTCGCGAATCCAGAAGACCCCGGTTCGAGTCCTGATGAAAATTTTTTTTCAAGTTCCTTCTTTTGTGATAAATCCAGGTAATCCAGGTACTAAAAATGATGTTTTAAGTGTCATTTGTATACGTACGTAAGCAATCATACGATTATAATGACACTTGGGTGAGTTGCTCCACGTATGACCACTGTTGAACTTAGACCTTCCCCACAAACTGCCACGAAGAACGAACTTGAGCCATCTGCATTCATCGACTTCCCTCCCATTTGCACAGTTCGTGACTCTATCTAGTGGAGGGTTGTCCTACACTGCGATGGCCAGTACGAGGCTGCCACTCAAGAACCTTTCTTCCTCATCGGTTATTGGTTCTACGAGCTATATGGCCTACCCATCGCCGTCTTTTGAGCTTTATCCGTTATGTTTGTTCTACTGCGGTTGTCTTCGTTGCGAACTCTATCACGAAGAGAAATACCGAGCATAGACCGCTCCATAGCACGCTGAGCGGCTTTGAGCTTAATCATACGGACAGCAGTGAAGGACCGCGTCTCGGTTCCGTAGGTCATTACTGGCAACACACGCTGATTGATGACTTTGGTCTTCAAACATTGAGGGATATTAGACAAGATGTACCGAAGTTTCTCAAAGGAGGCCCACCAGTGTTGGATTCGTACCAATTAACCTCTGCGCCGAATTTGTACTTACCTAACCGAACTAACTGTCCCCGATACACATACTCGTTAAAAATTTCAGGCACAGTGCTTCCATCAATAACCAGTATAGGCGTGACATGAACATTAGACATGATATTTTGTATGTTAAACATTCTTTTGTATGTTAGTCGTGTATTCAAAAAGCTTTTTTCCTTACGTGGCGTTATAGTGCAAGGCGAGTAATGGCAGTAAATATACATACCGCATTTAAGTTTCCCATCTTTGCATACGTTCAAAGGGCAATCTTTTAACACAGATATACTCATTGTTACGTTACCTCATGTAGGTAATACCTACATTTCTGATTCATCCACAATAATAAAACTTGGTACTGTTTTGTTTCAAATCAACACTGGAATATAAAAATTTAGGTTCCAAGAACTATTATAATAGGCTGGGGCAAAAAGTTTCTTCGCATTTTATATGAAAATTCAATACATTTTTTAATAAAGTTTATATACATTTAACAGAAAGTTATCGAACAAAATCGCACCTACATACTAAATGTAGGTTCCATTTTGTTCGATAACTTTCTGCCATCTTGTAGGTAGGGACATGATCCCATTATTATAGAAATTCTGGGACTTCTGATCAAAATACCGCGACAAGTGCACGACCGCGACGATTCGGCACTTAAGATTGAACATTCAAATTTGTAGAAAGAGTACGAAAAGATTGTCGCCGCTGTGGGAATCGAACCCACGTCTTCGGCATTCGCGGCCTGACGCTGTAGCCACTGAGCTAAACGGCTGATTGCCACACCGACGAAAATCTTAACGTCCCTTATCTACATTGTTTTTTTGCATTTGAAGCAATGCTTGGCGCATCCATTGTTATATCCTTTCCAGCATACGATTTATCATTTATTTGATGTTTTAATTATCTGCTCCATCAGCTCCCAGTTATTGGTATTATAGTTTTAAATTATTCCTATCATTGACTCAGTTAACATTTTTTATTCTTGAATAATTTGAAATGAGTTTCAAGTTAATTTAATAATTATTACTCGAATGAACGGATGATGCAATGTATGCAGTCATTTCGCGAAGTACCATTTACAGTTTATAGTGAACTTACATAGTTACTATCGTGTTATGGGTATGATCCTCACATGCAAATGTGACAAAATTTTGTTCAATACCAATAGTAGGTACCTATGTCCGGTCCGACCCTAGAGTATCCTGTGATTAAATTTTTGTACAATATTCCGAGGATAAGTCCGCAATGTAGGAAGCGTTTAAAAATAAGAAATTATAAAAAAATTCTCTATAGAATGATAACCATTAATTCTATGTTACTTTTATTGATTATAGGTCATAAGCTTATTGCATAAGATATTAGCAGCGGTAATCTTACCAAAACATAATAATAAGATAACAATGAATAAAGCACACGAATGATGAGCGTGGGAGTTGGAAATGATGTTTATATACTTGACACGTGTAGAATGTCAAGTGGCAAGTGCAACTCGACATTATTGAATTTTATTATTTGGTTATTAATTAAGTTAATAATTTCAGAAAGCAATTGAAATGAAGCACATGTCACGACATTTGAGAAAAATTATTTTCTTCGCACTACTAATACATATAAATAAGTAGCCAATCTCCAACGTTTTAAATCTATACTTGTATGTTCAAACGAATTAGTAAAGGTTAACTTAAACAGTAAACAGTACAGATAAATTATTCTTTATTTATTTCAGCTTCACTAATTTTTTTTATCAAAATAGGAAACAAACTACTATCAATTTTTAAGGTGCTTATCATTTCCTAAGAAGGGATTAAATATTCATCAATGTAAGTTAGCGATAATTTTAAGGTACTTATACCTACCTTATGAAAAAAAAAGCGGCGCTATATATTAGGTTGGGGAAAAATTCTTTTCGCAAATAGTATGTATGTACCTACTTATAATATAATCTCTTTGGCTATACCATTTGTATCTGGCTGGTTTTGGTAAGATTAAAAAGTTTAAATTTTAAAAAAGATAATTTCAAATTCAAATTAGGAAAATGTGGGATTTTAATTTTACTGTTGAGATTAGTGATTCTAATGAAGAAATCGCTACATTTTAAAATTTTACTACAAAAAAGGTAAAAATGCAACGCAAACCGCGAAAAAAAATTGTGATATTTAAGGACTTAGTGCAGTCTTTGTGAGAGTAGCACAAATTTGGTTTAAGCCTTTTCAATCCGGAATTTTTGATGTCAAAGATGCACCTCGCTCTGGGCGCCCTGTTACGGATAAAATGGATTCCATTTTTGAAAAAGTGGAGCAAGATCGGCATATCAGTAGTTACGATGTAGCTGAAGAACTGGGAATTGACCACAAAACAGTTTTGACCACGACCTTTTTCGCACGTTCTTGTCGTACGTGATCCACTTTTCATCACCAGTTATCAGGTTTTTCAAAAATGGTTCGATTTCATTTCGTCGTAATAAACAATAAGTTGAGTATACAGGTCATTAGGTCAGTGAGCCTCATGAGGCACCCAAATATCGAGCTTTTTTGTGTACCCAGCTTTTTTCAAATGCGCCAAAACTGTTTTGTGGTCAATTCCCAGTTCTTCAGCTACATCGTAACTACTGCGAGCATGTGAGGATCATACCCATAACACGATGGTAAATGGTACTTCGCGGCAATGAATTGCACATGCACAGTCCGTTCCCCGGAACCCATGTTCTGAGTGCCCCGCGGCTTTACAAAATTGCATTGCTTCTCTTTTTATAGAATGATGATTGAAGGCCTTTTCTAGTTGCGACGATTAGTTTAAAATAGTGACAAAAATCACCAATCTTTTGTATAAATATATATAATAAAAGTTTATCTTGAAAAAAAACTGTGAAGTAGCAAAGTCAATGGTTTTTAATGATATTATCAAAGATTATGCGACGAAAAAAGACGATAAAAATTATTTAATGTCATTATTAATATGTGATTTTAGTACTAGTACCGTATTTAAATATGTATTCAGGTACCGTAAAAATTTTTGAAGTCGACCATGCAAAAGGTCATGTATGTTAGCCAGATGGCATTTTCACAATGACAATTTATGTAGCAAAAAGAAAATAGCAGGATAATACAAAAATTAATTTCAAATGATTATTCGTATGATCATATCCAAGTTTAAAAATATTTAAACAAACATAGGAAGAATAATTCTAAACACTAACGATTATGATCAGTAGTAGATATGTAATTATAAGATAAAAGTTATTATAAAAACGGATTATTAAAACGAACCGAAAATGAAAAACTATGTCTAAAGGCCCAGGCTCAAATTCAAGTTTATAAAGACGACGCTATGGTCCGTCACTCCCCACCAGTTGCTACGTACAGACGGCTAAATTGTAGGTTAAAATGGATTGTTCGGTGTTCCGTTAGAAAATCAACGACACGCGCTTAACATCAGTGCTACGTCGGGACGGCACACCATTTTTTCCTGCAAAAATCAATGTATAATAAAAACTGACGTGTTTTGCTTTAATCTCTAAAACTAACGTCGAAAAACCTCAATTTTTAAGCTATTTGCATGTCAATAAGATAAACCCTATTCGTAGATTCAAAAATATATATTTTTATTTAAATACACAACTTAAAGCGTTACTATATAGATATATGTAAACAATACGCGTTGAGTTCAAGGTGCATTCAATGTCATATTATGTTAATAGACATAGGTTTTAGACTTCAAATTATTCAGATATATGCGGTGACCTCTTCAAATTAGTTGTTATTTCATGAGTGTACCATATATATATATGCACAATAGCTCATGAGCAGTCATGTTCTAAAAAAAAGGAAAACTAGGTAATTAGGGCTAAGCCTGCTTTTCAGGTCCAGAATCACAAAGAATTATCCAGATGTTTATGAACTTCCATTCGCACAGAACAATAAACGTAATACTCGTATTATGTTGTCTGTTATGCGAAACATTTATGTCGATATTTGAATACGATACGGTTTTTGATATCGATATGAAAACAAACGATAACACCCATGTCTAAAAACAAAGAGAAAATACCATTTCTTTTAAGTTTAATAGCAATAGCTGGGACTGTTCATTTGTGCGCTGTGGGCAAAGTAGCTTAATGGTGGATTAATATTTCTTTAGTAAAATAATAATACTTTTGTTACGTGTTTTCGTGAAAATAGGTACCACTAAAGATCATGCCTCCTAAAACTAACAGACATATACATATAGTTAAATTACGGTATTAATTAATAGAAAATTGCGTTTTCATTATTCATAGAGCTTTATAGTTCCAAATAGAATAAATGTATAAACCCATCGCACAATGCTCGCCTGAAACAATTGTTATCCAATTGTATGATGTTTTTGAACATAAAAAATAACGATAAAAACTTCAGCTGTACCTTTGGATTTCGAATTCAAATCTAAACTAGCCAATATATTTTTTACTAAGTAATTTATTATTCCTTGTTCTTCTCTTTCAAAATAGAGCAAACTTCTTTGAACCTTTTTCTATTACAAGTCACATTTAGTATGTAAACAAGCTTAATCTTATCAAAGCATGCTAAATAAGGTTAAGAATGACGTACAAAATTTTTCTTAAACTTAGAGATTGCATAAATCCACTATTGACAGCGTTTAATAAAATCCGTGGACGACAAATATTGTCTCATAGAGCGAGCATAGATTTTTATATGTAGGTACCTAATACATCATACTGTTCTGTACCGCTAGGATTAACACCACTTTACGTTTTAACAAAAAAAATGAAAAAAGCTTGTTACAAATATTAAAAAATATCTTTTCTACAAGTTTAAACTTGATATTAACCATTTTGTGGATGATGTTCCTGTACCTAAACTGTGTAGACATAGAAATTAGAATGCGAATTTTAGATTAGATTATTTATAGGGCATATTACACATATTAATAAACGAAATAAGATTTGTCCTTGCTGTTAAAATAGGAAGTAAATCAGATATTTAAGATCAGTATCGGACATAGAAAGCATTATTTTTAGCAGAGAGCATGTAATAGAGTATTGATTTTTAGAAAGGCTTCTATAGGATTGCGAAGAAAATAATGTAAGTAGGTAGATATAAAGATTATTTTATTATGTCAATTTCATAATAATAATTCCATGACTAATAACATGCTTGTTTTCGTTGGTGCGAAATGGCCCGATCACAAGCTTAAACCGTGGTTTCGCTATAGTGGTTATACTAGTGACATGGCGTGGCGTGTTGCATCGCGCCACCGTGTTGTCCAATCCTCGCGTCCCGTCCGCGCCGTACCGCGTCGCGTTCACTCACACTGTTACAAAAGTAGAGTTGCTAGACGTCAAACTTCTACCACAATTTAATGTACATTTTATAAAAAGAGAATTGAATTTTTAAAGTAAAAAATAGCTAATATTAAGAGTCAATTGGAAAACTGAATGAATGTATGTTCACTAGGTAAATAGGAAACAATAGTTATTTAATAATGTGATACATTATTTAAACATTTTATTCCTAAACAAGTTATATTAATTTGAGTGTCAAGTATAAAAATACTTACTAAAATGTTACTTTCATAATAAAATATTTAAAGTAATGTGCACTCTGTAACAATTACTAAATTGTTAATTAATTCTAGTTGCGATAATATATAAAATGACTAGATATTGAATTATATGTTTAAGCTAAAAATTTCATAAACTTTAGAAATATAAAATGTAATGTCTATTATATAGGCAAAGAGTTCTAAAGACTTATTAAAGCACGCAGGGTAACAAAGAAACATTTTAAAACATAAAATGAAAACAAAACAAAAAGCCTACATTAATTTCACAATGCTGTATATTAAAATTTTGGGCAATCTGTAACGTTGAGTACAATTGAGATCATTGCAGTTATCAGCATGCGTTGAATACAACAAATTCTATCGCATCTCGGGCTTAATTACATGGGATATTTACACTGGTATCGATTCACTATGCAACATTTTTCGTTAAGTTTCTGTTTCATGACTAATTATGACTTTTAGATTAGTGGTAAATTTTTGCCAACACCTTATACGTTAGTGTCTAACTCTGTAAAAAGTGGATTTGACTCAGCTATATAAGCTCAAGCTCTCTTCTCTTACTGATCAGGAAAAGGACGATTCCTTATGAAATTTAACACTGTTTCTACTAAAGTAAATGATATAATTTATATAATCGTGAAAATATTTGTAGTTGGTTTCTATAGAAATTTAACTGGCAGCATTACGTGACTTAGGTGTATAGTACAGATGAATAGTGACGTGAGCACGTGAATAATGGTTTACGCCGGGAGTCCGTTTATAATATTATTCGTCTTGAATATTTATTAAGTTTTGTTTGTGAAAAAGAATATTTTGTGCAAAAAACCTATGATAATTCTATATAGTTTTGTATAAAAGAAGATCGAAATATTTGCGGTGTAATTAGTGCACTAAATTCGGATTATTATAAGAGGTACGTTTTGTTGATAATATAAATCTTGTATTTAAAAAATATTGTGAACGAATATTTTGTCGTTAATAACTATCTATATATTGCTAAATAAGTGAATCAAGATTATTTTCTATTAAAATAATACTTTTGAAAAAATATAAAATATATAAAAAGCAATAGCCTAATTTACTTTTCGATTCATATATATACAACATATATTTTTTGATTTATACATTTTTATCACAATTAGTGAAACGCCGAACGTTATTTGCTGAAAGTCTAAACGTTTGCTGTTAGGTCACCTTTAAGTTTAATATGGCGTAGATACCGAAGCTGAAAAGTAAAGAGGCCAACAAATCGTAAATTCAAAATAGTAATACTTTTATACCATTTTTCTTATAGGTACTTAGATAAATTTTATTCTGAAGACTACTAATACAGGCAAAGTTAAAGTGATATACTTACTGTCTTTCTAATATATTAAATGAGAAAATTAAAATCTACATTTGCTTCTTATAATATATTATTACATAATTAATAGCTGTATTTGTGTAATACATATCTACTTACAACGTAAATTTTCCCCAAAACCGTATTTCCAAGAAGCCGATTTGGTTCTTTCGTAATAGTACTTAGCTGCCGCTAAAGTTTCAATACGCTTTTCATACCGATTAATGGGTCCTTGATAAAGGGAAAGTTGCTTTATCTTTTTAAACTAATCGAACTGAAACACTGTAAACAATCCCTATAAAATGTACATACGATGATGCGTTGAGATCAACTGCTCATTTCGTGACAACCCTTAGGGGAGTAAGGTATTCCGTGCTGGAAATTTTACTATCCTTGACGTTTCCTAGTGTGCTGGTTAATATTAAAAAATCAATATTCATGTAAGTCACTCGTAAACTATAAAAATAAAATTTTAGGAAAAAATAAAATTATTTTCTTGATATCACATTTTTGCGAATTTGCTTGTTTTGATCTCGTATCGCAATATGCGATAGTTATTAGTTACTTATCAGTATATTATAATGAGGTTTTGTACTTTTTTTGTAGGTAAGCATTTTTGTATTAGATTTAACTTTTTATTTTATTTTACATTACAACAAACCTTAATAACAATTACACAAACAACATTAAACAAACCTTAATTTCTGATGTAATGTCATACATTTTTTCATGATCATAGACAGGAGCCTATTTTGAGCAAACATAATATACAGTTGTGATAAATTTTAAATCCCAAATATTATTCTTTCGATTTGAGTAATGAATAGTTCTATCCTAGGCGACAAATATTATTTATAGAATGTTTAAGAAAAATACAAACAAATAAAGCAATACTTTTTTTTATTTAACGGTGTATTTACAAGGTACAACTATTTTAAAGGTGTATTTTATTTTTTCATACATTTAAAACCTAATAGTGTGTTAGGTTTTTATAATTTGTAATACAAAAATTCGCGATTTTAAAAGATTTTAAGTATTCTGTTTTCCAATTATTTATTTTCTAATAGCCTTTGTCCGCAAATCTGCCTTTTTGGTAGTTTTTAAATTATATAAAATTAAATTTATTTTCATTAAATTTAACTAATTAATAATTTATATTGCTCTTCGTTCAGCCCGTAAGCTCTATTCTAAGCTTTTCAATTCGTCCCGACCCTTTGTTCCCGTTTCTGCGGGCACTCATACGATTTCCATAGGAATCTCAAAAAAAAATATCGATATGACATTTAATTGATGTCATTGTTGCATACTATTTTTTATGTACATTTGTCACGTGGTTAGCGATGAAATATAACGCGAAATCGTGTGAACATCTATTTAATTTTTTATTATTTATTACATTGATATTCAAGATCTTTTTTGAATTTTTAAACAAAAAGAATCAAGCGTCCCAATATCTCAATGCTATTTCATAATGAACTTTATTCGAGATATTATAAGTAAACTAGCTGACCCGGCAAACGGTGTTTTGCCATATAAATTATTTGTAGGGTAGAAAAAAATGTTTGGGGTGGACCACCGTTAACATTTAGGGGGATGAAAGATGTTGTCCGATTCTCCACCCTGCCCGATATGCACACAAAATTTCACGAAAAGCGGTCGAGCCGTTTCGGAGGAGTTCAATTACAAACACCGTGACACGAGAATTTTATATATTAGATATATCCGATGGATTTTTTAAATAATGCGATATAAAATAGATGATATAAAATAATGCTCCAAATTATTGTATTGCGAAGTACTATCGTGCATTCACCACTGATTCTGATGATCCCCTTGCCTTTATTTAAAATTATTTTATTATCTATCATCTCGAACACAACTGCGTTCAATTAATTTAACGTACCTAATTTTTGATTTCAGATACGCTCAAATTAACATGGCGCCTAAATCGGTCGACGCCAACGGGGTACTCTTCGAGTCGGATGCGGCCACGCCGGATCTAGCCCTCGGTAGCAGACCTATCCAGCAAGCAGACAGTCAACCAAAGCAACTTGTGTGGCGAAACATAATTTTGTTCACATATCTCCACCTGGCCGCCATTTATGGGGGTTATCTGTTCTTGTTTTCGGCAAAATGGCAAACGGACATATTTGGTAAGTGTAATATCGTACTATTTATTTGAAGTAACATAAAGTAAATAAAATTTCTAAAATAAAATTAGCCTTAGTTACTCCTTATTACATCAGCTATCTTCAAGCGAAAGTCCCTTCAAAATTGGTCCAGCCGTTTCAGAGATTAGCCGGAACAAACAGACGGACAAAAATTGTAAAAAATGTTCTTTTGCTATACCATGTATACATCCATATGCCTTTAGTAAAAAAACGGTTATTTTAATATTACAAACAGAAACTCCAATTTTATTTATCTGTATAGATGACTTGTCTCATTTCGCGTTATAATTATTGTATCATTACAAATATAGTATCTTATCATACTCAACAATATTGTAAATCAACACTTAATCTGTTTCTTTTTTCAATTAAAATATTACTTGTTCCGTATTGAAATAATGCAAGCAGATAAAATTATGTTATCTATTTAAATTTTACTTCCATGATTTTATCATGACGAGTACCAATAAATGTTAAGTAATTCATCATCCACATTTGAATGAATGAAAGATTACTTACTTCGTCGAGTGTTACCTTTAATAATGAAATTCTTTATTTTATTCAAAAAAAGTGTTTTTTTCCTTTAACAGCCTACATTTTGTATTTGATGTCGGGACTGGGAATCACGGCGGGTGCTCATCGACTTTGGGCTCACAAATCGTACAAGGCAAAATGGCCGCTCAGACTCATACTCGTCATTTTCAACACATTGGCTTTCCAGGTATGCATATATTTTTTTAAATTATCAATATAACATTTGTTATAAAAATGTTTGTTATATAATTTTCGATCGAAGCACTAGTAGTGTTTCTACTCTGTATTTTAAGTGTGCTTTGCGAACATTTAAATTTGGCTACTGGCCAACTTTGACGACCTTCACTGCGTCATGTTACTTATCCCCTTTAAAAACAGTGTTGTTCCATTAAAAATTCTATCGAATGAGATTCTTACATTCGGAATCGCAATGCCATTAAAAGCAAGCAAAAATATTTTGTACGCAAAAATTGCTTAAGCAGCCATAGGTGGGGGCCTCGATTATCCGAACTAATTATTGTATATCATTCGGATCCAAAAAAAAAAATAAGTTAATCATTTTCCATACATCAAAAATAAAAGTTTGTACTTCGAATTTTAATTGTTATTCTCCCTATATCGTATACAGTACAGAACTTATTACACGTTTTGAAGGGAAACCAGAGTACAGTACTTATTATCATATCTAGCAGTCTGGATATTCGAAAACAGGTATAAATGATTTCTGAGGAATCTAACTGTTCTGATATAGCCATATCTATTTGCTACTCTGAACAAAACGCGACCGACTAGTTCAAAAATTAGTGTGCACGTACAAAAAATTGTCTGTTAGGTATTTCTAGGCATAGTGCGTAGGATGATTTGCGTCATGGAAGGCTTATTGACTGTAGATAAATTGACTGCATCGCTTATCTTGATAACAACTCTAGTAAAGTGCGATGCATTATTTTGCTTTCGTTGAAAATCGGATCTGGTTAGATTTTTTTAAGTGTTGATGACTGATTATAATAATATTATATAACTAAATCATAAATTAATGTCATATTTTTAAATTGAATTAAAATTATTATGACCAGAACTTTTTTTTAAAAAAAAAGAACAACTGTTGAGGTGCTCTTTTTTTTAAAAAAAGTTTCTTCTCAACAGAAACTGCCTTCCGAACCGGTGGTAACTTACTTAAGAACTTATGTGTGTAATTATTAATGTATGTAATTATTTATGGAAATCTCGACGTTTCATAAGAACGCGCAAGCGTCTTCTTGAATAAAGCTATTTCGAATTAAAAATAGAAAACAGTATAAGTAATAGTTAATATAGATTACAGTAACTTAATGAAATAAACGTAAAAAAAAACTAAGATTTTTCTGCCATTTTTTTAGGAAATCCTTTTTCATTGAATTATGTTGGAACCAGAAAGGTTAATTGAACAATAATAACATGTATTATTATCCAGTAGAACCTTTTGAAAGACGTTTTTATCATATATGTATGTAATAACTTATCGTGTAATGCCTCAAACGTATGTCAACATCGCACTTGTTCTAAATTTATCAGGAAAAAACATCATGCATATCCTTGTTGATCAACAAAGATCCAAGCACTTTAGTCATGTTAAGATAATTTTTAAAATAATCCAATGTGAAACGTGATAAATTTTTATTTATTTTTTTATTCATTTACCTATGTATACTTTAATTTTTTTTTATAAATTTCATTTCGTATACGAAAAAAGTTAATGCCTTTTTATTATTTAATACTTTTCAATGTTTCTATATAAATATCTTTCACCATATTTAAATTAGTAACAAAAACGCAATTTGTTTCAAAATTGCGCACTCAACTCAACGTCCCTAGGCTCAATCGACCGATGTTTTCGTCACTGGCCCGAGTCAGCGCAATCTTGTTTGTCGTCTATATTGTTCCATATGCTATCCATTATCTGCTTTATCTGTTTACATTGCTAAATATACCCTACTAATACAGCAACGCAATCTAAATCCCAACACCGGCTGGAATTCATAAAATCAAAACACTGCAAAGCAATCCTACAAGGCTTTTGAACTAATGTCAAGTGTCAGGATCACACTGCGCAACCCTAGTTGACTACGGCATTAGGACGTAAAACGCTTCAATCGGTTCCGTTATCCTGAACAATTAAGATCAAAGCACCGGGAATTGAGACTAGAGTAAACGTGAAAAATTCCGTAAATTAGTTTTATTTAACAACTAGTTGAACCCGGTCACGTTTCGGTGTGTATGGTATATAAAAACACTAATGTTCTATAGCTATGTTGCGAGTAAATCTCAAGTCAATCCATTAGCTAGCTTTTGAGCTTTGCGGACACATACGGAAGTAAAATTTTTGTATGTAAAGATTTGTACTATTCGCGTTAACAAAAGAAGTAATATAAACCTTGAATGTACACACAAAACTACAAAATGTAACTCAAACTGCAACAATTTAGTATATAAAGCGACCTTTATATCATAGATTTATTTCAATAATGTTTGTTTTATCAGAGTATATTTAGTTCTTTCTTATTTTGCATACATTACATTTCTCTTTTAAAATTTTTCTCTCCCCGTGGACTTTAAAATTGATTTAACTTACTATTTCGCATATCGCGTAAAATTTTATTGCAACGATGACGCAATCCGCTAATAAAAACAGTTTGCCGTCATCGACCGAAATCGACTAGTACGGCATAGTTTTGTACCGTCGAAAATTAGCATATTTGCGATAACATATCGTATTTCATGACGGATTTACGTTGAAAACTTTTTCTGTATATTGTACAGTAACGTTTCAGATTGTTCTATTCGCGCTTATATGGGTCAACGTGTCGGTATTACACACAACGTCAATCTATTATATTAAGATACCATACAACATTTGCATTGTTTAACTAAAAAACGTGTTACTTTCTCTGGAAAACAATTAATGAGAAATTAATGGAAGTTAAGTTAAACTCTCAATTAACATCCCCTTTACTTTATGCTGGTAGCATAATGTTTTTATTTGCATAGACAACTTTACAATTTATTTACTTTGCATATAATTTCCTACAGAGATTACTTTCCTTGCATGTGACTAATATTACATAATATCACTGATATTACAAAACGTTTTCCACATTATGCACATGCATGCACTTTATGCACGTTCTCTAATCGTGTAAATCCCAACGACCGTTGCGACCTAGAAAGATCTTTTGTAGTCTTCACTTCGAAATCATTGCCCTATGTTGTAAGGCCGTTTTCACATACACGAATATAAAATTCACGTTGACAATCACACAAATCCGAAACAGTTATCTGTGGGTCACACAAATAGTCGGCATGTGTGCGAAGAAGCCAATACCTTGGCAACTGGGCCACGCGGTTGTCAATCGTGAACATGCGTATACTTCTACTGTATTTGTCTGTGCCAAGCCCACGCAACAGTCCTCGCTGTTGCACGAATGGGAAAGTCCGGTTAGTACCAAGACCTCATAGAAGACCGGCGTACAGTGGAAGTCAAGAAAGTGTCTAATAATAATTCTGCTTTCCATCTGGTGAATGTGGTAGCCGGGGCCCACTTTTACTAAGACTCCGCTGTCTGTCTGCCACCAGGCTGCATCTCATGAACTGTGATATTTGGACGGTTGAAATGTTCACAGATGATGTATATCTGATGCCGCTATAACAAAAAATACTAATGCCAGAATAAAAAATATTTAAGTGGGGCTCTCCCATACAACAGACATGATTCTTTTCGGTTTTTATAGTTAATGGTACGGGACCGTTCGACTCGCACTTGGCCGGTTTTTTTTTTAAAGGTTGTCAACTCATCTGCAACCCTACGGGCGTTGCAAATGATATTGGGCGGCGGTAATCAGATCAGGTGAACCGCCAGCTCATTTGCCTTAGCATTATATATACAAAAAACGGCGATTATCACTTAACATCAGATGAACCGCCAGGTCGTTTTCCTCCATTTCATATACAAAAAAAAAACTGAACACGTCGCACTTGATACGACAGGATTCAGCGATAGACTGGGCGCGCGACCACCGCATGCACCACAAGTACTCTGAGACCGATGCTGATCCGCATAACGCGACGCGGGGCTTCTTCTTCTCCCACATCGGGTGGCTTCTGGTGCGCAAACATCCCGAGCTCAAGAGGAAGGGCAAGGGCCTCGACCTGAGCGACCTCTACGCGGACCCGATACTGCGCTTCCAAAAGAAGTAAGTGCCCAACATTCACGCAAGTCTGCTATTTTGTACGGAATTGGCGATAGAATCCAATTAAATACTCCACACACGTAAAGCGGACAGGTAAATATGTTGATGTTCCCGGTTTTAGTGATATTACGGCAGGTATACAGGATATTGTGTCCTGGATTGGGATAAAAATATTTTTACAGTTTGAAATCTGGTTAACGAGATAGTTTTAAAATTATGGCTAAGTGGCAAGCATGGCGTAAGCAATCTCATTAGCCAGTACAATAAGATGAATAAAGCAGTCGAATTATAATAATAAGTATAGCAATATAGAAACCTTTCGCATAATATGTAACCATTACTTAAAATATATGTGACTCAGTCACCTCCTTTACCACTAGCATTATAGTCTTTCATTTGCGAGGTTTATTTCATAAGACTTGTTGACACAAATAAATAGATTACTAGCGAATCAATATTTGACGCCTCCGAGTCCTATGTCAATTATAAAGACCCAACGGTTTAAATAAGTGATGAGATACAATATTGACTTTCAGATACTACCTGATATTGATGCCATTGGCTTGCTTCGTCCTCCCCACGGTGATCCCCGTCTACATGTGGGGCGAGAGCTGGCTCAACGCGTTCTTCGTGGCGGCGCTATTCCGCTACACCGTGATACTAAACGTGACGTGGCTGGTGAACTCGGCGGCGCACAAGTGGGGCGACAAACCTTACGACAGGAGCATCCAGCCCTCCGAGAACATATCCGTGTCGATATTCGCCCTCGGCGAGGGCTTCCACAACTACCACCACACGTTCCCCTGGGACTACAAGACCGCCGAGCTCGGCAACAACCGGCTCAACTTCACAACGAACTTCATCAACCTGTTCGCGAAAATCGGCTGGGCGTACGACATGAAGACCGTCTCCGACGAGATAGTCCGCAGCCGGGTGAGGCGCACTGGCGACGGGTCCCACCACCTCTGGGGCTGGGGCGACAAGGACCACGCGCAGGACGAAGTGGACGCGGCTATCAGGATCAACCCGAAAGACGACTAAGTAGGCAACAACATCCAGTCTACTATATCGTCGGTGTAGCTCCACGGTATATCGTGATCATGGATTCGTTTTCACACAGATCTGGACATGCGATGTCGTTAAAGTTACTTTTAAGGTATCAAACTATTTAACAAATTCGACGCATAAAAGACACCATACACAGTTTACGTTTTTGGTTTGCATTTTATTTACAAATGTTCTAGATTTTGGGCAGATTCAAGCACTATGGCACATTTTCATACTTGTGGCATCATCTTATTAGGTTAAATTGAAAGAAACACACAAAGATAACAGGACACAATTAAGGCTACATTGTTTACTCAGTTTACTATTATTTGTTGGAATAGCTATAAAAATGTATTTTACGATAAACAATTAAAAAGACTAAAAATTACTCTTGATTAAATTCCAGTAATTTGTTTTATTTCAAAACAGTAATAGAAATACCGTTTATGAATTAAGTACATATTGTATATTATTTAAAGTTATAGCTCTTAAAATAATTTGCAGTGTTGGTGCCAAAAGACAGTATTATTTATTACAATATTAATTTATACCGACATATAGTTTAACTTTTACTTTAGATTATCATAGTCACTCTATAAAACATTTCATTTTTATTAAATACTTTGATGCTTATACCACATAAAATTTGGTATTCGCTTTTACTGAATTAAAGTAAAAAAATAAAAGTAATACTTAAAGTATAAATAAAAACGACCTTTTCCAGTTTGAAACTTTATTCCATCAAGATAAGCTGATACGTTATTTCAATTTTCTTCTTGATTAGTACCTAGAAATGCTTAATGTACTTTTATGTGTGATAATTTTTTTATCTTTGCTATGCTTAAAAAGTTGTTAAAAACTTATTTAATATGCCTAAAATGTTCTTTCAGTTACTTAGTAGTAACTCACCATTTCGTTGTATTTAACGGCAAAAAAGCACGATTTATAAAACATTGTGATATATTTAAGAGGGTAATTAGATTTTAGCTCTTTGGTTCGTATATTATTTATATTTTATTTGGATTTCTATGAAAAAATTTAAGAATTATTTTTGTTCCTCAGATAACAGTAATTTATCAAATTATGTGCTTTTAAACTTGTAACAGTTAGTATAGTTAGTTACTTGCTTGTGTCAGCTATAAATTCACATTATACTGAGACTGATAATTCTTGTTTTATTTCCAACTCAAGATGCCTCGATTTCAATTTTTTTATGTCACAGTCTGGCGCACGTTAATACTCAATATACTTAAAAACCGCTTGAAGGTGTTCCACAAATATTTTTCATCAATAAAATCATGTTATGAAAATCAACTTAAATAATGCATGGGAATCGTTGTGTTTCTATAACTTAAATTTTACTTTTATTTAAACAATATACAGCAATAACGTTTAAGTGAAAAAATATTTACAATCAAACAGTTTCAGGGATTAGCAAATTAGTAATAGATGTTTACATGAGAAAGTCTAGCGAGCAGGTGGTTCACCTGATTTTAAGTGATCGCCACCCATGGGCATCTGCAATGCCTAAGGGCTTGTAGACGCTTTGACAACCTTTTAAAAACTGGGCCCCAGTTATCTCACTCGCCAGACGAAACGCGAAAGTAACTTTCATTTCACCCGGTCTTCTGCGCGTCCGTGTTATTTCCCCAGATGAGCCTGCCCATTCGTGTAAGAAGATGCTGCGTGGCCGTACCACAGCTATAAGTTTACGTCTATTAAATAATAACCCAAAACAAATCCTGTGAATAACTGTTAGAAAATATAAATAAACATGACTTAAAACTTGTTGACCCCATATACTGATATTGAATTATTGTACAATAGGTTAGTCTTGTATGGAAGAATTGATATATTCAAGGGAATTATAGAAATGCAGTTATCTTTTTGTACCGTACAATAGAAATATAAATCGATACCTATTGTAAAATTCAAAGAACCACTACACCACACATGACCGTAAGTTTCGATATATTAATAAAATTCATACCGCAATAATAAACAAAGTATAATAACTCTTAACAGAGAAACAGCTTAAAATTAATGACATTCCAAGAATACTTATTAATAACGGATTTAGTCGGTAATATTAAATGTGTATAAGTAGAAAAATAACGCAATTTCCTTCAGTGTCTACGTCTAGCTTCAGCAGTGCTAACCGCTAACAAATATATTAAAACTCATCGATATTTCATTACATTTCTACATTAATTTTGTTTCACTACGATTTCGACATAATTTTTTTGCAGAAACTTGATGATAATCGCAAAAGATGAGACTGCGCTGTTTAAATGACCTTTTGTGAGCGTGAGGCGATTTTGGCACTGTCAAACGGCGAACTTGGTTTTTGCGTTTCTGCACGGGTGTGTCTGCCTGGACAGTGTAACTGCGGCGCGAGTCCTCTTCCTGGACGCGTCGCTTTGTCAGCGCACTTCGTATCAAATGCTCTCTTCGTAGAACAAATCGTGCTCGTCGCATTTGTCGGGTAGGCAGACGAAAAACTCGATTAGGTTCATGATGGGACCCCTAGAGAACGGGTTTTGGTAGCGGCCCCTCTTGTCCCGCAAATACGGGTACCTCTTGTAGTTGAACATTTCGTTCGTTGTAAGGTTCATGCAAGCGTGTAGGATCTGCGAACAAATGTAATGGTTGCGTTATTGCTCAAACGTTTATGTCAGGCGATTCTAGAGATGTACATTTATTGCAGGATCAAAAAGTTTACCTATGAGCTATTGAAATAGGTAACTTTTTAATGAAATTTTAATTTTCATAGTGCTAATCTCTGCATTAAGGAATAAACATTAAAATTTGTAGAAAAAGGAACCAAAAGTTTTTCGCCGCTGTAAAAATTGAACTCACGACTTCGGGATTCGCGCCCTGACGTCTTAGCCAGTATAAATATTTATGTTTAAACTAAGTAGAGATTAGTACTATAAAAATTTAAATTTCTGAAAGCAACAGCGACATTTCTCGTTCGAATTATCGTTGTAAAACGATATTCAAAATTGTTTATATGCTGGAAAGGATATAACAATGGGATGCACCAAGCATTGCTTCAAATGATAAAAAACAATGTAGATAAAAGGATGTTGAGATTTTCGCCGGTGTGGCAATCAGCCGTTTAGCTTAGTCGAATCCTGGAGACGTGGGTTCGATTCCCACAGCGGCGAAAAACTTGACGTTCCGTCTTTTTTCTACAAATTTTAACTTTTTAATGAATTAGTTTATTCTAAAAAGTTGTAAGCGCAATCGAAATTATGAAACCTAAAAACTACACGATGTCACTAACATATTTGTATTATTTTAGAAAAAAACATCTTTGGAATAATAAACGTACTATAATTCAAAGTCAAGTCAAAGTCAAAGTATATTTATTCAATATAGGCCTAACTTAAGCTCTTATTGAACGTCAACAAAAATCTACCACCGGTTCACTAAACTAGACCTGCACAGAGAAGAACCGGCAAGAAACTCTGTGGTCTTGTTCTTTTTGTTATATATATATATTTTTAATGCAATTATACACACTTATTTGGGCATAAAATCAGCAGCAGCATAATATCAAGGGTAAAAGAAACTACTCACGGATGTACAAGTAAGGATCCAGCCGAGCGCGCAAAACGTGATCGCTTCCAAGAGCCCGAGAAAATACAGCAGTCCGAAGCCCTCGAGAAACAGACAGTAGCAGGCGAAGTATATCGACAGGGTGCAGTTGATGGCGACGCTCATCACGAACAGGAAGAACCACATTCGGTTCCGTACTCCAATGCAGTTGTATATGAAGGGGCAGTGGTGGTCGAAGTACGCCACGCAACGCTTGCATATGCGGCAATGTTTGGCCCTGCGGCAAATTTAAACACACACACATGTATAATGTATATCGACGACGGAGATTTACACGGATAGTAAAGTAAGAACCTATAAATATTCAAGTGCCGGGCAGACGCCTCTATATAATAGGTATTAGGGCATAGACCACTACGCGACCCCACTGCGGATTGCCGGACGTCACATACTTTTGAAATATTGTCATAATAAATATCGAAATAAAAAACATATTTTTTATGTAAGAAAACAAGCGAGCTGGCGGTTTACCTGCTGTTATGTGATAGCCGCCGCACATAGACATTTGCAACACCCGTAGGGTTGCAAATCCGTTGGCAACTTTTAACAAAGTCCCGGCTACCTCACTCTGCAGTGGAAACGCAGAAGTATAGCACGTCCACTCCACGCCGGACTTCTGTGATGTCGTGGTACTTCCCCTGGCGGACCTGCCCATTCGTGCAACAGCGAACTGTTGCGTGGTCCTACCAGTTGTTTTTTTCGTTATTCTTTTGAAAAAATCGATATACGTAAAATATACTGGGAGGCTTTTCTAAGTATATCCATTTTTTTTTATTAAATTCTAGACATAGATAAAGTTATATAAAAAATGATAAACATTCAAAATGACTCTTAATTAATTAATAACATTTATTTTAACTTATCTCAAAAAGTGCGTGATTCATGGGCAACTCATTTATTTTACGCGCGATCATTAATAACTAACACGCACACAAGTTCGTTTCAAAAGTATAGGACGCATTTATGAATGACTACCGCATTGTCAGCAACTTCTGTTTTTTAGGGAATAGAATAGCAATTTTTTGACAAAAAAAGTTTGTTTTTATTTCAATAAACGATTATACTACCGAGTCTTCCTCTTAGAAGCTCTTAGGAGTTAGCAATAGCCTATACATATATGTATACGGTGTACCATAGCTAGGCAAACTCCTCTTTAAATAGGGTATTAGGACATAGTCCACGCGACTTGAAATGTTTTTTTTATTATTATCTAGTTATGCGAAAATATGCGGACTTCCTCCCGACATTTACTTCACTGCTGAATTATTAAATAATTCAAAACATTTAAAATTTCCATTAAACATTTCATTGAAACCAGCACAAGGATTTGAACTATGGTTACTTGAGAGTGTATGAGTTAAAAACCGAGTTAGTACTACGAATGTAGATTATAGTAATTTTTCAACTAAAGATTCTTAATTCGAGAATTCAAACTAAGACAATTGTGAGTTTAAAAAAAATACTCACCTCAGAGGTCTTAGGCATCGGCACGTGTGACACAGCCGGGATAGTATCACGTTTCTCTTCTTCCATTTGTCGTAGTACGGTATCTGCCTTATTGCCCGGTAATATGTCTCGGAGTTCTGCGGTATGTACCCAGGGTCGCGTCGGTTTGCGATCACCCAGCTCATCCACATGATGGCGTTCCAGTAGAGGAAGCAGTAGTGCGACAGTCGAAGCGTGTTCCACGTCAAAGGAATGCACTGCAAACACATAATTGTTAAAATGTCGCTTGGAAGTATTAAGCTTTAGTACGTAGAACTAACGCTGTTTATTTCAACGGATTTAGTAATTCGCCCAGCAAATAATCAATGACATGTCGTCCTTGACTCATTTAAATACGTTACTTGCTCGATGTTTGATACGTTATTCCACCCAATAGACCATCAAACCAATTGGCTTTTGCAGATCTATCTGTTGCCTCTGATGCCATGAATGACAAATATATTGTTTTCTAATTATAAGCAGTTATAACATAAAAATTAAAATGATAGCTCTGTGTGACCCCTGATCTGGGTGTTCGTCCACGTGAAATTTATGTTTGTAATAAGTCCTTATTACTCAGTAAAATTTTATCGTACAGTACGGGAAATGTTTTTTTTTATGAAAAAATGTAATACATAAATATCGCTTACCCTGATTATGTACATCGGATAGCCCCACAGCAGGACAGACACCAAGAAGAACAGAAGAGGCCCTTTGGAGTCGCCAGCGCCCCCGAACAGCAGTGCCCACAGCTCGGACAGAGGGGGCATCCAATGAGATTTCCTCTTCATTTCTTTTTGCAGCAACTTTACCACTTCTGCGTGGCGATGGCTTTGGGCGAGCATTAACGGCGTCTTCCCATTTTTGTCGCGCGGCTCCAGTTCCGCCTTAACCTGTAGTTTATTAAAATTTCTATAAGTAAAAAAAAAATATAGCTAATAATTATTTACTTATAAACATCATAAGCGGCAGCGATAAGTATAGGACATAAATCTATGAAAAATCACGATGTGTAAGACGCATCACGCACCTGGTTTCACAGTCACGCACATGACGCAAATGGCATAAAAACAAAATCTGACTACAGCGACTAATTGTTTTCCGAAAAAAAATGCACAGATAATTAATAAATGTTATGCTTTTTATTAAGGCCTCCAACAAGTTGGACGGACGAACTAACCAAGATCGCAGGGACGCGTTGGATGCAGGCCGCTAACGACCGGTCGAAGTGGAACTCAATAGGGGAGGCCTATGTTCAGCATTGGACGTCCTACGGCTGGTATGATGATGATGATGTTGATGCTTTTTTTATTCAAAGCGGGCAACTGGTTCTTCTACCAAGGTGATAGCCTATACACATGTCGTCACAAATCTGCGATGGAACCTGTCGCGTTTCGAAACGAGATCCACTTTGACAGTTACTGTCAATTCAATTAATTACCTTCTCGCAGAGTAGTCTCACGCACGTCAGGTTTCCCGACAGGCATGCCAAATGCAGCGGCGTCGAGCCGAAGTTATCCGTGCAGTGGAGGGGCACGCCGGAGTAAATCAGCAGTCGTACTAGGTCGGCGTGGCCTTTGTACGCGGCCCAATGCAGGGCAGTGTCCCCGTTGATGTCTGACAGCCTGGTGGCGGCGCCCATCCCCAAAAGGTATGCGGCCGTTGCCGTCTTGCCATACATACACGCTGTCATCAAAGGTGTTAGACCTGCAAAGAGCGATGTGACCATCGTACACTGCCTTGGCCAGACTGATACGCTTACCAAAATAACAGTTTCTGGATTGTCATAAATTTTATCTTATATTTAAGAGAATAACTTTAATCATGAAAATTTTAAAGGTCTCGTTCAGTTTCTTTTAGTTTTAAATCCGTTGTTTTGAAATGTACTTTCAAGTTTTCAGTAATATACTTAATATTACTGAAAACTTGAAAGTAAACCCGAACCATTAAACACATAATTATTCACATATTGCGGGCAAATTATTAAGAAAAAAAAATAAATAATAAAAAAAAAACGTAATACAAATAGTATTCTTGTGTTCACGCGGAAAGGCAGTTTTTTTAAGAATTTTTATTTTTTGTTAATTTACGGGTTTTATTCGCCTTTAATTATAATTTTGACTCCCGGTGTTCCCACTTTATATATTCCATGGTCAAAGGGTAAATTGAGATATTTTCTCATCTTCATTAAAATGTAATAATCGTGAGAAAATACGTAAATTGTACTAATTAATGTTTCAATACAGATATCGCGAGCAGAGATCTCATGACGAATGTTGTGCACGCAGCACGCTTGATCAAAATTATGTACCAAACCTAACAGATGGCAGCACCTGTGACCTTTGTCGTCAATCGTCATATACATCGAGTACAAATCTGACAGTAATTTTTGCACGTAGGAAATCCAAAAACGATTAAACCTCAAGCAACCTCATTCCAATCGCAACTATAGAATAGACCTCGCCACAAGGAGATTATTTAATTTGCATTTGACTAGCGTCAAACACTTGCAAGCAAATAATTTTACCCTTAAAATCGGCCGCATTGACCGCAACGCCGGACTGTAGAAGCACTTGCACCACTGACGCGTGACCCTTGCGACATGCCCAATGTATCGGCCTGGGGCCCTGGAACATTCATGTTAAAATACTAATATAAATAACTAGCTGTTAACCGCGGCTTCGCCCGCGCGGCCAAGATGTCTGAATTTTTTCTTACTTATTTGACAATCATCATTACCTATGTTTTGAACAATTCACACAATATCTCTATAAATTAGGTAGGTAGGCATTTGTGTTATTCTGATGTATAAGCTATATTATCGTAACGTAAAGTTTCATTAAAATCCATTCGATAGTTTTTGCGTGAGAGTAACAAACATCCATCAAACAGACTTTCGCATATATAATATTAGTAAGGATAATTACAGCCAGACAAACTATCTTCATGGGCATCAACTTGTTTTTTTATCTTTTATTCGACATCATCGTATTTTAATACAGGAATAAAGTACTATCTCGACTTACGCGATTTTCCAATCTAGTCGATTCATCTTTTGTTTGACGCTCAAAAACTGCCGGATTCCCACATTCAGGAGTTGCATGAGCAAGAGAAATTCATTGAACTATTTGGCGTAGTGTTTTGGCCTAATTCAAAAAGAAGATCCCAGTTTCAAACCTCAATTTATTCAAAAATGGGTTAGAAAATAGAGACTCCAACGACGACGGTATTTCTTGACTTTGTATATTTTAGACTCAAATCGCTTATTGTTTTACATTTACGAAAAGACGATGCAAGCAATACGACATCCATTTTTTCGGGACTATTTGCCGTGTGTTATCATAGTTCTTTATACGTAAGAATACCGTAAAGTGTATTCACATATGTATGTTTTCGAAAAAAAAAATTCGTTGCTGCCGGGATTCGAAATTACTCCTTCCGGGTTACGCGCCCGTACGGTCTAGACACTAAGGGCTCTAACCATTTCTTCTAAAGGGAGAAGATTTCCACTTTAATCCTACCACCACCTTTACTCCTAAATTAATTTAATTTTAGTCCGTCCACAGGTTGCCTAGAAGATATTACTTATAGTAAAAAGGGCGCCAATTGTACCCATCACTTCTACATTATGTTTTTGATTTTTGTTTATTTTATTGTTGGTGTGCAATAAAGTATATTCATTCATTCATTTAGAAGCAATCACCTGTGTTCCCAGACAGGACAGGTCAATAGGCGCTCCCCGCTCTAGCAGGTACCGCATGACAGCAACACTTCCATCTAACGCGGCCCAGTGGGCAGGCGTGTAGCCGTGCTGGTCTCGGGCGCTCAACACCTCCACCCCCAACTTCTCCACCAGGTGTTCTATCTCCGACACTTCGCTGGAATACGAAATCATTAGAGCTTACTGTTTTGTTTTTGGATAAAACATTATCTTTATATATATTACAATTCTTCTGTACGTTTGTATGTCACTGAACTCCTCCTAAAGGACTGGACCGGTTTTAATGAATTTTTTGTGTCTTCTGGTTGATTAGAGAATTTTTTAGATTCACAATTTTTTTTTAATTTGTCCGATTTAAGTCGTGTGTACAGGACAACCTCTGTTGGGTCCGTAAGTTTAACCATATAATGTGAAAGACTTTATGTGTATCTATACATATGAAATCCCCACGTAGCATAGTATTCTACGCAGCCCTATTAAGGATTGGCAAACCACGCATGTTTAAGAAATGTTTTTATTTAAATGTTACTATAATAAAGTTTTAGTATTAGGTTCTGAAGCATGGTTTTCTGCATTTGCAACCGCAACGACTATACAGGGAGATTTTTCGAGAAGTGCCCAAATTTACACAGGAGGTTCAGACTCGGTTGTATAATCGTTTATTGAAATAAAAAAGTTTCTTTACCAAAAAAAATGCAATTCTATTTCGTGGAAAACAGAACGTGTTGACAATGCGGTAGTCATTCGTAAATTCCTAAATTTTACTGTGCACGAACTTGTGTGCGTGTTAGTTATGAATGATCGCGCGTAAAATAAATGAGATGCGTATAAATCACGCACTTTTTGAGATAAGTTCAAATGAATGTAATTAATTACTTACGAGTGATTTTAAATATGTATCATTTTATATATAACATTATTTATGTCTAGAATTTAATTAAAAAAAATGGATACACTTAGAAAAGCCACCATGTCATCAACTTTCTGCCTATACTATTAAAGGAGTAGTAGTGACCTCTTTGCTTAAGAAAGCGAGAGTGTTGTCGAATTCCTTGCCACATTGAAATGTTGTGAAACTCTGATAGCGCCATCTGTCCATCCTATTAACGGTAAAAGATGGACATTTATCACTCATTCGCTAAATTATTGCTATAATTTTTACGTGAAATATTTGCCCATGGGTTACGGTGCCACCCTTTAAAGAAGTGGGTCCTGGTTTACTACTCACCCGACTAAACGGGAAAGTTTAGTACCTTCTTTCAGTTTACACCGGCTCTGTGAAGGATGAGTCTTATCTCATTAACATGTTATCTTCCTATTATTATTTTTTTGTTTTAAACATTTGCCACTTACTGTAAGATAACATTATCCTATGCTTAACGAATCCACGACCCCGTCGCCAAAGCCTTGGCAATTGCGCCAACTAATATTGCAGAAAAAGAAGCTGCAAACAACCAAGTAGCCTGCTTAAGAGCTAATGACTACCTTCCCCAAACACTTTTGCATCACCGGAGGGGTTGTAGATGCGTTCTCGGTCTTTTTATGGCAATTACACATACTTATGCCTACCCCGATCGAACGGCTTCGAAAATCAACTGATGGAGGTCGGAGAGATGGCTGAAGTTGGTGGTGATGCGGGGCGGTGCTGCCGGAGTGTCGGGGGATAGTGGTGAGCAAGGGGGCAGAGCCTCTTCCGCCGCCATATTGCATGGGGGCGGCTGCGGCAGCGCCCAAACGCCCCGCGCCGCCCCCGGACTGGGATAAACCTAGAATAGAATCGTAAAAGTTTAGTTTTAGTCTATGAAAAGCCTGCCCCCAGCTCTACAAGCTCTTTAGCCCTCTTGAATGGGTCCCCTAGTGACTATCAATTTGTCATCCGCATAACAGGCGATGTTAACGTTAGCGGTGCAACGGGCCCAGTACAGATCCCTGTGGAACGCCGCAATGGATCCCACTCCAGATCTTTCTATCATCTTTGTCTATTATTATTAGAATATACCTGTCACGAGAGTAGTCCACGATAACGCCTGGCAGATAGGGAGGCATTGATGATATGCGCATCCCTGCCTAAGGGCGACGCAGGATTGGAAATAAAGGTCTACACTTATCACCAATGTCACGGCACACCAAGAGAATCTTCTATACCTATTCATACGTGCTCATGAGACATCTTAATTACTACATTACATAATTACCGGATCTATTGAATAAAAAAAAATTGGAATAAATATGCCTTTTGTATTACAGTGTTTTAAACTATTTGAAAAGTGGTTAATATTCGCTATTACAGTCAATCACATCAAATTTCAAGATGTACGAACTGGATGTTTAAAATTTTTTTTCTTTCAAAACTCAAGTTGCACCTAATGCAATAAAGACTGAATTTTGTTTATTTTTTCCTGCTACCTATTCTAAATAGGATCATTTTTTAGATAGTTTACCTAATATAAAATGAATGAATCAAGACACTTTTTACTTCTAATCTGTAAGATGTCTATAATTGAATTAAATTATCTGTACATATTTGATATTGATTGGCAAAAGTTAAAAAAGAACATTTGTTCACAATTGTTTGGATTATCAATATACACTTGAAAATAATTAGAATTATTAGGGTATCAGTTCCGATACCCTAATAAGGTATTATGCTCTAATAATAACGAGATGAAATTTGATCTAAGTTCACGTTTTAGTAGCGTGAACGTAATGTATCCTTATATAAGTAAACGATGTCGCATTGCGGTTAGGCAGCTGAATGGCATATTCATTGGCCGATCGTATTTACTGCCTTCATAACTCACCTTCATTATCACAATCATTGATATATTGTTACATTTAATTCATATTTCAAACAATTATGTTTAAAAATGTGGCTACAGATAGATTTTAATGCGAGTCACAATAACGTAGTCGTTAGTAAGTTCTCGTGTCATAATGCTAGTTGCCATACTCCCCGAAACGGCTTGATCGATTTTTATCAAATTTGTCTGAGAATCGGTCGTAATCTATTTTTCATACCCCTAAGTGATAAAGACCAAGCATTCCACCACATTCCAGCATTCAACCACTCCAAGCATTGTTTTCTACCCTACAAATTGTATGGCAAAACAACGTTTACCGGGCTAGTTTACCTAGTATTTGTATAAATAACGTACCTTGCTATTCACGGCGAGGCCGACGCCAACCGCCGTCACGGAATTCTCTCCCTCCGCCACGGCCACTATACCTGTGTTTCGCGAACGGAATTCCCACCTCCAGTCCAAGTCGACGGTCGTACTAGTTCAAAAGTCGAAAAATTCATAAACACGTACTAACAGTGGCAATGGCGAGTTGTGACTGCAGGCCCGATATTGTTATCGATTGCAAAAAATGCCAGGCGCATGCGCAAACTTTTTTAACTTGCGCTGATAGGGCGCGAAAAAATTAATTCGTAAACTCATATAATGCAAATGATTTATAAAAAATATTCGAGGATGGTTGTAAAATGTAGGTATCTAGAGTTCAAGTTATTACCTGAGATGAAATCTCTATACTCTCTAAGATCTTCGAACACCCTACGTGTAAAATCCAAAGCATATAATGCGATTTACAATAAAACTGCAGTCAACAATCAACATATACTTTGCAGTCGGCGACCCGTTTCTATTTCTTTCCCTTAGTAATTATATTTGTAATTTATGTGTGAACATATACCAACCACGATAGCGAATAAAATTCTGGTTATCGCTTTATACCTAACAAAAGCGAACTTCGAATCGACTAGCTACGTTCGGCCTATCGTGGACCGTGTCATGACCGAGTGAGCGAACACGCTTACGACATTGTTACAAATATTCTATGAGATAACTGCATAAGCTTGTATGTAACCGTAATAGGAGTGTTCCTGGCTAGGCTCCACACAATGTTTCGGGGATATTAAAAGAATGAGCCGATTATCGTGATTATAAATTGGAAGTTAATAAAGAAATCAAGTTTGAATTACTTTCCAATCGATTCATAAACGTGCTGTGATCATATGAATATGAAAACATGATTATCAGCGAAAACTGATATAAATGAGATGATGCAGGCAAACAATTGGACGAAACGATTCTTATGAACACATACTACATATAAAGACGGACTAAATATGATCACATACTAAACATGAACACATACAAAAAATAAATAAATCTGGAATCATGCAACAACACACAGAAAAGCAATGATTTTATTGTATATAAAACTCCTTTTTACACCATATGTCATGGTCCACAAATTCAAGGTCGCTCAGCAGGCGATGGAACGCGCAATGCTTGGGGTTTCTGATAGGCAAGATACGAAACGAAGTCATTCGCCAGAAAACTAAAGTTACCGACATTGCGCGCAGAGTTTGCACGCTGAAGTGGAAGTGGGCTGGTCATGTCTCCAGACGTACTGACGGGCGCTGGAGCCGAACCCTGTTAGAGTGGACACCACGGCTAGGGAAACGTAGTGTGGGACGCCCTGCAGCATGATGGACTGACGACTTAAAAAAGGTGGCGGGCTGCGGATGGATGCAGGACCGGGATAGTTGGCGCACTTTGGGGGAGCCTTACCTTCAGCAGTGGACGGCAATAGGCTGATATTGTTGTATTGACCATATCAATACAGATATGGATGAAACTTATTAAAAAAAAAAGGTTAAATAATGAAATGTTACTTCTCTTCATAGTTGAAAAAATATGTTTTTTGCCTCATTTATTAATTGAATAATAGTTATAAGAAAATATGTTTTTATTATTTGTTTAAAATTACCTATTTTATTTAATAACATTCTTAACAATAAAATGTACCCTTAGCAGCTCAATATGTTTTGCTCAGTAGTTCATACTGTATAAATTTTATTAACATTGCAAAATATGCTCACGAATAGGGGAAAAATACGATAGCAAAAGGGTTACTTAGATCATGACATTAAATTTAATACAACATAAGCAACAAAAAAAAATTATTTAAAAAAATGTTCAAATTAGAATATATTTATTACAAATGTAGCCAAAAATTTTAAAGACATCTAAAATATGTCTAATCATAAATAAACAAAATTTTATAAGAAAGTGAAGGTTCATGAGAATCCTTAGTGAACATCACAAAATAAGATGAAGATTAAATAAAAAGTCATTTTCATTGATATAAAACTGTGTATATACAAAAACCTATCACCTCAATTTATATATTAATTGCAAACATATTATGGCAGACTGCAAAAATTTTTTTTACATAAAATGTGTATTTAAAATTACTAACTGTCAGAATAATCATGGTTTGTTAGTGATTTGATAATAATAATCAATTATTACTCGGACTTCTGCACTCATTAAAGACCCAAATGATACACAGAAAATACAAAACACATATTAAAATTGTGAAAATGAACTTTAATTCCGCAAATTTTATACTAAATGTATAAATATGATATAATCTAGATTTCGTTTTCACTACCTAAATAGACATCATGTTATAAAAAGTGTACAACTAAAACTAGTAGCTGATTAAACATCTCAATGTGGCTTAAATTAGTTAGATCTTGTAAAAGCACATTCTTTTATAAGGTTTATTATACTTAAATAATAGATAAAAATAATCAAAGCACATAGCTCACAACTGATGTTGAACTTTCAAACAACAATCATCATTACAAATCTTAAACTTCTAGTAAACTTGAAACATTTAACGAGCAAACTGAATAAATTATTATTCATAATAAGAAACAAACTTAACAATGTCGATAGCTCAAAGTAATATAATATTTTTAACAAGAGTCGACAGACTTCACAAACAGATAAAGTGCACACAGGCTTAACGCTTGGAACTATTTCATAATTTATCAGTTGATGCCAATCAATGATAATGTTTTTATTTTGTCTATTATTACTGTATTGATATTGTTAATTGTATAAGGCATTGTGACATTATCTCTTTTGTGTTTTAAAACTTACAGAGAGAGGTTGGCCATGGAGCACATAACCATTCAAAGCCTGTATTGCCATAGCAGCCTGGTCGTAGTTTCTCATAGTAACAAATCCAAATCCTTTGCTTTTATTCGTTTGGTGATCCTTAATAATTTTAACAGATACAATAGCACCATATGGACCAAATAATTGCCATAAAGTCAACTCCTCTACTTCAGGAGCAATATTATAAATATAAATAGACCACGTACTTGGTGAGTTATGGTCTCCTAAGGCGCTCATGTGATTAATCCAATGATAAGGCTTGACCAACGGGTTTTTAGAAAAATTATTATTGTTGTTTTTATGTTTGTTTGGATTACTCTTATTAGCATACTTAACAGTTAATGGGTGTATAAATCCAGGAGGGGTAGTACCATTTATATTCTGTATGGCTCTCTCAGCCTCATATTGGTGTTCGTACAATACAAAAGCTATGCCAGCGGCTATACGAGAATTGACTATTTTACCAAATTGTGCGAAAAGTCCATGTAAATCCTGCAAGGTCAGTTCATTAGGCAAATTACATACATAAAGGTTCCAATCAGCTTCCGGTTTCGTAGGTGGTTTCAGCTCAGGATTAAGCAAGGCATGTGACACTTTCAGCGTTTTGTTCTGCATCAATAAACCATTAAAAGCCTTTCGTGCCTTAATTGCATCTTCAGGACAAGTGTACTCGACGAACCCATAGCCCCTGTTCGCTATCAATTTACAACTTTCTAATTTACCCATAGTTGAAAATAGTGAGAACATCATATCCTGCGTCATAACTTCGGGAATGTAATTGACGATAAGTTTCGTTGGTGATTCGTCAGGCCCATATTCGTTATTTCCATGACAATTACCGTCTTGACACGATTCCGACATTTTTTAATTGTTGTCGCGGAATGACATTTCTATTAAACATTGCCACATTCTGGGATACGTTCCGAAATGAAGGCTTTGCTATAAAGCCATTCACTCAACAAACATTGTAATAAGTAATAAAAAAACCTCTATGTCGAATGTATTTTATTATTTATGCATTATAATATGATTTTCTATATGTTAAAATTCTTTGATTTAAATCTTATTTCGGTGTTGTAAGATCTTCTTGTAAACACTTTCTCTAAATACCGTGTGCCTTGTAGATTTCAGCAGTGCAAGCGGAGCGGTAGTGCATTTCGAATAAAAATTATATTAAATAAAAAAAATACTAATTCAGAATATAGTTCCAACACTTTAAGCATTGAGTTTTCAAATGAATGTGCAGTACGAGACTCCCATAAGGGATTTGAATATAGCTGCCGGCAAACATTTCGAAAAATACCTTAATAGATTTTTAGGCCTCCAGGAGGCACACAGGTCAGCGTCGTCGGCATATAATAGTATACGCGTTTAATTGCACTATAGTGAACCTGGTCATCCACAAACTGTTTCCCCATTATGCCATTTTTACTAAATCTCTTTGTCGGTTACTAAAATAATCTACATCATTTCTTCATGTTCATAAATTTGAAAGCAAGTTTTTGTCTTTATACTAGTACATTAGTACTACCGACCCGCCCCTCGATTTCCAGTACTGGAAAAATAATGTTTATATATCATAAAGCAAACATAGTATAAAGCAAAGTCCTCCAGCTGTCTATCTTCTTGTATCTTGTATCTTGTATTAACTGATGTTTTTGTTTTCAGTCCCGAGACTATTAAAGCTTCATCTGACGCAGAACCGGTGGGCTAGCCAGAACCCACGGGTTTGGGCCCTCCGCTGTGGGTAGGGCCACGCATGTGCTCATGCGTGCGTTTAACTATGGTGTGTCATCTAAGGGCCATCGAGGTCGTGGTTCGGACCGAAACCCCGATGGCCGTCGACTGTGCAATTAGCTAATCGGTGGCTGGGGAGCGGTGAGAACCGCCCCGGAACGCGGGGTGTACCTCGTGTACGCGTTATGTTGGTCTCGCCGGGCTCGGAGGCGAGGGCGAAGACGGGTGTTTGTTGTTGCACTAACTGTGGGTGTAGTGTTGTCCGGCGGGACCCCCGGCAGTGGGTCCGGCGTGTCTAAGTCCCCTTCCTCGACCGGGTCGATTAGGACGTTTTCGCGGGCGACGCTTGTTGACGTTCGCGTTTTTGTCGGGTTGGTAATTTGCTGCGCTTACCACCAGAGGGTTGGGATGATGTTCGGCTCTATCGAAGAACCGTTTGGTCAGGTCTTTAAAATATTCGTGAATCGTCGGGAGTCTGCAATCGCTGTGCAGGTCGACGTTGCGTTGATACCACTGCGCACCGGTTGCGCGGCGGATGAACTTATTTTGTACTATTTGCAACTTGTACAAGCGAGTAGGGTGCGTGTGGGCGAAGGTCATGCATGCGTAAGACATAATAGGTCGTACGCAGGTCTTATATAATAATAATTTGTGCCTTAAGGGCATTTTACTTTTAACGTTAGTTAAATTGTGTAGCCGACCGGAGACGAACGCGGCTCTATTGCTAACGTTATTAATGTGCGTAGTAAATGACATACGCGAGTCGAAAGTGACTCCTAAGTATTTGACCTTTTTCTCCCAGGGGAGCGGTTGGCCATAAAGGGATATTTGCCCCAACTTTCTGCATTGACGAGGGCCATTGTAAAGATGTGACGGGTAAGTACTTCGTGTGAAGTGAATCGCCACACTCTTTTCGGGATTTATTTCTATTCTCCATTTGCGGAACCAATCGCCGAGGCGGTCGGCAGCGCTTTGGAGTCGAGTGGTTAGTTGTCTAAGGTTGCGGTCTGAATAAAAGAGCGCCGTGTCATCCGCGAAAAGCGCGAGATTGACGTGGGGGTCTTTAGGTATATCGCTCGTGTAGAGCGTAAAGAGCAAAGGTGAGAGGCAGGAGCCTTGTGGTACGCCGGCCGTGAGGCGGCGGCTTGTGGAGAGGGTGCTTTCAACTCGATATCGAAAAGAGCGGTTCGACAGGAAGGCCTGGATGGTGTGTACGAGCCTATCTGGCACTTTGAGTGTGTACAGCTTGTAAAGCAAGCCGTTGTGCCAGACCTTGTCGAATGCTTTTGCGACATCGAAGAAAAGAGCCCCTGTACTAATATGTTTAGGGTGATTTAGGCCTTTTAGGATATGTTCCGTTAGCCGGAATAGTTGATCGGGACAGGAATGTCTAGCTCGAAAGCCGAATTGTTCCGCCGGCAGAAGGCCGTTGGAAAACACGTGCTCATTGAGCCTGTTTAATAAAAGCCGCTCGTAGAGCTTCCCCAGGCAACTGAGGAGGCTGATGGGACGATAACTAGAGGGCTGGTTGGCTGGTTTATTAGGCTTGCGAATGCCGATAACCCTGGCTTCTTTCCAGTCGTCTGGAAAGGAGCAACTGGAGAGTAAAGTATTGTAAATGGTCGCCAGTAAACAGATAAGCGGCCCAGGGAGAGCTTTAAGAATTTTGTTACTAATATTATCTGGGCCCGGGGCGGATTTGGGTTTTAAGTTTTTAATAATATCTTGAACCTCTTCGGGGGTCACTGAATTCAAAGGATCGCCTTCCGGTGGAAGCGCAGCCCTAATCTCGATTACGCGGTCCACCTCCGTTAGGTGGGCTGTATCGATGTGTTCGCGCGATGGCGTACATTGCTGCTCTAGGTTGTCCGCAAGGCATTCGGCTTTTTCGGAGTCATCTAGGGCTACTGAAGCGCTATTAGGTCTAACTAACGGCGGTAGAGATTCGCGGGGGTCTGCTTTCAGACTGCGGACCAACCGCCAGTAGGCGGTGTGCGATGGCTCGATGTCCTCTAGGAGAGTGTCCCACGTTGTATGTCGGTGTTCCGATACACGATCTTTGACTTCTAGCTGAAGGCGTCGAAGTAGGGTTCGGTTCGATTCCGATCGGTATCGGTCGAAAGCGCGTTTGGCTGCATTTTTCTGCCTAATTAGGAGTCGCAGGTCGGGCGGAAAGTTAAACCGTCGATCGCCCGACAGTTTAACCGTCCGTTCCGAGTCTGCGACTGTGGAAGTGATGGTTTCTCGGAGACTTGCTATCGCTCGATTTGCGTCATCGAACGTAGCTATCGTCTCGGGTAGGTCGACTAAGTCCTGGGGGTCCAAGGCCTTGAGTTTGACCTCAAGACGATGCCAGTCCACTACGGATTTGGTCGGAGGGACCGCGCCGGCGTTCTGGCCCAGTTTACACAGGACGGGCCTGTGATCTGAGTCTAATTCATGGATTGTCTCTATCGACTCGATGTCGAGCGAGACCTCCTTGAGTAACATGATATCTAGGATACTCGGTGTCGCGTGTTGGTAGTTGTCGACCGTAGGATACCTAGTGGGAGTCGCAGGAGCAATTATGCTAAAGTTTAAATTATCGGATAAGCTAAAGAGATGCTTTCCGTTGTTATTTGGGATGCTGTGGATGTCCCATGAGCCGTGTTTGCAGTTTAGATCTCCTGCAATTATCACGGAAGGGCCTAAGTTGAGTAGCGTATCTAGGTCGCTTTGTAATAAGGTTTTGTTCCCCGAGAGGTAGGCTGAGACTAGTACAAGCGGCCTGTGGCCGGTGAGCGCTAACCTACACGCGGATGCCTCTAAATGGCTTAGCTCTGGAATGTCGAGCGGGCTACAGTGCAAGGACCGTTTGTAATAAATTAACGTGCCTCCCAGACGGTTTGCTAACCGGTCGTGGCGGACTATGTTGTAGTTTGCGATTCTGGGATCGCGTACACTCGGTTTTAAGAATGTCTCTTGCACTAGAAAAATATCTATGTTATAATCGCGAAGGAATTCCGCGATTTCGTCCCTTTGACCCTTTATGCCGTTTGCGTTGAAATACGAAACAACCAGAGCCCGAGGTTTTGTTCTACCTGCGGTTGTACTACCCATTATAGTTTTTTATGAGTTCTAACTAACGACGCGGCGGAGCGCGGTTTTATTGCGCGGACTATTAAGTTTATGGTTGGCTTGTAAATGCCCAGAGGGCTTCTACAAGCATTTTATGTTCGCTAATGGCTTTGAATCGCGCGTTGCCAGATGTGGCGGCCGCTATTTTAGCGGACAATACGGCGAGTTCTTGTCTATTAATGCGGTCTAATAAGGCGCAGATGTTGGCAATTTGGGCGAACGGATCGTCCTTGTTTTCGGCGAAAACCGACGGTGTCGACTGCACCTGCGGCGTCGGCGCCGTTTGATAGGCGGGCTGCGATTGAGCGATTGGTCGTGAGGCGACCGGGGGCGCAACTACCTGCGCGGCCACCTGGGGTTTCGCCCAGGCGTTTACGACGGGTACGGGCGCGGGAACGTATTTCACCGGCGCGGGTTTGGGCAAAGTAGATTTCGCGGGAGCTTTTCTCGCGGGAGTTTTTGGGGCCTTAGCGCAGCCCCTGTAGCTAGCCGGGTGGCCGGTGGTATGACAGTTAACGCAGTCCGGTGGATCTGCGCAGTCTTTTGGCCGCGTACAATCGGGCGTGCCGTGGTCACCGGTGCATTTGACGCACCTAGGGTGAGCGAAACAATTATTAGCCGTGTGGCCATAGTGTTGGCAGTTGTGGCACTGCGCCACAACTCCCGATCTTCGCGGGGGCTCGATCACGAGGTCGCTGAGCCCACAGACCCTCTTCAGGTTGAAGATGGCCTTACCTTCCGGGGGGGTAGGGTCAAGTTCAACCATCACCATGTCCATAGGGACACGGGTTCTGGGGTGTCTAAGGCGTCGGACGGCATGCACAGGGTATCCCTGAGTGCGGATGTCGGTTTTCGCCTTGTCGACATCCGACTCTTTGGGGACGCCCTTGATAACTACCCGAAGTTTGCGTTCTTCGGGCAAAGAGTAGGTGTGAAAACCTATCTTATTTTCGCGCAAGTATTTCGTTACGCGGCGGAAATCGTCCGTTGTGTCAAGGTATACGCGGATACCCATTTGTGTATTTTTCGACCGGGGGTCGCGGATATTGTGGCGTTCAAACCACGAAGAAATTTGGTGCCACTTAGCCTTCTCCTGAATGATGATGGGTGGAGGAGGCTTTATTTTTCGCTCGGAGGCGAATTCGGGCATCGGTTTAGCCGCCGCAGCCGCCTTTTTGGCGGGCGTCGCGTTGGATTTTTTAGTCGAAGCGGCCTCGCATTCGGGGTCGCTGTCGGCAGCGGGGCGTTTTTTGCCCTTCTTTCGAGACTTTACGACGGTGAAGCCGTCGACGTTCGCGTTTTTAGCGGGGGTCGTTTCGACCTCCATGTCCGATCCGCCGTCCGAATGTGAGTCGGGAACGACGGCGCGGAAGGGGGCCGAGATGGGATGCGCGGAAGGCGCGATGGGTACGATCGCGGCGGCGGAGGTCGACGCGACGGGCTTTTCTTGTGTCGCTGAAGGCGACACATTAGCAGGCGCTGAGGGCGCCGGAGATGACGGCGAGGCGACTGCCGGTGGAGCCGGGCTGTCGCTGGCGAACTCGACGACTAAACATTTTTCTTTCGCGAACGCGAGAAAGTTTGCCCACACTTCGGGACATCGTTGGCGAAGGAATTCCTCTAGGAGGGAACCCATTTCGAGCGCTTGAGCCTTTGGGGCTTGCGCCCCGCCGGCGTGTAAGTTACTAAATAGGCCTCCCCACCTTGCGGCAGGGAGGTGAGTGCCTAAAACTAACAACTAATCCGCCTGCGCTTTAGGTGCGCTAGGGTGGGTACCTAGCTGTCGCCTATCGCAACAAGCACACAGTTATTAAATAAAAACAATGCCGCCTCTGAGGCGAGAAGTGTGTATAGAATTCTACTTACAGAACAGGAACCTGCCTACGAGCACAACACTAACACTAAACTACTGCACTGCTTGCACAAAGATTTAAATTGCAACCGAAGTTGCGAGTAGCGTCTAATTCGGGTGGCATTAGCCCTCCGTCTTAGAGAGAGGTCCGTTCCGTACGAGAGCACGAAGCGGAATCGCTGTCTATCTGCCCTTATATATGCTTAGACCTTGAAAACTTCGGAACGGATCTTAATTGGGTTTTTTTTTTACTAGATAGAATGATTCAAGAGTAAGGTTTATAACACATTGTATCCGTGCGAAGCCGGGGCGGGTAGCTAACGACTCTACCAATTTTTATAGACATTTTTTGAGCCGGCAGATACAACATCAGCCGTACGGCTAATGTAGTATCTAGACAAGTATATAATCGAAAATTAAAACGCTATCTGTCATGATTATGTTTTCTAATATTCTTAGCAAAGTCTGCGATTTATTCAAAAGAAATTAAACGGTCTTAATGTAAAAAATGGTAATTGGTCCTCTTTTAACGCTTTTTTAAAATTATTTTTGGTTGACAACGATATGTTAGATTAATCTACAAATTTTAATCTGTAATTTACTATATGTATGAGATATAAATGGAGAGGGAGACAATTTCCACAAAGCCCTATCAGTTTCGAATAAATATTTTTACACAAAGAATTTAAGACATTGTTTTAGATTTGAAAAAAGTCTGGTAAATTTACCTGGAAATTTAGCTGGAAAAGTAATTTATAAGAAATAACGCCTTTATTTTAACGAAACTCATTTTTTATGCTCTCATAAAATTTATTATCTTAAACATTTAGTACATAAATACATGATTAATTTCGAAAATTTAAGTTTAGGTTATTTGCCTAAATATAGCTTTTATGCGTAACAACAATGAGATAACATAAGTAGTTCATTTATAAATTTTATGTAACAACATGAATTTTATTACATTAATTGAATATTTTTGTCATAATGAACAGGTCAACATTTAGCTTAATGTTTCTAAAATAGAGCAAATTTTAAGCCATATAACTTATATTCTAGTCAATCAATATATAGAAGTCATTACAAGCACTACATGAAATAGGGTAATTTTTAAACACTTCAAAGAACCATGTAGCGCCATATATTTAAATGCAGTGTTCAATGCAATGACGGCCATAGTATATAACATGACTTTGGTAAATAGCTCAATACAAAAAAAAAGTATCGACAAAATACAAAAAAATATTATTTAAATTTTTTATACTATTTAAATAAAATTGATTTATCTATTTAATAAATAACAAATGTGCATTCGGTAAAACTGTCAAATTTTCCTGAGGTATATGAATATTTAAGTTTATTATCACTTAATTAGTTGACTAATCAAAATAATAAAGATTGGAGATGATTAAATAATCATTGAACACATTTTGCAATCAAGCTATGAAACTGAATATACAGGGCTGTTTGATTTACTTAATAGTATAAATTATAGAGCTTACATAAAAATAATGGTAAGCAAAATTATGATTATATTAAAACAATATTGTAGTTTAGTCATAATTTGTTATATGTTATCAAGTTTTATACAAAAAATTACTGTTTTGTACATTTTTTTTAATTTACCATACAATACATTTTTGTTCTTTTTATTGATACAACATAACAAAAACATTTAAAAACAAAATATAAATGTAACAAATACTTTTAACTCATTTAAAATAAGCCATAAAAATGGTTGTACTGTGCTAGGTCATTTTCAAGTGTTATAAATTCATATCCATTTATTTTTAAAAGTCAGCCCTTGATAAAAATAACTATTTTATTCTTTGTCTATGGATTGTATCTTTTGAGTTAAGCTTTTGAAGCAAATACAGTATAAATAAAATATCCCTTAAAAATTACAAAACTCATTTAAAAAAAATATCACAGTATTTTTTTCTATCAAAATATAACATATATTATAAGAAAAAGCTAGATTATAATCAGATTATATTGTAATGTTTATGGGTAAGCATTAAATAATGAAATATAATTCATTTAGTAAAATTTTACTAATAAATTTATATTGTTAATATTATAGATATTTAATACTCATAATACATTTGTTCTTTGAAAATATTGAATCTACTCCTATTAGCTAAGTAATAAACATCAAAAATAATATTGTCGTATCTTTGGTAATTAAAAATCCATCTTCGGTTTTAGTGTGAAACGGTATAATCTTAAGAGTGCTGCAAAATATTTTCTACACTAGCGTAAGTACCAAACACAAAACCTGTCAAACCAAATAGTATTAAAGCGATATCTTTCCATAATACCCATTCGTCTTTGGCCATACGCTCGGGCCAAAACGTCATAATTTCAATGAATGGCGGGAAAATAATTGCCAACGCTGAACTGCTAAAGGCGCCCACCAATGAAATTATACCACTCAGGTTGGGAATTAATGCGGCCGCAACAACTGTAAAACAAAATATTATATAATAAAACATTTCGCCCAAAGTCAAATTATTCTGTCAAAAATCTTTTTGCACATTAGCGTACAATGGCAGAATTAACACTATTAGGTTATCTCTACCAATGAACCGACAAATAAATAGAAAAACGAAGGAGGTGCCAGAGAGGCCAAAAGATAATGCAGAATAACAATTAACGGTTAAATATAAAATACGAAGTACAACGATATTTTGTATTATAGATATGTTATACGCATAAAAAAATCACTTCCTATTTCCAAACAGAATGACAGCAGATATTCACACGTTTCGTTCCAATTATATAAAAAGGATAGCGTAATTAAAGCAATAAGAAAAAGAGGACGCCAAATATCCTTTAATAAAAAATAGCTTTAATTTCATATACAAAGTAATAAACGTACGTTTATTACTTTGTATATGAAATTAAAGCTATTTTTTTCCTATTTATTCTTAATTAAATCTGGCGGCAAATAAGGAATGCTGGCTGTTAAAGATGGTAAATATTTAAGGTAGGGTCAAAGAGAGCTTAACATCACTAGTCGGACGAGGCGATTGCCAGCTGTACAACGCTTTAAAACCATTGCACGTGCCAGGGATGCCAACTTAGGAATTTTCTTCCTAAATTTAGGAATAAAAAATGTGGAATGGAAGTTTTTTGGAAGGTTAATTTTTAAGGGTATATTTTTTAGGAGTTAAATTTTATTCACATTTTCGAATAAAAATACAAAACTACTTATTAAAAAAATATAATAAAATTTTACAGTGTTGTGCTACTTTGGACAACGTCAGGCCAGGCCTGTGTTGATAATAATAATAATTTTTTTTTAACATTGTTTTGATTTTATTCTTAACATATTCATTTCAAATGAATTATATTATATTTAATGTTCTTGACCATTTTGAATGAAATGGTTTATTTTATCAGATAATTATTTTGCTTTTACCTATAATATAAAAAAATCATGATTTTAAATTTAGAAATGTTTGTTTGAATTTGGGTTTTCGAATTGCTTTAGGACAGTTGGTACACTGGCACGTGCATCCCACGCTAGTGTTTTCGACCACCGGTTCAAACAGCAGTAGGTACGACTTAATAATTAGTCCAAAAGAAATGACTTCATTTTCAAAATTACAACAAAAAATTAATATTGATGAAAAATAAAACCAAGGTTAGTGATGTAGAAGAAAATTTTTATCGTGCAAGTACTGTACCGTGCAAATGTGCGGGAAGTCGATGGATGCAGGTGGCTCAGGATCGTACTGCGTGGCAGTCTATGGGGGAGGCCTATGTTCAGCAGTGGACTCAAACAGGCTGAAATGATGATGATGATGATGATGATGATGATGATGAAGTACTGTTTTAAAAAATATTATGTTTTATTCAAGTATTCAATCATCTTATACATATTAATTAAACCTACTAACGCTTCTATCGCTGGAAATATCAGAATCGTCGTCTGAAATATTTAGATACCTTAAATATTTACCATCTTTAACAGCCAGCAACAATTCGCGGCCAGATTTAATTAAATAATCGTATATTATAATGAAATATACATAATGAATGTACGTTATAAGCGTATAAATGTATCATAATCATACCTGTTTACACCTGGCTGCGAACAGGTGCGGCCACATGCGCAACGGCAACCATGATTTTTCAGTCTATGTATATTGCCGTGCAGTGGACGAATTTTATTTTATAAACAAAATGATTTTTTTCCGAAAAATCAATTAACAATAATTTATTTAAAACCATTACCGGACACATTTCGATTCTACTTATCATAAATTGGGTAAAAAATTTGGTTTTTAGCATATACTCGGTAAGTTCGTAAATCTGCAGCCGGATCTGGTACTATACTTCTACTACAATATACGCAAATTATGACTTACGACGACCGATGGCCTTCATTTTAATGCGTAGGATATGGATCTAGGCTAGATCGCGTCCTAGACCCATTCAGATTCCGATGTTTATTTTATTATACATCTTTAGTTTTACTACGTGAGGCAAATAACAAATACTTAAATGATTATGCAGATAATGTTATAACAAATAACGTGAATGCAACAAAGTAATTAAATAAGAGAAAATTAAAAGATTTTTATAACTAGGTAACCTAATAATGTTTTCATTTAGCCTAGATTTATAATCTGATATAAATTAGATTTATATAAATAAAGGTCATAACATAACTCCTCGCCAGTTTCACAGACTGTGGTGTAAAAAGGCTTTAAAAAATAAAGTCATATCAATAAATAATTATTGTAACCATATATTTCATTATCATATTGTTTCAGTAACAAAACGAGTTTCAAAAAAATCTAAAATTTTCCCAAAGCGAAGTGTATGTCTGCTTTAAAGTACTGAACTCTTTATGTAAATTCATTTCAATAATAATTTCTAAAAGACGGAATGGACACTGCCTTTTAGACAGGCATTTCCTTAAGACAAGATTAGAGTATCAATATTTATGATGAATATACTAGACGATACGATACCTCGCAAATTTGCCTGCATTGTTTGTTACATTAATAGCTACTCTGCCTGCCCCACTTTTCCACGGCAAGAAAACACACTGAACACAAAGTTTAATAACCTTAGATTAAATGAAGTTATCACAAGTTTTTTTGATACGGGCAAGTGTCTAAGAAATAAAACTTAGAAAAATTAATTGAAATCTATTCAGTAGTTTTTTTTAGTGATGCGTGCACAACTGCAGACCTATATTGCATAGATTTGGCACAAATATGGTGAAAAAAACTGTGTTGACAAAATTTTTAAGTTTTAAAAAGTAGTAGTACTCGCGAAAAGGAATTGTACAATTTAGAACCATTACTAACAAAATGTCAGATCAGTATGTCCGAATTCTAAAGTAAGAAAAATGTGAATTAGTACGAAATATGTGTTATCACTGTGACTAATGCCACAAAATATGATATTTTTCCAGACAAATTACTCTGAAAACAGACGTTATTAGACACGCCCCGGTACAGTGTAAGATTATTTTCATAGATTATATTTTTTATACATTACGTTGCATAAATTGTTTTTGTTAACGAGAATAAGTGTCATTGAGTAGGTGTCAACTACTCATGTGGAGCTATTCCCGCCGCCCACGGATATAGACAAAACCAGTTTTAACTTTTTAGAGTGGACGCCAGTTATCTCATCAGGAATGCTAAATTAGTATTACTTGTAGATTACGTAATTCCGCTGTGAGTCTTCTCTCATCTAGCATACCCATTCCTACAACGGCAGGGACTGAGAACTCTAAACATTACCGCAGTATCAATCAACAAGTGAACACCCTTTTTGGGTGTTTTACGTTCTGCATAATATTACTAAGTATCGCTGTCGGTCCGGCTCTCACCAGTATCTCATGAAACCTTGAAATTTTTACAAGATGATACCTGTAGCCGCTATTTTTTTTCGACCCTACACATGATTTTTTTTTGCCGTTTTTATAGATAAATGGTACGGAAACCTACGCGCGCGAGTCCGACTCGTACATGGCCGGTTTTTTGGTAATATACAGCTCATATGTTGAAAGAAAGAAAGATAACCTCACTAAAGTCATATTGTTGCATATTTAGGCCAGTTATCAAATATCACAGACTCTGTTTAGTTGCCATAATTTTATCGAGAGACTGACAAGGTGACTTTATTGACAACAATTAAATCATTCTCTGATAATAGCTATACGTGTCCACATTATCTAATGTGAGCTTTTTGATTAATCGGAAACTTTCACGCTGGCAGACAATTAGTCACTAAAGGAATGGAAAGTTTTATGAAGTTGTAGTAACAAAGTAATTATTGCTCGTAATCGGACAGAACGGAAAATTACGAAAGGAGCTAATTAGCTCTAATATTCACTATTTAAACACATTGTTAAAATTCATTTACAACCAAACCTTATCGTACCGGTAATGACATTGGACATAAAAAAAGAAAATAGTGGAGTGGATAAAGCTAGGGTTGCCAACCATACTTTTATATCGATTTTTTTTTCTTTTTTTATGTGATAAAGTGGCAAACGAGCTGGCGGTTCACCTCATGTTAAGTGATAACCGCCGCCATGGACATTTGCAACACCGTAAGGTTGCAGATGCGTTGCCACCTTTTAATAAATTGGGCCTCGGCTATCTCACTCACCAGACGTAACGTAGATGTGTAACACTCCTACTACACGCCGGGCTTCTGTGAGGTCGTGGTTCTTACCCGGATCAGCCTACCCGGCAACAGCAAACACTTGCGCGGCCCTATCACAGATATCTTTATATTCCTCAAAAGTGGTTTTGTTTCGGTACGGTAAGTTAGTAATTCAAACACTATTTTAAAGTTTATGTTTGCTGTTATTGACGAAAAATACACAAGTAGAATAAAGTTAGTTTTCATAAAAATAAAAACTCTTCGATTAAAAAAAACAATGTATGATAGTGAATGATAAAATATAATATCTTTAAATTAAATAAATAGTTCAATTAAAATATATTATAATAATTATGCCTTTCAATGATAATTATGCCTTTCAATGATAATTAGGTAGCTGTGGTAGGGCCAGACAGCAGCCTCGGCTGTTGCACGAATGGGCAGGCTCGTCCGGGTAAGTACCACGACCTCACAGAAGACCGGCGTAAAGTGGAAGTATGACAAATACTTTCGCGTTTCGTCTGGTGAGTGAAATAACCGGAGTCCAATTTTCAAAAGGTTGTCATCGCATCTTTAACCCACGGGTGTAGTAGATGTCCATGGGCGTCGGTATTCACTTTACATCAGGTACAGGTACTTATACACACACAGTTTGTCGTTGTTGTAAAAAGCTTGTGTGCGTACTTATGTACACGCGTTAGAAGTTATACTTCTAACAAGATAAAAATCTTTTCAAAAATTTTATCTTTCGCCTTATTCTACGTTTGTAGAAAAAACGACACTAACATATAAAAAATGTATTTAATACATTGAAAGTTTTATTATAACGCATTATCTAGTTAAATAAAGTTTATTTAAATATCACAAAGTAAATATTGTGAATAGAGTTGTCAGTTCTCACGCAAACATACGTAGAAGTATAGCTAATTCCAGGGAGTCGGTTTTTCGTCACGGTGTACGCGCGCATCGTAAAAATTTATTCTCATCATTTTTCCCTAACGCGCCAAAAGAAATATAACTTCAAACAATGTTATTTTGGTATTATGAACCGTGTACATACACGTACATACATAATGTTGGATGGATAAATATTTTTGTAACAATATATTTTTGTTGGTAACAAATATTATGTTGTTACGATTATGTACTCTATTGACCTCTTGATAATCAACGTCTTGTTTTGATAATTTTAAAACACGTACTTAATTCAGTTGTAAATTTGTACTATAGAACAAAAGAAGGTTTTTGTTCTGGAACATTCTATATAAAAGACCGAAATTCGGGCCCTGATTCCGTAGAAATTCTGTAGAAACATCATCAAAATTCATTCCTTAAACGTCCTGTCTAGAATATTTTACACGAAACGAGATCGAAATTCGGACTTCAAAAAGGGTCCGAAACACGCTATAGGCCGTTCAGTGGTGGAACTCCAACCAGAAGGAAGAAAGAGAAAGTGCAAAAAAATTTAACAACTTTGTTTTTTCTAAACTTCATTTTTATTTTGCTTTACTATATTAAACCGAAGAAATATTGGCAACCCTTTTGCGGAATTCGATTTACTGGCCGTAAATTGCCAACGGCCACCATTTAAAATTGAAACAAAACTAGATACTTACACGTAATAAAAACCAACACGAAACGAGTCACCACTTCCCCATGTTTTAGTGCGTAGTCCGAGGTCAGCTTGGATTTGACGTAAGGCCACACTATATTCATAGGCACGTAGAACTGCAGGCCGTATGAAAGGAATATAGAGAGAGCCATCACAGCTCGAACGCTCTGCGCCAATCTGCGAGACAATGATTGAACATAAAAATGCAATAAGGCTCTATTTTAACTTCTCATAATATTAAATGAAACTAGTTTACGGATTTTATTTTGTTTTGAAAATCCCGAAGTTTCGAACCCTTTCCAGCGTTCATGGTCACGGGACAGACTAAGTTGTTATACGTCTTGATGTCACAGTTAACCCCGGCTGCCGTCTAGTAGCTACGTATATTTACTGAGTCGAAGACATTACAGGTTAAATACGCCGGTGGTAAATACTGTATTCGTCCAACGTTTTGGTGATTTTGCGAGAACCTATATCTAAAACAAAGAAGCTAAATATTGCGATATAAAAAACAAAACATCATACGAGAATATTGTGTATGATTAGCTAGCTTCATTGTTCTACGACCAAATTGAGGATATCTTAAATGTTGCGTAATACCTATGTAGTAAGAAAGTTGCGTTGTATACTCCCAGTTAAAGTGTATATTATTTTATGCATTACCAATGTTTACCGTGTATTTAAGTTTTCTGTAATATGTAGTAAAAGTCAATGTCTGCTTGATGAAAACTGTATATGTTAAAATCTCGGAAAAGCAATATGTCCCTCGCTCGATACAGGCTTGCCTAGTGAGCAGACAACAGGTATTACATTTATACATTAAAAAGTATTATTTATAAGTTAATTTTTAATTTTTAGTGTAAATAAATGTTTTCAGTTTTCATTGAGCCGTAGTCAAAGATTACCAAATAAACAAAAAATTTAAACGGATCTACATTTTTATATTCGCCGGAAACGAAAAATCATTTTTGTTTTCACTGAATCTCATACGTAACTTTAACTATATAAAAAAAATTGTTACATCCTATTCATTATCCATATCGTTCTCGACGACAAAAACATGTACGCAAATGATTATAAATGAAAGTTATATGATTCAATTACATTTTGATGTACAATAAGAGCTTTAAATAAGCCTACATAAGAAATTTTGACTTTGACTTTGAAAAATTCATTGTAGAATTTTATTACACGACTCGGTGACGCAGTTGAAGAGTCATTTGGCCATGGCGCCAGGGGTTGTAGGTTCGATTCCCACGCGGGACAAGTATGTGTATGACCCATTATTATATAATTGTCCCGGATCTGGGTGTGTGCTCCCAAGAAAGGTCGACGACAGGCAGGCGGTTCTCGAAGAAATCCTAGCCAATACTAAAAATATAACAATAGGAACAGCTGGCGAAAAAGAGAAGTTTATTACGATACTCGGCTTAATAGCAGTATATTGGGTGCAGTGTCGCGGTATATTGGGCGTGATAGGACGCTGTTGTAATTTGATCTCTGTTTTATGACGCAGAAATATTTTATATCTCCGGCGGCGCCAGAGTTTGTGCCAATCGTTTGAACAAACATTTGGTAATTAGAAATCGTTTAGTAGCCAAAGTAAAAAAGAAACCGACATTGGCCGGTCTACGGCCAAAATTAAAGCGAGTGTTGCGTAGTGTGCTCAGTATTTCCTCGATCCACTTAAATAATTTAAGGTTAATAGATTATATAGATAAATAGTTGTACATACTTTCCATAAATATCGTTATTTTCGAGACTAAATATGATCTATTTTAAAAAAGGACCAAGTTATGGTCAATAAAGTTGGGGCGATTCTGAACAATTTTTCACTATTATGTATTAAGGTCAGGTCACTAAAGAATATCTCAAAATTATATAGAATGATACACGAAATTAAAAATCTAGCTGTCACTTGCTATTTTACAATTTTGCTGTTACACAACGGGTATAAATATATGAAATTTTTTACCTCAAATCAAAAAAAGCGACGCAAGATGTCAATTTTCTGCACTTTTAAAGAAATATGAATATTTAGAAAACTGGACACACATTATTTTTAAAAGGTTTAGAGCCATCGTGTACCAGTATTAACAGCTTGAAGTTGACTTTTAGATTCATATGTGTGGTCGGTGATGAGATTCAAAAAAATCTTAAATCAAATCATCTATAAACAATCTTAAAACAAACAACAAGAGAATGAAGCCCAATCAATAGAATAATCAAAGAAATACTGTTTCGTCGTTTTATATAATACTTACAAGTCATCCGGTAGATCCAGAGTTATACTGCCGTGCACTTTGTCGCCATATTTCAGGTAGCCGAAGAATCCAATCGCTGTATACAGCACCGCTACTATAACCATGGATGTGTTCAAAACACCATTCCAACCACCAAACGCTTCCGGTGTCTTCATGTTATTCTCCAGCGGCAAGATCTACAAACAGAACGTAGCAGATTCAGTCAAATACATCGCCTCATTTATTAGTAAGGAATAATGATTAAATCTTCATGAATTTTTGAAACAAAAAGAAATTCTGGCGATAATTTAGAACTATGAAGAGAAAAAAAGTGCAACGAAAGAAAAGTAGAAAAAGGAAAATTCAGGAAGAGAACAGATGAAAGTAATTTTTTTCTGAACAGAACTCGTGATTAATAATTTAAGCTAATATTGAGATATGATGTAAGTGATATATTGAGAGCGATGGGAAATCAAAAATCTTTATGAATGAACCATTGGCCCAAAGTTCAAATCCATATTTTACATTCTTAACAGATAAAACTAATGTAAAGTATTAATAGAACGCGGGTTAGACACGACGCGGGTTTGACGGAGGTTAAACAAACAAAAAATAAATGGCAAGAATAAATTATAATCAAGACATATTTCAGTTACTGCTTGAGGGAGGATATGATAAAGAGCTTACTTAACCCTTAGGTGTGCATTTTTCTGACTTTTTAAAAGACGATGTGATTTGATCCTGTAATTTCAGCTTTTAGAATATGGAATATGTCGGTGGTCTTAAGGCGCTAGCCCAGAACGACCATTAAAGCAAACCTACTATCCATTACAGGATAACGGTTACGGCAGCACAAAAAAGATCAGCAAACAGATTTTGGCAAACGAGGTTCGACATAGTTCAAAGACAATCGGAGTATCTGTGTACTACAGATATACGTGTAATACAAGCAATGAGTCTTAAAACGGCATGGGTATTCTAAATACCAGTCTGTTCTTCGTAAGATTATTTCTGCTTACATATACTGGTTAAATGTGCAAGTTTTTCATAATCGGACCGATATAAACGCAATGTTTTTTCAAATGGGTTTGGCTTGAAAAGAAATAAAAAATTCGAATGTGTATATATGACGCGCATATCTGGATCATTGGCTGGCATGCGCATATTGCATTGCTATCGGATGTAGTTTTAACGCCAGACTAAAAACAGTCGTTATTGACTGTTTTTATAGGAGCGATGGGAAGTAGGAATAAAAGTACAGGTACACATGAGGTCGAAAATCAATGTTGCATTGTGATTATTCGTTTGTAAAATCATTATTACGTATATGTTCTTAACTTTAATTTATGTACAAATATATGTTATAGAGTTATTTGAAACACAAAGCATTAAAAAAATTATTGACATAAAAACACTAACATGAAAGCAAAAAAACAAATAAAAACTAGATACTGAGACCTAATTCATTAATAGGAAAGAAAACAATAAAACTCACCACTCCAATGCCCTCAAATGCATAGATAGCAGTTCCAAAGTACAATGGTAACTGATGCCAACTTGCAAATGCTTTCACGGTACTGGTGTGTGGTAAATTTTGCAGGATATAGTAAAATGTTATTACCAATCCCCAAGCAGTCATTATTGAAGCAATCAAGGAAACTGGTGTCAGATATTTCAAATTCTTCACCATGGCCAACGCCAAAATGCAAGGAAATAATAAAGCAAGGTAGGTGTGTACGCTGAGGTTTACACGGAAAATTTGCATTGTATCTTGCAGGTTTGTTGCCACAAACAAAAAGTACACACAGCAAAATCCCAATTGGGTTATTACCAAAAACACATTGACAACATTTCTGAAACAATTGAGGACAAACATAAACATCAGGTATGTTTAGTTTCTTGATTACATAAATAGTTATTTATGGGGACAGATATTGCAATGCTTATTATTTAGATAAGTCACCTATCAGTAATTTATGAAGGCATAATTTGTTATTTGTAATTATTGAGTGGAAAACTTTATGAAATGATTGTTATTAGACAGCTTGATTTGATTTGATTTGATTTATGGAGAATATGCATGGTTAAGCTCAAGATTATATTGCCACTGAATTATTAAATTTATGATTTTGTAGAATTACTTTATTCTTTAATGAGCATTAAACATTTTATGATTCTAGAACATTTTGATTTCTTAGATAGCTGTACTCATCAGTTTTGCAATCAACAGCATTTTTTATTCAATACAAATATAGTATAAGTACAATATTTTATATATTATTACACCAATTTTTGCAACAATATAATAAATTCAATATATTTTAACATATACATTACATGAGTGTTAATAGAAACAAGATAAATTGAGCAACAGACAGTGTTAGTAACATTCACAGCACAATCTATTACAGTAAATACCTACATAGTCCATGATAAATAGACAAACAATATATTTTCCATTACCTATTTAAATCACTTAAAATTATGAACAAAGAACAATATAATCAAAGCCTTGAAATAAATATTGTGTGCAATTTTTTTGCATAAGCCAATAACGAAAGAATATGTAAATATAAAATGTATTTTTTTATGACTAACATCTTTTCTTTTTTATCCTCATATTTGGATGAAATTTGGTAATAATTATGGATAGTTTTAATGTAATAATTATTGTAATTGCTGATGGCTCGATAGGCGCCGTGAATAAGGTATTAGTTTCAGCATTGAGGGTCGTGTGTTTGATTCCCACATGGAACAAGTATTTGTGTGACCCACAAATAATTGTCTCAGATCAGGGAGTTTGTTTTCCAAGGGGGCGTAACACAGGCAGGCGGCCGTTCATAAAAAGCAGCCAAAACCGCTTACAACATGATTCACATGTTATAAGCGGTTTTGGCTATGAGCAGCTGAATGATGATGATCGCGAATAATTATAACCAGCATAGTAAACACATGTATCATGTCAGCTCTGGCAGGGCAAGCCGATAAGGCAGGGATGTTGTAATTGTGCAATTTTGAAATTTTTTTTAATGTGAAAAGTTGCCAAACAAGCAGACGGTTCACCTGAGGTTAAGTGAATACCGCCGCCCATGGACATCTATTACACCCAAGGGTTCCAGATGCGTTGACAACCTTTTGAAAATTGGGCTCCGGCCACCTCACTCACCAGTCGAAACGGGAAAGTATTATTCCACTTTACGTCGGTCTTGTGTGAAGTTGTGGTGCTTACCCGGACGAGCCTGCCCATTCGTGCAACAGCCGCGGCTGCTGCGTGGCTCTACCACCGTGACATTTTAAATTAAAATCACGATTTTAATTTAAAATCTTGGGTGATGTTAAAAAATAAGGAAATCACTTTGATAATATTCTAATTAATGCAATTAAGGCAAGGATTGATAGATGTTTGTGAATTTTAGTTCTATATACTTTGCATATATTAATAAAATTGATTTAATTAGTGAAAAGAAGACGTGGGTTAAATTCCCACCACGGTGGCAAAAATCTTTTCGTATATTTTTTTAACAAATTATAATTTTTTGAGATTAGCACTATAAAAACTTATTATTATAGTGTTAATCTCTTCACTTAAGATTTAATACACATAAGCGTAGAAATTAGCACAATAAAAATTTTTTAACTACAATAAATTATCATTGTAAAACGTTATTTGAAATTGTTTGTGTGCTGTAAAGGACTGAGCAATTTGAACAATTTTAATCTGGTCTAGTTTAAGCATTGCTTAAAATGCGATAAAACAATGTGGATAAATTTTTTTTTTTATCGGTGAAATTTATACTCCTGATTACACTTTTAAAAAAAATTTGATTGAGCAATGGCTATTTTCAGCTTTTGAACTAGACTATGAATTAAAATTTAAACACTTACTTCATTCTTTTTGAATATGACCGCAATGATACTGGCCCCATAGCAAATGCATCTTCAACAACTTCAGCAAAACTCATTGCCGGTCTTTGGTTTCTTATACACAATTCATTGGAGCACTGAACTAATATATGCATACAGTGTGTGCAAATAGCTCCCATAAATAATGTGCCAAAAACACCTAAATAAAATGATAAATATATATTTCACATTCAACAGTAATATTACTTAAAATTTGAGTTGCTTAAAACAAATCTTATGAAGACTGGTCTTGTATAAGCAAATTTATGGATGCATACATAAAATCAATTTTTAAGTCATGTAAGCATCAATCATGTAAGTAAAAATGGTGTACATCTACTAGATGTTCACCATTTTAGATGTCTTTAAATAACTTAAGAGGTAATTGCTTGTAGTTAATTAAATCTTCCTTATAATTTAATTTATAACATGATACAACAACAAGGTCTAATAACATAAAATAGCCTAACTGATACTGCAATATTTTATTGGTGACATAGAAATTTGTGACTGAAGAGAGAGAATGAGAAAACAAATAATTGAAATAAAATAATTAGTTAAATATCTAATATGATCTCCAGACTTTAGTCTAAAGGGATTTTTAGTTATTTAAAAATGTACAACTTAAAACTCAAAAACAATATATTTAAACAATCCTTTGACACAAAAAATGTATATTGATATAAAAAAAAACTCAAAATCCTTCATTCTTCTTCATAATTTAACTACTCGTAGATTGTCTATGTGGTATTAGGTTTCTATTATTTAAACAGGACATGGTTCAATATTTCTGTTTAATATTTTATCGCGTTTTCTTTTCTAAATAACTAACATGTCAAACACTAAATCATTTTAAGAAAGAAAGAAGATAAATTTATTTACCAAAAAAAGGGCGCACACCATAAAAGAGAAAACAGAACAGACACACCATAAAAATACTTATAAATATTTCAATAAAGCGAAAGAACACAAATACATAATTAAAATATAAACAAATAAAAAGAACTTTTAGTCACGGGACTTGGATCTTGAGTCTCACTAGTTAATCCTTTTTATTTAACCAAATTTCAGTTTTCTTAAGTTTTAATAATATTTTAACGTACCAAAAAATAAACCAGCATTTTTAAAGGCATCGGGCATCGCTAAAATACCTGTACCAATATTGCCTTTAAGCAGATGTATCATAGTGTCGAAATTAGACGTAGGATGTTCAAGACATCGTTCAGAAGCAGGATGGTAGTCATTTTTCGCTTTTTCGTCCTTAGGTGTTAAATTCGGCCCACCATCCGCTAATTCCACCGTCTGAATTTCAGCATTGTCTAGAGGACTGATAGGCCCTATAAGCAGTGGCTGCTTTTCGTCATTCATTTTTATCCAAGTAATTAGTCAATATATTAAAATAATTGTGCTATAAAATTTTTATCACATCATAAAAATAATATCAGATGTCGTTTAATAGGAAATACTATGACACTAACTACCACGCAGCGATCGAGTGACACTGACAAGAGACGAAGAGAAGAAGATTAATATTGTCTAGTGTATACTGACACTGACATAGATGATAACACTCTAACCCACAGAACACTTTTACTCAAAGAGAATATAACAGTAACACTGAACTCGAAACTGACTGAGACTGGGACATAAAAGTGGGCGTTAAAAATCATGTACAGATGCCAAAACTATACATTGGTACAATATCCGAAAACGACTTACCAGCTCGTTCAAAATCTATGTATTTTAAAATATCTGATATTTCCGAAATCTGATGTACCGAATACTCGCTATACCAACACGAATCGCAATATCATACGCGTTTGCCACAATAACTGATTTTATACAGATTTCGAGAAACAAAGCCCGTGAGATACAAATACTCACTAGTTAGAGCGGTACGGCAAACAATGCACAATATCAGATTTTCAAACAGATTTTATGCATAAGTTAAGTAATTTTAAATCTTAGCAGCATGGAAAAAAACTCTATTTCATTTAAATACGAATCATGGTAGTTAGTGTCATTAACGATGTCTTTAATCAGGGCTTGATTTGGCCATTTTTTTCAGCATAAGTAGCCGAATACCAAAATATTGCTATAATATAATTAAATAAAGTGTAAATAAAGTAAAGTAACAACCTATACATGTCCTACTGCTGGGCAAAGGCCTCCTCAATACAGAGGGTATCAGGGCATAGTCCACACGCGGCCCCACTGCGGATTGGCGGACTTCACATATCTTCGAATTTTTTTTTTTGTTATTATTTCGAAAATATGCAGTTTTCATCACGATGTTTTGCTTCACCGCGGAGCACGTGATAAGTCAGCACTTAAAGTTAAAAACTTCATTGGTGCTGGCACCGGGGATCGAACTCAGGTTGCTCGAGTATATTGAATTAAAGGCGAGCGCCCGGACACTAAGCTATTACGGCTCTAAATGTAAATAAAGTGTAATTTAAATTAACTTAATGTGTGGCCACCTACGATAAAAACAATAAAAACTTATTTGGTGGCGTTAACTTTACATAGAATTGCGGAAAAAAAATATTTTGTTTTTTTATTGCCGACAAATAACGTCGCTGGCCACACTGACCGTCGACAGAGTCAACTGACAGAGCCAAAGATAAAGGGGCTCAGGACTGCAAAGCAGGATGTAGCCCACACACTATCCTGCAAGCCGTCCATCCTCTCTCAATAAGGGGTCCATTCATTAGCCTGCCTGGCAGTCCGCCGTGCAGTGCTGCCATATGAAGAAAAAAAATATGCACTAAGCCTTTAGCAAAATTAAGCTATATTATACGAAAATATGAATGCTAACCTAGGAGTTTTTTTTGTAAATTTACACAGTAAATATTTTCAATAGAAATTATTTAGAAGTTTTTTTTAGGAATATTTTTAGGAATTAAATTTTATTCACAGGTTTGAAAATAATCTACACACGGCTAGGTACTTTATTATAGACAAAAAGAAAACGTGTACATCCCGGGACGCCCGACTGATGTGATAACTTCAACTAAGCTCAACAACTATTTTATATTGAAATTGTTTAACTTGATAAAAGCTTATGTTGTTACTTAAATTATATGTATATTAGTATGATAATGTGAGGAAAGGTTATTTATTAATAAAAACTTTTATCTAACAAAAAGAAAAACTCGCTATTGATTACAATAACAACACTGACACTATTGAGAGACGATGGACGGATTGCAGGATAGTGAATTTTATTTTGTTTATCTGGTGTGTTGTTGTTGTAATAATTATGGATTTATGTGTCGTTTCGAAAAAAAAAGAAAATAGCGATTCTGCTATGTTTTTTTATTCTTAGATAAAAGTTTTTATATAAAAATTAATTTTAATTTATATTTTATTTTTAGGACTTAAATTTTATTTATGACTTTTTTAGGACTTAAACTTTATTAAGGCTTATGTGTCTTGTGTGTATATTTTAAATTCTTCCGCACTAAACTATAATATTGAATGTATTATTTCTTACACAAATATACAAATATATTTTCATATCTGTATACGATTTGTATCGCCCACTTCTAGCTCGTATTATAGGCATGAGATATACCTGCAACATTCTATACCCGGCCCCAAAGGTACAGGTATCGCCGTATACCCGGTGCTAAAACCCAGTATCAAAATACCTATAGGTATTAGTTATGTTCAGGCCTCCTTTTGGAGACTCGGTCGAATCAAACGAATTGAACTTTTGGTTGGAATTGGAACATTTAGATGTTTTTTTAGCAATCAGTTTTTTTTAATTGAGATTTAATCAGTCTAAAATAAGCTCCATCTTTACTAACATAAAGAACCCTATTATCAAAAAAAAGTTATTCAAAATAAATATTACTGTTTAACCTTATTACGCAATTATTTATCTTCCTAATTGTCATAGAAATAAAGAATAAATTTATCTCAGGGAATTATTTGGTATAAAATGCCTAAATCATACGTTTTAATTCGGGCATGATCGGGAAGAGCCGCCGGAAGCGTTCGGGGAACTTCGTACCTATACCGCCACCGTCGGACGAGGCGGCCATACCTATCGGGTATGGAACGGGCCTCTGCCGTACATACCCGGTGTGCGTACTGGTATGTTCATACTGGGTATTTATACCTGTGCCAGTATATACGCCTCATCCCTATCGGATTAGTTATCTCATCAAGAAATAAATTAAAAAAAGGTGCTGTCAACTGTCAAAGTATGAATATGAAATTATAAAATAACATTATTTCATTAAAAAAATAACTTCTTAATTCTTTGTTTGTCGCTTTATAATGTTAATATACTCATAAAGAAGTATATTGTTTCCAATTACAGATAAATACGAAATTAAATCATTTGAGGTTTATGAGTATTGCGGTAATTTTGAACACGGATTTGACATAAATTAAATTTAAATGTAAGTAATCAATACTCGTCATTAAAATGGGTAATGCAGGAAGTAATCAACCTAAAGAATGGCATAAGGACAATATAACAAAGCAAACGGATGCAGGGCCCTCATCCCCTGCAAAAGAGGGAGAAGCATTTACTTTCGACAAAAAAGTTGACGATGATCGTATTGGTCGAGAAGATGACAGTAATATAGAAGACGGAGCTCCATATTATACAAAGGCAGTTCCTGAAAGTAACGTGGAATATAATGAAACAAGGGAAAGGTCAAACACCTTAACTGAAAGCACTAAAGACCCTGATGACATTGAGGTTCTACCAACAGTTTTTAAATGGGAGGGTGGAGGCAAACAGGTATTTAAAAAAAACAAAACAAATTCATTATTTTGTGACAATTTATTCATAAGATTTGGGTGCTTAGTCCTGTTTGTATTTATAAAACAATCTCAACAAGGATAATGTCTATAAAATTATCTTTGTGGTGTGTAGTTCCATAGTGATAGGTGTGGATTCATACTGTCCCAAGACATATCAGATTTATATATATAGACTAGAGGACTGGAATGTATTGTTCTGTACACACAACTTCTGAAATCAACTTGAAGACATACAAAAAATTTCATTAAAATCGGTCCAGCTGTTTTAGGAGGAGTTCAGTGATATACAGTAGAATTATATTATTTTATAAAGATAGTTTGTTTTGTTTTTTATGTGAGAAAGTGGCAAACGAGCTGGCGGTTCACCTAGTGATAATGATAACCGCCTGCCCATGGACATTTGACCCTTAGGGTTGTAGATGTGTTGCCATCTCTTAATAATGTGGGCCCTGGCCACCTTACTCACTAGACGAAATGCAGTAGTGCCCTGCAAATTTTTAGGCTATAAATATTTTTGGTTGATAGAGAAACAGTATTAAAAAAAAATATTATTAAGTAACTAATAGGCGGAGACATGTACATTTTTAGAAAAAATAAATTTTGCAATTAATACTAAGTAAATTCACAATTAACATTGAGTGTGTTCAAAATTGGTTTTTGTTACTAATTTTTAGAGGGATCTCATATTTACTTTGTTGGAGAATAGGAACTAGGTTCAACATTAAATTAATTCAAATTGATAAGATAGATTTGTTAGGTTTACATTTTTATAATTTAAGGACAATTGTTAAGGTTTGTTAGGTGTACATTTACATTAAGGGAGCCTCACCCCACTTATAACATGTGCGCCTATTACTTAATTAGTAAAAATTACTGTTTCAATAATGTTTCTCAATAGATTAAAAATATTTGTAAATGAAAAACGCATGTTGCCCCTATTGCAAATAATTGTATATGAATCTGAAATAGTAACAAACAGTAAAGTAGCAATAAATTTGATTATTGCACTTTAATATTAATTCCTCATTTGAACTGTGTTTCAGGTTTACATAAGTGGTACTTTTACTGATTGGAAAACTATTCCGATGGTGAAGTCTCATGGAGACTTTGTAACTATCATAGATTTACCTGAAGGTGAACACCAATATAAGTATTTTGTTGATGGGGAATGGCGACATGATCCAACAGTGGTAGTTTTTTTTTCTCTAAAGTTAAAGAAAGCATAGGCTTTGCATTTCAACTTCTAAATAGAAATAATAAATAAAATTATATTTCAGAAAGTTGTAGATAATGAAATGGGATCCAAAAATAATTTAGTAACTGTGAAAATGTCAGATTTTGAAGTATTCCAAGCATTAGCAAAGGATAGTGAAGGGGTTCATAGCAGTGCCCAAACTGAATATTCACAGGTTATTATTAATTTAATTATAATCTTTCTTTGTGGTAATCAAAGGGCTTCTCCATTAATGGATGTATCTAGTATCTTATAGCACAAATAAGTACAAGTTTTTAACTCGTTAATGTTTATAAATATTGGTATGTAAATAATTTATGTGATGGTGAATTAATAATGTAGGTCTTAGATAAAGAGAGAATATTGTGAATTATTGAATTTGACAAATAGTTCTTTTTTATAAATTAAAGTTGGAATAAGTTCCAAGATATAATATCTTTTATATTATTTAATTTTTAACATGTACAATATAATAGGTTGGGGAAAAAGTTTCTTCGCATTTTATATGAAGATTCAAAACATTTTTTAATAAAGTTTATTTACATTTAACTAAAGTATGTAGAATGAAATTAAGAATGAAGAATAGAATTACTGTATGAAATTATGTAACTTTCTGCTATCTTGTGGGTAGGGACATGATCCCATTGCTATAGAAATTCTGACTTCTGATCAAAAAACCGTGACGAATGGTTTTGGCAGTCCTCTTGTGATGTTAACCTGACACTATCTGATTCTGAAGGGACCTAATCAAGTGGAAATCTGTAGGTGCAAGCTCAGGACTGTACAGGGCATGCATTAACACCTATCAGCCAATCTCTCTTAATTTTTGCTGAGTGGCTAAAGATGTGTGAGGTCTAGCGTTATCATGATGAAAAACCAGACCCCTTCTGTTGATTAATTTCGGCCGCTTTCTCTCAACTTCTTGCTTTAATCTCATCAGTTGTTCGCAGTAGAATTCAGAATCAATGGTCCTGTCTGGCGGTAACAGCTCATAATGAATCATGTCCTTCCAATCCCACCATACACACAGCATTACCTTATTGCGAGATAACCCGGGTTTTGCCATAGTGTGTGAAGTCTGACCAGCCTTTGACCACGAATTTTTTCGCACGTTCGTCGTATGTGATCCACTTTTCATCACCAGTTATTAGGTTCTTCAAAAATGGTTCGGTTTCATTACGTCGTAATAAAGAATCACAAATGATTACCACGGTTCATTAGGTTTCTTTCAGTGAGCCCATGAGGTACCCAAATATCGAGCTTTTTTGTGTAACCAGCTTTTTCAAATGCGCCAAAACTGTTTTGTGGTCAATTCCCGGTTCTTCAGTTATATCGAAACTACTGATATGCCAATCTTGCTCCACTTGTCAAAAATGGAATCCATTTTATCCGTAACAGGGCGCCCAGAGCGAGTTGCATCTTTGACATCAAAATTTCCGGATTGAAAATGCTTAAATCAAATTTGTGCTACTCTCACTGGCACTGCACTAGGTCCATAAATATCACAATTTTTTTGCGGCTTGCGTTGCATTTTTACCTTTTTTGTAGTAAAATGTTAAAATGTATCAAATTTCTTCATTAGAATCACTCATATTAACAGTAAGAAAAACAAATGAAAATCACACATTTTCCTAATTTGAATTTGGAATTATCTTTTTTAAAATTTAAACTTTTTAGTGATACCAAAACAAGCTAGATACAAATGGTGTAGCCAAAGAGATTATATTATAAGTACATACATACTATTTGCGAAAAGAGTTTTTCCCCAACCTAATATTTTAATAGCTAAATTAAAAGTGAATTTAAATCTGTTTGTCTCAGGAAATCCCACAATCTAAACCTTGGGAAAAAATATCAGGCCCACCTATATTACCACCCCATCTTCTTCAAGTCATATTGAACAAAGATACTCCACTTTCGGTAATGTAATTTTATTCTTTATAAAATTGTTTAAATATGTTTCAAGTATAATTTAGATTATATGTCAAAGTTATTTTTTCAGTGTGAACCTACGTTGCTACCTGAGCCCAATCATGTTATGCTGAACCATTTATATGCACTGTCCATTAAAGATGGTGTAATGGTCTTATCAGCTACACATCGTTACAGGAAGAAATATGTGACAACTCTCCTCTACAAGCCAATATAAACAAAGTATTAATGTAGAATCATAAACCCTTAGAAGAAAATTAGTAGTTTGAGTATAGATTTTGTTTGATAATTTATTAATGCTAAATTATATGTTAATTAATTTCATTTCTAAAATATAAAACATAATAAGAGTATATAACCTTGTTCAAATAATTGTGTGCCTTAGCTTTAACAAATGATAATATAATGTAAATTGAGCCAAATTGCATAATTATATTTTTAAAAGCTGATAAACATGTTTGAATCAAGTAAACAAAGTTCATTGGATGGTTATGAGGTTTATGTTTACCATGTCCTAGCTTGTACTTCTTTATTTTTTGAAATAACATGTCAATTTTTAATATTATATAATTGGCTGCAATCTAGCAAATATGGAGTGTAGAGATAAGTGGTATTTCATGTGTACTAATTAGAAAAGTTTTTCATCTTGATACCCAAGAATATATATAGCCGTGATAGCTAAGTGTCCGGGCACTCGCCTTTAATTTAATATACTCGAGCAACCTGAGTTCGATCCTCGGTGCCAGCACCAATGAAGTTTTTAACTTTAAGTGCTGACTTATCACATGCTCCGCGGTGAAGGAAAACATCTTGAGGAAACCTGCATGTTATAGAAATAACAACAAAAAAACTATTTCGAAGATATGTGAAGTCCGCCAATCCGCAGTGGGGCCGCGTGGTGGACTTTGCACTGATGCCCTCTGTACACAGGAGGCCTTTGCCCAGCCGTGGGATATGTATAGACTGATACTTTACTACCCAAGAATAGGAGAGCTTTTCAGTCAATACTCATTAAGCCTAATTCTTTTCTATTTATATTCCTATATTTACGATTGTAAATATGTATATGCCACTTAGTGATTCTATAATGTAGCTAACATGAAATAACCAAAGTTCCACAAAATTAACATGAGTTTAATATTGTGGCAAAAGGTCCACAGCATTAAAATAGAACTGTCTTACGTTTTATTGGGAGCAAAACCAAAAAAAATGGCTTGATAATGTTCAGTATGTATCTATTTTCCAATAGTCATATTTTTACAAATAATTACTCTTAACTAATAATATTGCTTTGGTTATTTTTATATTCAAATTTTACATAAAATATAAACAAAATACCTCTAATCAACCTTAACCATAATACTAGATACTAATCAGTAACCAAGAAATAATTAACTAAATTGCAGGTTTATTTACAAAAATACAATTGAATATGTATATTTAAGATATGACTAATTTTACACCTTTCAACATATGAGAAAATAAAAAAAAAAACAAAAATGTTATCTCTTCAACATGAAACTGCTAAGCAGTGAGATTATAACACAATATGTGTTGATTCTTTCGAGTTTCCTATTTTTTTCAGGTATGGCACAAAAATCACCTTTGCTTTCAAATGTAAGTAATATGATATGAAGTTATTGACACTAACAGAAATACTTATTAGAACAAATAATGATTTGTTTTAATAAGGAAGATTGTTGGTTTCTACCACAAAAATAGTTTAAAAATAATAATGCTACATAATGTATTTCCTTCCCATCCTAAAAGAGCTAATGTTATATTAGTTGGAATTTGTCACTAACAATAATGCATAAGAACTAAGGCATAAGAAATATAGAAATTGGTTTATTTTAAATTTGATGGAGAGCTTTGAAAAAGGCCACACAAATTTTACTTGAACAAAGTAAAATACAAATGCATAAAATAAAGATTATTCAGTAACAATTTCCAATAGAGGTTTTTTATCTCTAACTTCAGTAAGAGTGGGATTATTTACTGGGTTCTTGAAATACAAAGCTACTGCAACACTAACCATACATATAGATAAAATAGTAAATCCTGTTATTAAAATATTAAATAGAATATAGCATACTACAGCAGTTATAATCAATTCTAAAGCACTTGCATATGTTTTTAAAATAGAATTCAGGTTCTTTAAAAAAAAACTAGTCACAATACCTACAATTGCACTATTTACTGTTATAAGCAATACAATGATGTCTCCTAGTGACTGTATATCATTAAAAATATTACTTAATTCACCTTTGTATAACAAAATAAATAAATTACAAATTACAGAATCAAGGTACATAAATACATTTTGCAAAAATATATCCACATTTGAACCCTTTGTTTTTAATAAATATTCATTATATGTTCCAGCCAAGCAAGAACAAAAATTCTGAAAATTTATAGATAAAAAGTATATATTAAAAATTTGTGACCACAGATCTGTATCTTCTTTAGATTGTATTGAGGCAGCATCAAAGTTTTTGATCATACATCCCAATGTTAGAATTCCCAAAGAAATCCATTGCATGAATGTTAACTTCTTGTTGAACAAGAACTAAAAAAATTAAAGTGTTGGTATTACTTTGTGGCATGAGATAAACATAGATAATTATTTAAATACAAGATTTCATTACCTGAAATAATAATGCTGTGAGAACAACTCTAAACTGCAGGAGAATGTAATAAGATGTTGGATCATAATGGGACAAATTAATAAACGCCAAGTTGTTGTAAAAGCAATACAACAAGGATGGTATAAAATATAGTAAGAGAAGGTTATAATTTAAAGCAATTGCTTTAAAAATTTGTGGTTTATTTCTGAAAAAAAAAAATATATATTTAATATCAAATAAAACATATAATTTTATATGCTAATCTAAAACATTTCCTTCTAAATTGCTTTGGTTACAGTAATTATGGTATTTTACTTCCTAAATACTGCCATACACATAACTCTGATTTAATGGTCTTATGTAGCAATGCAATAATTATCAAAAGATTTAAATGCACATTTACTTTTGCTATATGTTCACATATTTTCTAGGACAAGTAGTTTATAATTGATAAGAAGTACACATACTAAGGTTGTCAATCTTTGATCTAGCGTATACTATAACTTTAAACAAGTACAAATTAAGTGCAAATAGAAAACATACTTACTCTCTCTTGTAACTGTATAAGGTAGCTGATATAAATAACTTCAATAACTCGGAAAAAAATACAACAAGAGTAGTGTTGTAATCGTATCCACCATTTTCAGTTTTTGAAGCAGTGACGAAAACACCTGTAATAGAACAATACTTTACAATTTGTAATTATTTGTACTTTTAGAATTTGTGATTAAATGTGGATACGGCGAAACAATATTACTCACACTTGCTACTGAAATATTATAAAACAATCATAATTGTATATGTAGACGTACCTTGAAATACAAATAAAATAATATACAGCGAAAAAATAACGAACGCTTCTTTATTCGGAAATAACTTCTTGAATTCTTTCATTTTATTATTATTTTTTAAATAACTGTTATGAGACAAGACTAATAACAGTAATTTCAACTTTGTACTAGTATGAGCAGTCCATTTAATTTTTTAAATTAATATATAAATTTCTAGTAAGCATAATAAATGTAGTTATTAATAATATTATTAATCAAATATATAACTAATAGCTGTAAATAATAATAACAGTTTAATTCTCCTTTAATCATCAGATGATCACAAGAATTAATCAGCGTTTAGTTTTAAAATTTACGATTTAAATTTAAACACGTAGAGGTGAACACGAATACTTCTACTATTGACAACAAAACAAAACTGACAAGTGAAGTGAACTGAAGTGACAATACGGATACGGTCTTAAAATCTGAAATACTATATATTACCCACGGCAGATAATATATTTTTTAACAGTGTAGTAGCCTCAGATTAGCTTCATCGGAAGATATTGTGGGTAATATCACCTGTACCCCACTTTGGGGAACAATTCTGATACACGACTACGACGGCGCTACGCATTTACGGCGGGCGGCCCCTGTTAACGAGAAATAGCTGATGGACAATGCGACCAACAAGAACGTACAAAATTACCTAAGGTACCTAATTTTATATTTTTCAGATGAATCGTTACTAAATTTTGACTCGTTTTTAATATTATTGCTAAAAAAGTATATATTTTTTCCAAATTATCCAGTATAATATTTCTACTGTGATAGGGCCACGCAGCAGCCTTGGCTGTTGCACGAATGGGCAGGCTCGTCCGGGTAAGTAATTTCTAGTAAGTGAGATAGCCGGAACCAAATTTTCAATAGGTTGTCAACGCATCTGCAACCCTCGGGTGAAACAGATGTCCATGAGCGGCAGTATTCACTTAAAATCAGGTAAACGGTAAAAGTTAGGACCTATTTAAATAAACGTAAAATGGATATGTAATTTCAATTAATTTAATGTCCTAGGTAGCTTACAATTTACATGATGCTAAAGTAATTTTAACATTACATCTCGCCAGAAAGATTTGATTTCGTGCAATAAATTTCATGCAATTACTGCGCAAACACGGTCAAAACTAGTTTATGACTATATTGTTCATATAGTAGAATGAGTCCTCAGATAATATTGTATAAGTTATCATTTTCCTGGGATGTACGGCATAAGAATTTAAGCAATTGTGGAATTTTTGCTTTCATCTGATCGGGGCCTACAGAGGCCTTTGGGCTCGCAGGCCCAGTATCATTGATACGGGTAATTTTTACTTTCATCCCTTCAGGGCATACAGAGGCGTTGGGCTTGTTGAAGACACTGGCTGAAGATTTTTACTACATCATAGAGTTGTTTTGAGTGTCATTGTTCTTTTGTTAATGTCTGTTCTTTTCTGTGTATGTCAATATACAACTTTTCATAAAATATTAATTTGAATTAATAAATCCTTAAATCGGACCTTAATAGGGCTCGGGGGCCCTGTATCATTGATCCGGGAAATTTTTGCTTTCGTCCGTTCGGACTTGATACAGATACATTGATTGTGATTTTATTTATACGTATTTTATCTGAAAAAAAAAAAAATTATAACTATGGGACCTCCAAAGTCCAACCTCTAAGATAGGTGCAAAGCATATTTTTAAAGCCTTGTTTAGGATTTGTTCAAGGGAACATGAAGGCGTTTGGGGGCCGACCAAGACCGCGGATCCGGGACGAACCGCCCCTTCCACCCTCCGGTTAGTCCGCTTCCACTTCACACCGGTCTTCTGTGAAATCGTTGCACATTATCAGACAGAACTGTCCATTCGTGCAGTGAGGACTGATGCGTAGCTTACTACAGTTAAAATGAAGTAATCCTTGATTCGTGAATGAATTAAATTCTGAGGTTAGACACGATCGTAAGGGCCGTCGTGCTCGACGAGCCTAATACTAACATGACCATACTAAGATGACTAATTGACTAATGACCGATTACAAAAGACAGAAAAACCGACACGTTAAGGCAAACATGAAATAAGAAAATTCAAAAAAAAATATTTGCACCAATATTTTGCAAATATACCGCATAGTATTTAAGGATCTTTGCGTAAGGCAACTGGAAAAGCAGAGCTATACATATTTGGACAAAAATAATTTAAGATTTTCTGGTCTGTACTCTGTACAGATTAAGTTAGTAAACAAGCTGGTAAATGACTAAATGGTAATTGACTTTTGAGAACTATTTGATTAATGTCACTGAAAAAAAATATACTATTTTCAAAATCAGCTCGATATCTTTTTCAAATTGATATTTAATTGAAGTTATTTACATTTGCCGAAGTGATATATTCCAGTTGTAATGGATAATTTTTAAGTATGTGGTGAAGTTGTTGAATGTTATTACTAAATTGACTTTCTGTACGACCTGTTCGCGTAGTTTTCTCTGTTAAAGAGTGCGTGTGAGTGTGAATTCTAATAACAAAATATTATAAAATATGGCTGAAGAAGAAGACAACACATGGTAATTATTTAACGAATAAGCTTTCATAGTATTTCTCCATTGCTTTCCTGTGCCAAGATTGACGTGCGATGGATGAACATTGTATTTTTCTACTTGATTATAAAAAAATCTCAATGTATTAACCTGTTATTTACAACTATTTTAGGTTAATTGAATTGGAATCTGTCCTGTTAGATGGGTGCTCTCCACAAGAAATCAATGTAATTACAAAAGGAAAGAAAATACCTGATAGTCTACGCCCTGATGTTTGGCTGGTGTGTCTGAACTGTCAAGATGCTGGCAATCAATTGCTACTATTTGATGAAATATTTGATTTGCCAAACCAAAGTGACTTACGTGATGATGTGAAGAAATTTGTTAAAAGATTGGATAACGAAGATGAAGAGAAATTAGCAGTTATTTCCGATATAGAGTCTGTAATAACATTTTATTGCAAATCTAAATCAATTACCTATTCCTCAAACAATGGTTGGATTGAAATACTATACCCCTTATTAAGTCTAAAACTACCAAGATCCGACACATACAATTTGTTTGAAAAAGTCATAAAACTTTACATTCCTAAAGGTTGCATAACCAATGGTGTTCCCTTTCATATTTTAAGATTGGTTTTACAATATCATGATCCCGAGTTATGTTCATTTTTGGACACAAAACGCATTACACCTGAACAGTATTGTTTACCCTGGCTTAGATCACTTTTTGCAGGCACTTGTAATTTGGATGTAGTTTTATTTATGTGGGATTTATACTTTCAAAGATCAGATCCATTTTTCATTTTTTTTCTATGTTTAATCATGATAGTCAATGCACGGGAACAGCTTTTACAAATGAAAGATGAAGATAAAGCTACTATCATCAAAACATTAATTAGTATGCCTGGTGATCTAGAGGCAAATGATGTTTCTGATTTTTGTTCTTTAGCTCACTATTACTCCTTAAAAACACCACAATCTTTCCGTGAGGATGTTTTAGAAGTATTATTTTCAGAAAGTGGTTTAGAAATCAATTCAAAGCTTTATTCACAAGCTCTTTGTCTTCCGGTTGCTGTGCATGAACTTATTGAGAGTGCCACTGTTGATGCTGCAGACGTGGATAGTGTTAAATTTTTTTTGGTTGATTGTAGACCTGCTGACCAATACAATGCAGGGCATTTATCAACTGCTTTCCATCTCGATTGCAACTTAATGTTGCAAGAACCAAATGCTTTTAATACAGCAGTACAAGGCTTACTTAATGCCCAGCGGCAAGCACTAGCAGCGGGTTCTCTGGCCGCTGGTGAGCATTTATGTTTTGTTGGCTCTGGAAGAACTGAAGAAGACAGTTATGCACACATGGTAGTAGCATCATTTTTGAAGAAAAACACTAAGCATGTATCAATGTTAGATGGAGGCTTTGTGGCTATACATGATTATTTTGGGCCCCATATGACTGACTGTTTAGAGGAACACAATATTTCTTCATGTCTTGTTTGTGCACCTAATAATAATAATATGAACACTGAAACACATAAAACAAGAATCCGTGATAATATTCCAGCTATACAGCTATTCAGTAAGTTGTCATCAGCTATGAAAGCAAAGAGTCAAGAAGTAAAAGGAAAATTAATTGAATACATTGTTAATCCTAATGCAACAATCAACAATAGCGATTGGCATGTGTCAGCCAATGACCGTAAAGAGCATCGATATAGGAATGTTCCACCAGTATTTAGTATTAATGATGAAGATGATGATTGTCAATCTGATTCAAGAAGAGAAATGGTGAGCACAGAATCTTTGGATGAAGTTGTGGATTTGCACATATTCCTTAAAGGGCAAAATATTGTCAATAATTTTCAATGTCAAGAGGTTTTACTCAATGGCTACATGTATGATTCTTATTTAGTTGTAACTGATACACATTTAATTATTTTGCGTGAAATTCCTAGTAAGCGAGGGTTTGCAAAAATTTTATCAAGAAGGCCACTTTCTACAATTGTAAAAATCACTGCTAAAAAACGGCACCCAGAACTAATCACTTTTAAGTATGGCATTCCTGATGGTGATAATCTACTAATAAAAGATATGGATCGTTTTCTTATACCAAACGCTACAATGGCAACAAAAGTTGTGTCTAATCAAATTGTAATGCAGTTGGATAGTAAGATTCAATAATTAGTGATCACCCGCCTTAGTATCTGATAAGTAACTTGCCAGTCATTATCTTTTACCTTAAAATGTAGATAACACTAACTGCTTATTAAGATTTGAAAAATTTTAATATCACCAAACAATTCAAGTATTATTCAGTGTTTGTTCTGACAATTTATTTGAATAGTACTAAAATTATTTATTAACTTTGTATATATGTGCAATACAAAACAAGATGTAATAAATAATAATCCAATACACCAATAAGAAAATATGATCTATGATCTTTTTTTTTGACAGTTTTGTTTGTAAATATGAAAATATTGCCGAAAAACATTTATATCTAAATTCAATTTTCGGAAAAACTTATACAGCTCAGTTCAAACAAGCTCGTATATTTATGCTTGTCGTAAATTAGAATAAATAAAAGATTAATTGCATAAGAGATTAATCTTATACTTTTTAGGCAAAGATTTAAGTTGTTACATATATTTGTCCTACAGATTCTTAGTAATTTAAGATAAGACTTATAAGAAAATATGTTGATTAACTTGAGACTAAGTTCAGAGAATTTTAGAATCTCAAGTTTGTCAACAATAAATAAATTGAGAAAATCTTTCTATTTTATGCACTTATTTAAAGAATATACTAAAAAACGTTATTAACAAATTTAAATCGAATATGGATTATTTATTCCCTATTTTGTTTTGTCTGAAAAAATGTATTTTACGAATTAGAGTAGGAGACTAAGAGCAAGTTTTAGCTACAAAATTTCATTGATATGCCACAACCAAATAGAATATTTAACTTTAATTTTTCTCATGTTATGTACACATAGCAATTGCAATTTAAACCTGAAAGAAGTGCATACATTTATTTGATTTTCATGTGACAAGCACAGGTCGCATTTGTTATACGCACAAAATATTGAAATTATGAAATTATTTTTGAAATTAACTATTTAAAATTTGTAGAAAAACTGAACTTATTATCACTATCAGAATTGTATATAAGAAACATCTTGTGTGGTCAAAAAGGAGACTTCATTTTGTGTAATATTTAATTTTAAACTATAATATTATTAATAATAATATATTCCAAAAGGTTTCAAAATTGAGTTAATCTTGCAATGATAAACTAATTGTAGCATATTGCTGATAATATAGCCAGATGATATAGCCGGTTTTCCCTGTATTCTATTTATTAGAGATACCAAATTTTACACTTTATGTGAGTTTAGAGATAAAGCTTTAGTCAAATATCAAATAGTTATTGAACATGCCGAGGTAGAGATGTATTATTATTTATTGTGCAATTGGAAGAATTAATATTACCTGAGAAGCTTAATATTGGCCTTTTTTTAAAATGTTCATTTTAAGTTAATTATTAACAAAAACAAAGTTGTTTCAAACTCGTAACAGAAGCATGTATAGGGTATATATCAGCTTTTAAAATTTTTTATATTTATGTATACAGTATGTCGTTACAACCGCGACAACAAATGAACACACATATAGAGGATAAAAGTAAAGTAACAGCCTATACATTTCCCACTGCTGGGCAAAGGCCTCCTCTATATAGAGGGTATCAGGGCATAGTACACCACGCGGCCCCACTGCGGATTGGCGGACTTCACATATCTTCGAAATATTTTTTTTTGTTATTATTTCGAAAATATGCAGGTTTCCTCACGATGTTTTCCTTCACCGCGGAGCACGTGCGGAGCACGACAGCACTTAAAGTTAAAAACTTCATTGGTGCCGGCACCCGGGATCGAACTCAGGTTGCTCGAGTATATTGAACTAAAGGCGAGCGCTCGGACACAGCTATCACGGCTCTCAATAGAGGATATAGAGATATTCTCATATAGATGATAACTTTTTAAAATTGTATTAAGCATTTACGTTATTTAAACATCAATATTTACCGAGTTATTAAATTTTACAAAACAAACATTTTTAGAACACCCTTACGTATAAAACTAACGTGAAGTTCATTTGTAAAGGTCACAAAGCATATGATGGGTTACAACCCATTCGTTGCCACAACGTCGCATTACAATGCGACGTTGTGGCAACGAAAACATCTCTGTAGGTATGAACCAGTCAGTTGTAGTTGTATAGGTGTTACAAATTTTGTTTCTTTTTTATTTTATTAGTTTGTTAGAAAAATATATTTTTTTAATCATAGATTTTTTTTAAGTTTTATATTCTTTTATGATTATTGGCAAGTAGCGTTAGACGTGTTTTCATATTATATTGTCGCGGTTGTAACGACAAAAATTATAATTTTTTGTGATAAACTTATTCCATATTGTGTGTACAATTAAAATTTATAATTGAGTATTATTGTTTATTATTTCTCAAACTTATTCCACCAACTATGATCGATTCATTCTAATAAAATTATGTTGGTGAACTAATGTTTTTTTTATTTTCTTTTAGCTAAAGTCAAATTTAATTGACAGTCAAACAATGTAGCGTCTATAATTGAGAAAATAATGCGTAGTAAAGTACAATCGTTTTGTATAAGTGTATTTGTTTGCCTTCTTGTATCTTGTATTAACTGATGTTTTGCTTTCAGTCCCTAGACTATTAAAGCTTCATCTGACACAGAACCGGTGGGCTAGCCAGAAGCCACGGGTTTGGGCCCTCCGCTGTGGGTAGGGCCGCGCAAGAGCTCATGCGTGCGTTTCACTATGGTATGTCATCTAAGGGCCATCGAGGTTTCAGTTCGGACGGGACCCCGATGGCCGTCGACTGTGTTTTTAGCTAATCGGTGGCTGGGGGCGGTGAGAACCGTCCTGGAACGCGGGTGTACTTTTTGTAGTGTTATCCGGCGGGACCCCCGACGGTGGGTCCGACGTATCTAAGTCCCCTTCCTCAACCGGGTCGATGAGGACGTTTCGCGGGCTACGCTTGTTGACGTTCGCGTTTGTGTCGGGTTGGTAATTTGCTGCGCTAACCACCAGACGGTTGGGGTGATGTTCGGCTCTATCGAAGAACCGTTTTGTCAGGTCTACCCGACGATTCGCGAATGTTTCAAATTCGCGAATCGTCGGGTCTGCAATCGCTGTGCAGGTCGACGTTGCGTTGATACCACTGCGCACCGGATGCGCGGCGGATGAACTTATTTTGTACTATTTGCAGCTCGTACAAGCGAGTAGTATGCGTGTGGGCGAAGATCATGCATGCGTAGGACATAATAGTTTGTACGCAGGTCTTATATATTAATAATTTGTGCCTTAAGGGCATTTTACTTTTAGCGTTAATTAAATTGTGTAGCCGGCCGGAGACGAACGCGGCTCTATTACGAACGTTATTAATGTGCGTAGTAAATGACATACGCGAGTCGAAAGTGACTCCTAAGTATTTGACCTTTTTCTCCAAGGGGAGCGATTGACCATAAAGGGATATTTGCCCCAACTTTCTGCATTGGCGAGGGCGTTTATAAAGATGTGACGAGTAAGTACTTCGTGTGAAGAGATTCGCCACACTCTTTTCGGGATTTACTTCTATTCTCCATTTGCGGAACCCATCGCCGAGGCGGTCGGCGGCGCTTTGGAGACGATTAGTGAGTTGATTGAGATTTTTATCTGTGTAAAAGAGCGCCGTGTCATCCGCGAAAAGCGCGAGATTGACGTGGGCGTCTTTGTGGGCGAGCTCGTGGAGAGGGTGCCCTCAACTCGATATCGAAAAGATTGGTTCAACAGGAAGGCCCGGATGGTGTGTACGAGCCTATCTGGCAACAAGCCGTTGTTCCAGACCTTGTCGAATGCCTTTGCGACATCGAAAAAAAGAGCCCCCGTACTAATGTTTCGGATGATTTAAGCCTTTCAGGATGTGTTCCGTTAGGCGGTATAATTGGTCGGGACAGGAATGTCTAGCTCGAAAGCCGAATCGTTCCGCCGGCAGAAGGCCTTTGGAAATACGTGCTCTTTGAGCCTGTTTAATAATAGCCGCTCGTAGAGCTTCCCCAGGCATCTGAGGAGGCTGCGAATGCCGATAACCGTGGGTTCTTTCCAGTAATCCGCAAAGAAGCAGCTGGAGAGTAAAGTGTTGTAAATGGTCGCCAGTAGACAGATAAGCGGCCCAGGGAGAGTTTTAAAAATTTTATTTCAATATTAACAATATTAGTTGGATTTGGGTTTAAAATTTTTAATAATATCTTGTACCTCTTCGGGGGTCACTGAATTTAAAGGATCGCCTTCCCGTGGAAGCGCAGCCCTAGTTTCGATGACGTGGTCCACCTCCACGTGGTGGACTGTATCGGTGTGTTCGTGCGATGGCGTACATTGCTGCTCTAGGTTGTCCGCAAGGCATACGGCTTTTTCGGAAACATCTAGGGCTACTGAAGTGCTATTAGGTATAACTAACGGCGGTAGAGATTCGCGGGGGTCTGCTTTCAAACTGCGGGCCAACCGCCAGTAGGCGGTGTGCGATGGCTCGATGTCCTCTAGTAGAGTATCCCACGTTGTATGTCGGTGTTCCGATACACGATCTTTGACTTCTAGCTGAAGGCGTCGAAGTAGGGTTCGGTTCGATTCTGATCGGTATCGGTCGAAAGCACGTTTGGCTGCATTTTTTTGTCTAATTAGCAGTCGCAGGTCGTTGCAGAAAGTTGAACCGTCGGTCGCCCCACAGTTTCATCGTCCATTCCGAATCTCCGACTGCGGAAGTAATAGATTCTCGGAGACTTGCTATTGCTCGATTTGTGTCATCGAACGTAGCTATCGTCGCGGGTAGGTTGACTATGTCTTGGGGGTCCAAGGCCTTGAGTTTGACCTCAAGACGATGCCATTCCACTACGGATTTACACAGGACGGGCCTGTGATCTGAATCTAGTTCATGGATTGTCTCTATCGACTCGACGTCGAGCGAGACCTACTTAAATAACATAATACCTAGGATACTCGGTGTCGCGTATTGGTAATTAATTATCCACCGTAGGATATCTAATGGGAGCCGCAGGAGCGATTATGCTTAAGTTTAAAATATCGGATAAGCTAAAGAGATGCTTTCCGTTTTTGGGATACTATGGATGTCCCATGAGCCGTGTTTGCAGTTTAGATTGCCTGCAATTATCACGGAGTGGCCTAAGTTGAGTAGCGTATCTAGATCGCTTTGTAATAAGGTTTTCTTCCCCACGAGGTAGGCTGAGACTAGTACAAGCGGCCTATGGCCAGTGAGCGCTAACGCGGATGCCTCTATATAGCTTAGCTCTGGAATATCGAGCGGGCTACAGTGCAAGAACCGTTTGTAATAAATTAAAGTGCCTCCCAGACGGTTTGCCAACCGGTCGTGGCGGACTATGTTATAGTTTGCGATTCTGGCATCGCGTACACTAGGTTTTAAGAAGGTCTCTTGCACTAGAAATCAATAATCGCAATATCTACATTATAATCGCGAAGGAATTCTGCGATTTCGTCCCTTTGACCCTTAATGCCGTTTGTGTTGAAATACGAAACAACCAGAGCCCGAGAATTTGATCAACCTGCGGTTGTACTTTCCATAAAAGTTTTTTATAGTTTCTAATTAACGACGCGGCGGAGCGCGGTTTTATTGCGCGGATTATAACGTTTATGGCTGCGTCGCTAATGGCTTTGAGACGCTCGCGGCCAGATGTGGCGGCCGATAGTTTGTTAGACAATACGGGCATCTCTTGTCTTTCGTGGGAGCTTTCCTAGCGGGAGTTTTTGGGGCCTTAGCGCAGCCTGTAGCTAGCTGGGTGGCCGGTGGTGTGACAATTTACGCAATCCGGTGGATCTGCGCAATCTTTCGGCCGTGTACGGTCGGGCGTGCCGTGGTCACCGGTTTTGTCGCACCTAGGGTGAGCGAAGCAATTATTACCCGTGTGGCAATAGTGCTGGCAGATGTGGCACTGCGCCACTACTCCTGACCTACGCGGAGGCTCGATCACGAGGTTGCTGAGCCCACAGGGTAGGGTCAAGTTCAACCATCACCATGTCCATAGGGACACGGGTTCTGGGGTCCCTGAGGCTTCGTACGGCATGCACAGGGTATCCCTGAGTGCGGATGTCGGTCTTCGCCTTATCGACATCAGACTCTTTGGGGACGCCCTTAATCATTACCCGAAGTTTGCATTCTTCGGGCAACGAGTAGTTGTGGAAACCTATCTTATTCTCGCACAAGTACTTCGTTACGCGGCGGAAGTCGTCCGTAGTGTCGAGGTATACGCGGTTACCCATATGCGTATTTTTCGACCGGGGTTTGCGGATGTTTTGGCGTTCAAACCACGAACATATTTGGTGCCATTTTGCTTTCTCCTGGATGATGATGGGTGGAGGAGGCTTTATTTTTCGCTCGGAGGCGAATTCGGGCATCGGCTTAGCCGCCGCGGCCGCCTTTTTGGCGGGCGTTGCGGTGGGACGGATCCTCAACGATCCGAACGAAGTTGCAAGTAGCGTCTAATTCGGGTGGCATGAGCCCTCCGTCTTAGAGAGAGATCCGTTCCGTACGAGAGCACGAAGCGAAATGATTTGTTTGCCGGAGAGTTTGACAGTTGAGACAGAAGAGGTTATAGGAGAAACAATGTAGGTGGTGCACAACGATGACATGGTGACGTCCTAAACCCCTGTTTGGAAAATGTGGACATGGACATTTCAGATGGAGGTTTGAACCACGTCTTGGCCCGCAGTCAATAATGGAACCTATCCGACGAGGAAGTTATAACGTCGAAATAACGATGGGTTCTGTATTCGCTGTTACTATCGTTATACAAGTATGAGTGAGTGAATGGTGTCCAATGGAGTTGTGCTGTTAATCTTAAATTACTTTCGTGGTTAATTTCGACGATTCTTATAAGAAGAATAGGAGATTTGAAAGAAAACGAATTTATTCTTCAAATGTTAGGTATTTATTATTCAGGAAGCTATGACTTAAAACTATAAGATCGTTGAGGATAGGAAAGATTCGGGTATCGACTATAGAAAGGTTTTTATTTAATACATTATTCAAAAGCGAAAAGGATACAAAACCATTTTATGGACAATTGCATTAAAATAAAGAGGTGTAACATATCTATTCTATAGTATTACAGTAAAAAAGTTGATTATTAATTTCGATTTAAGTTTTAGCAGGTATTTTGTATTGTAAAAAATAAAAGCATGAATAACGTTTAGATACTGAAGTCAAGTCAAGTCATTCAATATTTGGTGTCGTTATTTTTAATTAAGTTGTTTTAAAAATTTAGCTCTTTTTGCCCCAGTTTAGTTGTTTATTCACGAATGTCAAAAATAGCGTAATAGGAAATAAAAGATTCACTCAGGAAAAAATTCAATAGAACTGGTCTTCATACAGTTAGATTAATTAACTAACTGGCAAAGAAATATTAGGTATTTACCTATGAAATTGCCGTTTTGTATGAAATAAGTTAAAGTATTTTTTTACCATGCAATCGATGCATCTTTGCCAAAGCAGTGATAGTTTATTGACGCCTTTCTTGGAAAAATCAGCTAAACGGAAGGCAACAAACTCTTCAAGGCATTTTTTATTGCTTTTCGGGAATTGAATTGAGTTTTTTTCCCCCGCTAAAAAGTCTAAATTTTAGGATAGTATGGCAGATGAGGGAGAGCTTCTAACCCCAACTGTCTATTAGGCAATATGGTGTTGTGCATTATGGTAAAGGAGCAGCGGGGACGACAGATTGACCAAAGCTGGTTGCAGATGTGCGTGCTTCTCCATCGCTGCCTACAGTTCTTAACAGTACACATCTACAATATTGCTCATGCCGTTTTGTAAAAAGCTGTAATGAATCACACCGGCACTAGACGACCAAAACCGTGACCAACACCTTCCTAGGGGTAATTTTTCGTTTAGGGTACTTTGGTGCTGGTGATATCATGGTATAACCAACTTTCTGAGCGATTCCGATTGAGATTTCTGAGCAATTCGGTTTAAATTTGATTAATTTCTGTGCCTGTTGAGCAGCGCGGCAGCCCTCGCTGTGTACGTTGCGCTGGCGATGGTTAAGTTCATTGGGACCCCATCTATCAAGCTTTTTTAACTTGCCAATTTCGTCGTAAATGGACCAATATTGTTTTGATTCTAGCAGCTTTTGATGTTGTAGCTGTAGATTGAGTATCATCAACTTCCACAGTCGGCTTAAATTCATCATTGTTCACCAAAGTGTCCAGGCGACCACGAGGTTCATTTTTCAAGTCAAAATGTCAAGTAACTTTTTTTATTTGAAATGGCAAGTACTTAAGAACGGCAATTTCATATGTAAAGATAAGACCTTATATACAGGGAAGCGTTTTAATATTTACTCGGTAGCGATAACTATTACAAAAAAATGAGTGGGACTTGATGGATTAAGTACGTCATAAGTAGAGGAAATTTATTAATGTACTCAGTATTTCTTATACGTCAATACACGCCTATACTATAATGTGTATACGTATGTAACTCTAAACTATGCAATAATTTCAAGTGCACATGATATTAATAATTTAGGCATACGTTTTTCCCATTAAGAAATTAAATCTGAAGAAGATACGTTCATTATATTTAAAGTTAAGTTAATATACATAAACCTTAAATTTATTTGATCCCAAGTAACAAAGATTTAGTAAGTGAAGTTGTTTTATATTCTTCTTGTTTTCGTTTCACGGGATCTTTCAAGCTACATGTTTTTTATTTACTAATATTTTTAGGGTAATTATTTTAGCACATTGTATTTTAAATCATCTTATCTAAAAGGGTATCTCCCAGGCAGCTCTGATATGTTTAAATTTGGCGATTTGGATAAAATCTAGGCACAACAATGGTCAATAACATTGGAAGTCGCTAAAATATATATTTGGACAGAGCAGTTAGGAAACAAACGAATGTAACATTTTAAAAATAATTTGATCAAGAATACAGATCGTTCCATCATTATAAATTAATTTTTAATTCATTGTTTGCGCATTTCAACATATAAAGATACGCAATAATTTTTCATGTTTTTGTGAATATTACTGGTGTTAGAATCAAAAAGAAAGAAAACTATGTTTTTATAATTCTCCTTCGAATGTAGCAAAATTACCAAAATAATATAGTTAATAATAGTACAATATTTTAACAGATAATTATAGTTTCGGCTAGTTTAAATTAACCTTACAGTGTATTATTTTAAAATTATAATGACAATAATAATGTTATCACAGCCCAATAATAAATTTCCTTTAAAATTTTAAAAAACCTAAAATCAGCTGTCAAAGAAGTATTGTTAAGTTCAATATCAACAAAGGTAACAATAGACTTGAAATTATAAACTTCTCAGCACTGGACGTGTTAAATCCTGTTGTTGTTGAATTTCCAGACTCTTGAGAATATGTCAATGGTTTAATTAAGTCCACTGAAAAAATTAAAAAAATCACTTAGTGAAACGTAACACCATGGCACGTAAATATTCAATTACAATTTTATTGGGCAAAAAAAGCGATTAAAGCTAGCGGATTGATTTGTTAAAGAATTTGATTTGTCTTTGGCATCGGGGTCCATGGGTTCGATATCTAAATGGGACAAGTGAACCACAGATAATTGTTCCGGGCGTTTGTTCCCGAGGAGGGATGACGTCAAGTAGGTGGCCTGATTTAAAATACCTAGCTATTACCACTAACAACATGTTTCACATGGTGTGATGATTTGATTTGAGTTATTGCCCAGACACGGAGCAATCACGGCTTGCCACATAAAAGTACTAAAGTATAAGAATTTTAAAATACGCTATATTTTTTCTAACGCTAACTTTAATGTTGCGTATTCTGATGTAACCACAAATTACCTTTGTGGTTCGTCATATCAGCGTGCTTGGACATTAGTGCTAATTTGATGCATGATTTCTCAAGCCATCTGCAACAATTGTAACGTATTGTTTATTTTAATATAAAACTGAACCTCACCGATGACAGTATCATTTCTGACATCGGCAAATTTGTCGTCAATACTCCTGAACTCCGGAATGGTGCTAACACAGGTCACCTCGAGCCTACCCGTCGCCAGTATTTGTATTTCCGACACTGAGACGTATAAATCTCTGCCCCTGCCAGGTCTTCGACTTCTGTGGCGGCTGCTGCTTGGTATAGTGTTCGGTTCGTCTTGATCTTTGATGGGTTCAATCTGATGATAAAAGTAAATCATTTTAATATAATTAGTAATGATTAATTATTTAATCAGCAAGAACTTGCACAATTTATTTAAAAACTTAGAATTTAAATTGCTATTGAGACATTTCAAAACAATTTGAGTACACTAATAATCCAAGCCCATAGGCCTACGTAATTTTAGCAAAACCAACATTTTAATTTCTCCCTTTTTATCCATAGAACACTCAATGTTCATCGATCTTAGAGTTAGAGGAAGAGCTTGATTTCACTCATATGAATTGTCACCTGAGCCCATTTGGGTTCAGTGCGGGTCTTGGAGCGACTGGAGCGACAGAGAGCTAGGAAAACTGATTTAACGATTTCGACTTAAGTTGATCTTTACTATTATCTATATTGAATAGTTGGTGGATATAAGTAATATACATTTAATTGTCCTAATAATAGTTATTCTATTGGATACATACAGGAATGTTGTAGTTTCTGCTTAAAGTATTTCAGGCCAGAAAGTGCTCCAGCTTGCATGTAAATTTGAGTCAGAAATCTACGCAGCCGCGTAGACCGCAAAGTCACTGCCGAAAACAGTGCTTATGGCGGAGCTTTGCCAGCTGCATATATTATATAGTTGCAGTCTGAATGATGTGCTACTCTTTTAGTACTATAAAAGGTGAAATTATAATATCTTGTTAAAGGTATCCTAAATTTCGTTTAACTAATGTTTATTCGAGTACGTGCGCAACTGAGCCGGCGTAGGTCAGGTGGCTTGGGAATTGTAAAGATACGACTGGTAGGCACTCGGAGAACAATCTCATGTGAACTAGACGTATTGCTCCGCATTTGAATTGTATTTGAATAAAACGACCCTTAAGAGAACGTGTTGTATATTTGCATATATTTATATTATATTTCCCTATGTGTTATGCTTATACAATTATACATCCTTCTTTGTTCAACATTACCTCATGTCTTTCCTAAGACTCACCTTTTTGATATTGTGGATTATAAAACCTTTCAGTTTGATACCAAATATATTTAATATTATCAGGGCTCATGGCACCAATTTCAATGTATGTGTATCATGTTATATAATGTTTAAAGTATACCTATATATCATTGTGAAAGACCCATATAAGATAGAGTAACTTTTTTAGTGCCAGATACAGCCACGATTTTCCTTAACATTATTTGAAATTATGTCAGATCCAAGTTCGTTGCGCGCAGAATTTTTATTTCCGCGGCATACTTCCAATTTCTGTGCAAAAGGTAGACGATTCAGAGGTAAAGTTATCGATGAAATCGTCTATTTTAGTCAAAATTTTTATATTTTCTTTAGTGACTACTACTTACTGGTTACTGGTTACTAAATATTCAAAATTGTGTTGTGTGTCAGTGTTTGTAGTTGGTGGATAATATTGTATCTAAGTTGTGATACTGATACACGAAAATATTGTATCTTTGCAGCGAATTTATATTGATTATAAATTTACTAACCATACATAAATATAAAGTTTGTCCATAAAGCCAAAAGATATGTTATTCCACTATTAAATAATCTAAACACAACAACACAACAATGTAAAAATTATCTGTAGAATGGATATTCCTTGTATTTTCAAAAATGTTTAAAGTATAGATAAGTATTATCAGTTTAAATCAAATAATTGTTGCACTTGTATTTCAAAGTGCAATAATAGACCATGCATTTATCTTTTAATGTTTGTGTTGAATTGTGAAATACCTTCGAATTTACGTAGCTCTAGGCATATTTTGTAACTAGAATTATATTTTTTTAAAAACGATGTTTTTAAATAATTATATTTAGCACCACGGGTTTCTTTTATACAGGAGCGATACGGTTTTATACAACATATGTATATGTTGTTATCGTTCTTTTCGAAATATTTTTTTAATTATTTTATTTTGGTTTTTGTTGTTCATTGTTTGCCTGTAAAAGTTTAATAAAATTCAAGTTATTTACCCGATTTTCCTTTAAGCTGCAGCCTGGTGCCTTTGTAGCAATGTGGGAAATGTGGGTCAAAGCAAGTACTGGCGGTGGGACGCTGCCGGTTTCATACTCGAATGGCTTTTGAAGTCCTCGTCTTCCTGTTCTCTCATTCAGTGGAACACGGTATTTATGAGAATGCACGACCACTTCGTCCATCTATAACGTTATGTTTCATGAGTTTTAAGCAACTAATAGTTTCCTTCAATATAATGTTGGCCATGGATGATCACTTTTGATGGTAATTATAATCTAAAAAGCAAAAATAAAATAAAATTCTATAAATCAATAATAATATATTATTATTGATTTTTAGAATTTTTATATCCGCTCCGCTGAAGATTATTATTTTTTGCGTTGTAAAGAACTTTTAAATATTTTACTTTTATTTCTCTGTAAATCAAAACTTGACTGCGAAGATATTGGCATCGCACCAAACAAGCTATGGTCTTCACTCTTACCATAATACATTTCATTTACAAAGAAGTAAATGCAGCCAGACTCAACTACTGACCTACGGTACTCACACGAGACGCCAATTTAATGAATGGCAAATTGGCAACTGATTTAAAATAAAGCTTAATTGTATGCGGTAAGGAATTGGTGGGTCACCTGCTGTAAAGTCAATATCAACATCATATCGAACACATGGACATCCGAAAAACCAGTGAAATTGCTGTTGCTTTGCCAACCTTAATGAAGACAGGCCCCAGTTACTTCGACAAAAGGAAGAATTGCAGAATTATAAATATTTCTACTTTGCGGCGATCTTTTGTGACAACGTGACAATTTTCCAAAAGAAAACGCTCCTTCTTGCGTTGCAATTCTTTTAAGTCAATTCTGGGGATCTGGCCCTCAACATGGCGTTTATAGGCAGTTGGTAAGGTGACCATTTAAAGCATTGAACCATTTGTGCCCGCGAAATAAAGGTTTTTAAAAAAAAGTACGCGTTTATACACGTATACACGTAAGAAGTTATACTTTCTTAGCGTAACAAAAGTAAAATAATAAAAAAAATATACCCTGTATAATTGATAACGGTTTGTTAAATAACTCAGAATTATATATAGGTAATACCGCGAAGTTGGTCGCTTTGCAACCAACCTAATCATGTCGCTTTCTTGCTTCGGTGTGCGCCCGTATCGTAAAAATTTCACATAAGTTTTTCCAAACGCGCCAAAAGAAGTATAACTTCAAAAATAGAAGACTGTACTACTATTTATTACTGTATAGGTAAATATTAGTTTAGACGACGATTAATGTGAGAGGCCATTACCTTTCTGCCGTTAATGAACCACGTGATGTGCGGTGCGGGGAGCGCCGGTGCACTGGTGCAATTAGCACGGAGCGTCTCCCCGAAACTGAGGTACCTCGTTGGGAAATCGATGCGAGGATGATGTTTCTGAGGGTCTAGAAAAAACCCCAAGTTTCAATATTGTTCATTCATTACAATATAACGTGATGAGTGTGATAATAGAGTTACAAAACAATACCATTGCTTCTTTAATATAAGACGGTGTTTTAGACTTGTACGTTAACAATATTCCTCATGAATGTATTCTGTTTTGTTTGTATATAAGTACTTTTATCTGAAATATTAGCAAAATCATTGTTTTGTTTAATAAACTCGCGACTTCGAACTTTTCTGTTCGCGATTTTGATGAAAGCCGGTGGCAATTAGTAGTCATGCGGTTCACTAATTCACCTGATGTTCATGAGATATCGTCTTCTACATCATTGAGGCTATAGGTGCGTTTCTAGACTTTAATAAAGTTGGACCTAATGGATTTATGTCTTTATTATGTCCTATGTGGTTATAAGTGGAGCTGCTTAATTTTTTTTAACTGTATTTTAAGCTGTTAAATCCGATGAAAAAAAACTGGTACAGGCGAGGTACCACTTGCCAGAAAAGCCGCAAAGTTTATAATATTTTCTTTTTTTAAGTCTATGACTTCCTTTTGTATTGTGAGGTAGGTACTTCCCCTTCAAAATTAGGTCATATAGCTCTTACACTTATCGCAGTAAGTAAGTAATTTAAATAGTAACTGATAAAGTAATGTTGTAGACTTTGTGTAAATATTGTATAAACGATTCATATCTTACTTTATTTTATATAAGCGTTTAACGCTACATAAAGATTTTTATCGGTGTTACAATATTTATATTCTATTTGATTTCTGTTCTGGCTGGTGTATCACCAAATATGGTACAGTATACCATCACGATGGAAGCAAATTGAGCAGGATTGTGCTTTGTGGTAGTCTGCCGGGGAAGCCTATGTTCAGAAGTGTACTCTAACAGGCCGAAATGATGATGATGACACGGTTTCACAGAATATTTGTTTAAAGTTTTTTTTATAGTGCCAATCGCTGCACTTTAAGATTAAACAATATTTTTCCTAAAAGAATATTTGTTTTTACATCTGGTTTTGATACCTGTTTCTGAACATACACACTAAAATAAAATAAAAACTGCATTTAAAGTTTATTTGAAAATTTTTATCTTCTTAAAAGCCATTGATTTGACCTTTTTTACGATACTGACTGAAAAACCATTGACTCTAGGATCTATCGTTTGATAGATATTTACAATTTGTTTTTATGTAATTTTTTTTTCTCACAAAAGCCATAATTTCGGACTTGTTTAAGTAATTGATGATTAAATGAGCAGGAAGTTCATACTTATCTTTTACTTTGATTAATTGATGATTGATTTGATTGATTCTTATACGAATAGAAGAAATATTTTGTGTAGTTCAAGTATTTTGAAGAAATATTTTGTGAAGTCTTACTGTAGACGTGTGACAGGTGTAACTGGATAATTAGATTTCGTAATTAACTTAGGTACCCCCACTATTTCTTTTTCCGAAAGAATTCGCAAAATGTGTCCATACACAAAGATTTATGCTTTCCGGACGTCTTGTGATTTATCTTTCCCTTTGTAGGTACACGCTGTTTGGGAAATACTTTGCTGTCATTGGGATTCAGGACGATACACGTTGCGTGTTTTAGTTGGTCATAAATAACAAATTCTTACGTACGAATATTAAAACCTCCTTTTTATTTGAGTTTAATACTTAACACAAGCGTGGATAATTAATGTATTAAAAAGATAAATAAGTTTCGCGATAAATAAGTTTCAGAAAATCAGTTCCGGGAAATACTTTTAGTTTATTTTTTTAACTTTTTTTGTTTACTGTCAGAGGTCCATACAATATTATTACATAAGCGCTGAAATCCATTTGCGATACGAAGCGACTCTGGCGAAAGCAGAAGGAAAACCAAGTTCACAGCCATGTTGGGCTACAAATGAACTGACTCCGATGAGAATCTCTTGCCCTTGGAATGTAAATGTTAAAGGTCCACCAGAATCGCCCTGACAAATTCCTACACCTCCATGACCATTTGTGCAAATGTTCGAATCTAAAACTGATTTTCCATAAATAGCCCGGCACTGTTGTTGCGATATAACTTGAAGGAAGATGTTCCGCACCATTGTATTTGTCGTTGGATGTGTCAGATCCGAGTATTTGCCATATCCTGACGCTTTTACCCAGTGGCCTGTGAAATCCATGTTCAAGAGGGGTCCAAATGGTAGTCGTATTGGCCTTATAGAGTCAGAGAAACGTACGTGAATCGGCAAGAACAACATGGCGATGTCATTGTTTAGTGTTCGGGGATCGTACGATGGATGCAGGACTATCGAAGATGTTTGAATTCTCACTCCCCCGTGATACAAGAATGGTGATCCAAGGACAACGGTGAATCGCCAAGCTTGAAATCTGCCATCGTTCCAGCAATGGGCGGCCGTTAAAACTCTTGAAGTCGACAGCAATGTACCTCCGCAAGCCGATGGTAGGCTGAAGCCGATTATATCAACCAGTAAGCCGGCTAAGTATGGATGAGCGTTAATAGGCGCTATTGTTCCTCCAACAATAGGGGAGAGTGCCCCCATTGACCTTTCCAAGTCCTTTATATTTTGGGCTTCTTTTACGCCTACTTCTAGATGCCAGCCCAAAAATCCTTCGCCTATTGGCTTATAGGATTGCACGAGTTGAACAAGGAGACAGGCCAACAGCAGTACACTCTTCATTTTTACTTTGTTTGTGGGAAACATAATTAAGCCACTGCTTATATAAGCTTAATTAATCTCTTATCTTAGAGAAAAACATCATGCCAGTGGATTTATTTGATGTATTCTTTTATTGCTCTTTAGGAATGATTATTTGTAATCACATAAACAATTTACACTGCTTTATTTATTTAGTGAATATGTAATATTTAATTGCTTTATGCTATATACTGCACTTGCTCTGTCACGGTGTGTTTATTACATCATCCAATATCACTACCGTTTTTTTATGTGAAAAGTTGCCAAACAAGCAGACGGTTCACGTGATGTTAAGTGAATACTAACACCCATGAAAATCTTTTACACCCATGAGTTCCAGATGCGTTGACAACCTTTTTAAAATGGGTTCCGGCCACCACACTCACTAGATGAAACGCGAAAGTATTATAATTCCACTTTACGCCGGTCTTCTGTGAGGTCGTGGTGCTTACCCGGACCCGCCTGCCCATTCGTGCAATAGTCAAGGATGCTGCGTGGCCCTACCACCTATGTATTAGCAGAACCTATCATAAAAAAGTAGTACTCAGATTAATTTCAATTGCAAGATTTCGCAAATACACAAGTCTTTCGACAAAATTATTTAAAACATATTCAATAATCAATAAATTATCAATAATCAAGATAAAAGTGCAGATTACTCTAAGAAAAGTCTTTAACGATTTCTTATAATTATATGCTAAGGTACTGTATAAATTGAATCTATAAGACCATAATACTTGATTAAATCTTTTTCGTTCGATTTCTTAATACTCTCAATAAATTACTGGTAGAAATAAAATCACCAGATGCACAAAGAAAATGTCTATCTTATTTTAATAAATTTCTTTCTGCTATAAAATTTCATACACATGTTTCGTCTTAATATTATATCTAATATATAAAATTCTCGTGTCACAGTGGTTGTAATTGAACTCCTCCGAAAGGACTCGACCGATTTTCGTGAAAGTTTTTGTGCATATCGGCCAGGTTGGAGAATAGGACAACATCTATTTTTCATCTCCCCAAATGTTAAGGTTGGCCCACCCCAAACATTTTTCTACCCTACAAATTAATATAGATAGCTAGATAAATTTATATAGCAAAACAACGTATATATATTTATATATATAATATTAATAAAATTATATATATAATATTAAGACGAAACTGGTATATGTCTGGAAATTAATTATAAGTAGACTGCGTCTATACTTATCAAAAATTATTTATGATCCAGATTATCAAAAATTTATTTGAGTAGATTAAAAATTAACGTAATTTCTAGATTATTTTTTTAATTCCGACTTATCGTCTTAAATGACGATGAACTTGGGTTTTGATATTCTTCCGAAGTTCATTTGATTGTAATGAAAAATTAAATATACAAAACTAATTGTCCAATTGTATCACTAGTTATATTTGCATACATTTTTTTGATTGGATATAAATAAAAAATAACGTATAACATGCCATATTTAAAAATCCATAATTAAAAAAAAATATTTTTCAAACAAACTAATTAAGTAAAAAAGAAACAAAATTTGTAACATCCTATACAACTCGCGCCACAGCGTCGCATTACAAACCTCTCCTTCTAACAGTATGTTTTGTCTCTTTTAAATTCATTCAACCCATTCATATGCTTTGTGACCTTTACAAATATATACGTTACAGTTTTATACGTAACGGTGTTCTAAAATTGTTTGCTTTGGAAAATTTAATAACTCGGTAAATATTGATGTTTAAAGAATGTAAATATTTAATACAATTTAAAAAAGTTATCCTCTATATGGGTGTTCATTTATTGTCGCGGTGGTAACGACACGCTGTATAAGGTAATAAACAATTTGTCGTTGCTTCCGGAATTCTGTTTACTGTAAAGAAAGCACACAAGGTGGTGCCAAGCATTGCTAAAAATGCAATAAAAACAAAGATGATAAGAGGTATTTAGATGATATGATATTTTGCGTAGTGTGGATATTATAATTTATTATGATTTATCAAAATGAATATGAATATTATAAAAATCTTTAATAGGTCATTGAATGTTGTAGATGTTCATGGGTGATCTCTCATACGGAGATTTTCCTAAGAGGCGACCGAGGTAAGCTGATAGCTAACCTTGTAGAGTTAACATCTTAGTTAACAGCTTTAATATGTGGAAAATTTGCTTGCATTTGAAAAACCGGAATGAAACATATTGACCGGAATGATACAGGTCTTGCAACCGTTTCATTCATTCACATTAATGAGCCATCAACTCCCTTAAGAAATTCAAATTAAGACAAAAGAGTGATAGG